AGACGTAGTTAGCGTCCAGTATCACCCCCGCCTCTGCCAGACGGTCAAGATTAGGGGTCAGGACTTCATCATTGTTGTATCCGATATCGTGATTACCTGAATGGAAAAAAAAATATTTTTATTGAGAATCAATAGATTCAATCAGTTCTTAGGTTTTTGCAATGTGCAATTTGTTTCTTTTAAACCGTGAGGGACTAAACTTGTCAGTAGCTCAGTAGAACTTTCAATCGTTTTAGTACTTTCATGTTCTTGATAATTTGTCTTTTCTTACCCATATCATCAACTGCAATGAAGAAGATGTGAGGTTTCTGATTCGAAGCCCCTTGTCCTCCTGTTAGACATAAAATCAGGAACCAGAGAATGATCCACTTTCGCACGTCCATGATGATTTCTTAGTTAAAGAAAAAGGCAACTTAGAAACATTTAGATTTTCTTAAAAGGTAGATGTTCTTATTCTCTGTATCAATAAAGAATACTTTTGTGTCTCTCATGCTGCTTCAATGATAGTCATTATTATTTTATTTTTATCGTTAATATTTCATCAGTTTTATTCTACAGAGGGAAAGTAAAACTTCAGAGTAGCATACATAATTGAAAAAATTAAAATGATTTTTGTGCAATGTTTGCTTACCTGCTTTACGTTATGTTGTCCGAGAATCAACTAGGACATTTAAAGTTTCATCCTTTCAGGTCAATCAAAACAAGATGTTTATACTTACTTCTTAAACTTTTCGTGACACTGAGTTTTTACAGATTCATAGACCGTTTCAAATACACCACGATTTTCTTTAAATTGAATTGATATATATCAAAAGTAAAGGTTTTGATAAACATGTTTCATTATTCTTAAACTATTTTGAATTAGCCTTGTACAAAGAAGCTACCAATCATTAAAGCTGATGACTTTAACTAAACCTCATATTAATTCTCACATCAATTAACAAACAATGCTAATCTTCAGTGAAAATATCCTACGACTTAGAACTGTGTTACAGATTGTCTGGGTAATCCGAAAAATTTTTGAGCACTTTAAGACTGTGACATATCTTACCAAAAAGTTCAGACGTTTGCTGCCCACATACCCAGGTATAATGATACATTTACTGATCGTAAACGTATGGACTTTTTTTTGAGAAGTTGATGATTTGTTTAAAAAAAACACCCCAATCTCCTCGGGAAGTATTAACAAGCCATCAGCTTCAAGTCTCTACGAGTATAGAAAATACCTTTCAACTATTGTCGTTTACTAATTATTGAATTAGAAATTCACATAATGAGTACACGACATTTGTCGTGATGAAAAATTACAAGATTTTGAATGTTCAAATTCATTATAATTACTGATTTGTTATTTAGTTATTCTTGCTGCTTTTTATGATAATTTTTATGAAACCTTTCTGATCCTTTATTTATTCAGCAAAATATCTTACGTTCCACGTGAATCATTTTGAATTAATCAAATTATCAATTGGTGTTAAACAGAGTTAATCCCATAAAGTAATTTTCACACCTTGACCACGACAAAGATTTTATAACAACGCGGAGTTGGAAATACGTTACTCTCCACCAGTAACGTATTTCCAAACTCGGCCTATGGCGCTTCTTATCCCAGTGCTTCCAATGCGTTTGATAAGGGATCGAACCGTTTTACTTTATAGGCAGAAATAAAGATGTTCAAAACAACTTAGGATATTTTCTGGATTTATTTTAGTATTTCTTTCGGACTACAGTTTGGTCTTGACGGCACGGCTGTCCGTCTCCAACTGACCAAAAAATAACAAGTTTAAGTAAAACAAATTAAACACAAAGAAGAAACTAGTGCTAATTGTAACGGGGACCGTTACAGATGTTCCCCAAACGCTCCCCAACTCCCTTTTGGTGCCATATTCCCTATAAGCTTTATTAAATAAGACAAACTCTACGCATTTGAGACTTTAACAACGTTTACCCAGAAGTGTACCAATTTCATTCAAATTCTAGCATTGCACGCTTGCGCATGTGAATGCATGTGCGTAATGACCATACAATCTTGTCTTTACAATCTATAGATTTTAATATACTAAATATCAAAGTATTTAATCCAAACGTATTAAAAAATACGCTAATTCAAGTGTATTTTTGATTTTACTCATTTCACGTGCACGCACGTGCTCACATGAGCATGGCGACCATACTTTCTTGTAGAAGTCCATTACATCTATATGTTCTAAATCCCACCCCGTTTGGTTGAAAACCAAGGGAGTTATAGCTGTTCAAAGTTTCAGCCAATCAGATTGCAGCGCACGTACATGCACGTGTATGCATGTGCATGGTGACCATGTTTTCTTGTAGAAGTCCATTATATCTGTCTATGTTCCAAATCCCATCCTGTTTGGTTGAAAACCAAGGGAGTTATAGCTATTTAAAGCATAAGCCAATCAGATTGCAGCGCACGTGCATGCACGCGTTTTCAAAATAATTGCTATATATCTTATTGTAGGATATCCTTATGCATGCCTATATTTAAATTTTCAAAGGATTTCGTCAAAAAAACAAGAAAGATATTGAGAATTTAGCAGCCAATCAGAGCAAAGCGCACGTGCATGCTTGAGATCTTGCTTTTTTGACCATGTCAATGCTTCTAATATATACTTCTAATATGAGTTTTAAAGCATATCATCAATAATTTAAATAGTTACGTCTGTATCAATTATATTGGACATTTCTCGTGTTGCACGTGCGAGCTCTTGCAAGCACACGTGCATGCACATGCTTTCATGATATTTCTTTTATTACGGGCTGTAGATCTCCTTAATGTATGACTATGTTAAAAATTTCAAATGATTTTATCAAAAAACAAGAAAGATATATTTTCAGCCAATCAGAGCGAAGCGCACGTGCTTGCATGCGATCTTGCTATTTTGACCATGTCATCTTGTTCATATATCCTTACATTATGAGTTTCAAAATATTTCGTCTAAAAATAGAAAAGTTACGGTTATATCCATTATATATTGGTCATTTCAAGTTTTGCACGTGCACAGCTGCGCGCAAAATGACCTTGATTCGCAAATCTACATAACATGCCTACTTACCCTAAAAAAAATGTGTACTTTACAAAGACAAAATTTTCCCGAGAAGAAAAATAATAATAATAATAATAATAATAATAAGAAACAGAGTAAAAACAAATGTTCCCCAACTTCGTTTGGGGAACATAATTATGTGTCACACAAAGAGATAAAATAAGAGAGTGACATTCTATAGATGGACAATTAAATAAACATGTCACATAAACAGCGTTGTTATAAAATCTTTGTCGTGGTCAAGGTGTGAAAATTTTTCAGTTTTCCTCCAAACTATTCTTCTGTCCTTGCATCAAGCTTTTATTTATATTTACCAAATGGATTTTTCAGCACCCTAAAACAAATTAAAATAAACTACGTTAAGATAAAAATAAATCTAGGATAACTTGTCTATCTGTAAATGCTGGGTCCGCTGACTTCTTTTCCTCTATAGGATAACTTGTTTATCTGTAAATGCTTGGTCTGCTGACTTCTTTTACTCTAGGATAACTTGTTTATCTGTAAATGCTTGGTCTGCTGACTTCTTTTACTCTAGGATAACTTGTTTATCTGTAAATGCAAGGTCTGCTGACTTTTTCTCTCTTGGATAAGCTCTTCTGCCTTCTTTACCTCTAAGATAACTTATATATCTGCTTTTCTCAGCTCTGCTAACTTCATCCTTTCAGTTGGAGACTGTTCATCTGTTAGATCATTGTTTGTAATTTGTTGGTCCTCTTTCGGAAAATCTCTCTTATCTCTAATTTAACTATAATCTCTGTTATATTTATTCACATTCTTTCTTTGTTCTGTTGAGGGTGGGTTGGTGGTCTAAACAAATATGTATAATTATAAATGTATCTTTATTGTCTTGTTTTACTGAATACAAGAAAATTATCAATTAAAAGACATTCAAAAAGGAAAAAAATTCTTGATAAATTAACACATACATGTATCACATTCATGCACATATTTACATGTAAGAATGAACACTTTACCTCTCGTTTTATTCTTCGAGTTACGTCTTTTTTGTTGAAGTGTTTCCTAGCCTCTTTGTATCCTGTCTCTTTTCCCTAAAATATGAAAAAGCATTTTTGTACTGCACTAGACAATCAATTTTAAGTTACGTTTGGGTAAAAAAATGGAGGACAGCATGAAATTGATCAATATTGTTCACATTTTTACAATGATGTCTTCTTATATTTTTAAGTCTATAAATTCTAAATAATAATAATTCAATATATAATAGACAAATTTTGGTGCAAAAAAGTTTAAATTACAAGAAAGAGAGTTTTATTTAAAAAATATTTTTTTTATCAAGTTCACTATAAGTATAACTATTATCTTCAATCAGTAAATTTTTTATTCCAAGTATTGTCGATCACTTGGAGCTATGAATTATTCACAGAAAAAAAAATTTACTAATGAAATGAATGAAGAAATTTTAGGAATGTAGCACAAAACTGAGTCACTACCTGAAGATGTCTATCTGCACTCCTTTTCTCTGAGTGTATTCAGCTCTGCTTCTCTCCACTCCAGTTCTCTGTCCAAAACTTTTTGCTAACTGTAAATAAAACAAAGGCAAAATAAGTCGAACAGTGACATACATCATCAAATCCCCATTGAATAAATTTGAATGGACTAAAATACCTCAGCTCTTCTCTCTGCTTCCTCAAACGTCTCTGTCCATGGATAGTCAAACTTTAAAATCTGAAGCTTTTTTCTTTGAAAGTAAAGAATCATACATCTATATCTACATTTACATGGGAAATAAATAATTTTAAAATCGAATTTAATTTAAAGGTTTAACTCAGTCAACTCTCTGTGTAGAGAAATACAACGTTTATGATATTGGTAATCTCAGCACTAGCTCTACGTATAATTAGGAAGGATTGAAATACACTGTATATCAAAACCATTTGAAGTTTTGATATTAGATTTGTATTTTGACAATCATACCTGATGTTGTCAATGTTTTTGCTCTTTGTCTGTTCTGCTGTTATCTCTTTATTCAGCATTCTTTCCATGTCTTGTTGCTTTTGGGCCTAAAATATTAAAGTAAATAAAATGACCATAAACATTCTTACAGATAACTTTTTTTTTAATTTCTAAGTTCAAATTAAATTTTCCCCCCTATTTTTAATCATTAATTTTGCTACTAAGCTTTTATGCATTTTACTCCCTATATTCACCTCCACAAATCTCTCTTGCTCTTCGACGGCATTTGCCCAACAGTTAACTAAATTTCAAGATTTTTAGCTTTGATTCCTGAAAAAAGAACTTGATAGTGGATAAACAAATACTCATAAAATTTAAAATGCAGAGGGGTGATTCAATTGACACAAAAAATACATATTCTGAAAAGGGTATATTAAGACTTAATACCTTCCCTCCTCCTCCTATTTATATTGCTTGCATTTCCGGTAAAGCATAGATACACATTTTTGTGTATACATATGTACATTTATTGCAAATGTTGATTCCTTTAGTTTCAAAAGTCCTGAGAACTGTTTAATAAAAAATTAACCGTTTCACGGAAATTATTGAGTTTGATATCATTGGAAAGATCAGAAAAATATACACATATTGTAACGTTACTTTGTAATTTTTATGACGTAATATCCCCGAAAATGACGTCATACTTCCGCATGTTTACGATACTGGCCACAAACATGACGTAACAAAAGACACAATTTAATCAAATTAAAATTTTACAAACAAATTTTGCTTATTACTCGGGCGTAAGATATCGGACGCAAATGCAAGTTGGTGGAATGTTTACATAGACCACAATCTATTATATGGTGTTCTATTTTGGAGATATTCTTCTTCTAAAATGGTTTAAGCGATTGTCAAACATCGCATGTTTTTATCGAATCTCGCGCAAAATATTGCTTAACACAGACCTAACTGTGACAAAAAGGCAAAGTTGACAAACAAAGAAAAATATTTGATCGTGTTACAAAATTTGATGGCATCAATTCGTCAGGTGTTTTAACCAGATTTGTTGGATCGCTGATGGCTCAAGAGAAGTTAAGTATACTGTGTCCCATATTTTCTCGTAAAATCCAAAATGGCGCTGGCGCAGTTGTAACCCCACCGTACCTCCAAATATTTGTAAATTTTAATTCATGGAAATTAAATAAGATTTTACATGTCTGTGTAACTTGCAAACCTTTTTTGGAGTCAAAAGTCAAAAGCAGTAGTGAGTTCTGGGGTACTGAAGTTGAATTAATAAGAAAAAATACGCACAGAAACAAGTCAGGGGCAAGACTTTTGTACATTTTATTTGCAAACGGTAAGAGTACTGTTACTCAAAATATATTTTTTGAAAATTACATTAATCTACTTCAGTTTTATACAGAACATGTTTTATTTCAAACAATGGAGAGCTTTATAAAAGACCGAAGATCCAGTAGTATCATGTTACTTAAAATCTTAAATGAATGTCGATGATAGCATAATCGGACAGAAACCGTGCTAGTAAACAAACCATACAATGAAATATGGAATTCCTGATAAACAGTAGCATAGTCCTACTCTACTTCTTTGCATATGAAAATTTTCTTTGAAATATTTTTTCAAATAAGCCTTTGGCAGCACTTTTAAAATTGTCTCATGTGGATAAAAACGCGAATTTTCAGTATGCTAAACATTCTATTCTATGACGTCACTTTCGGAGATATTACGTCATAAAAGTTACAAAGTGATGTTACAATATGTGTATATTTTTCTGATCTTTCCAATGATATCAAACTCAATAATTTCCGTGAAACGGTTAATATTTTATTAAACAGTTCTTAGGACTTTTGAAATGCCCCTTGTATTAATTAAATATGCATTTGACAACATTTTAATTAAAAAAATACAAAAAGTAATACACGACGTCTCTTTTGATTCATTACTACCTTATGTAAATCAACAGTTAGGTCTACATCATATTCGCACCAAACTTTACTCTGTCCCTTTGAAACTTTTAGTCTTCTTGAAAAGGCCAAGGAAAGTCCAATTTTTGATTCCTCCACACCAGAATATAAACTCGGATCTGTGATTATGGATATTTCATATCATAGGCTTTTTAAACCCGCACGTTTTGCGGAAGAAAATGCAGCTAAAACAATCCGTCTTTTCCTTCATTATGCCAATAAAGGAATTGACGCGGTTAATATAAGTAATGTTCTTAATCACAAAAGGGTCCAGTCTTGTATTCTACCATATTTCAAGTTAAAGACTACACCTTGTATTTCCTACAAATACATATCGACCATTGCTTCCAAACTTTTCAATTACAAAAAAACTTTACATGGCCTGGATACAGAGCATCTGAAACATAATCCTCCATCGTGTTCATGTTCTTCTTCTCCCTACAACTATAGTCTTGCTGGACACGTTATTACAGGTGACGTAAATATAGATAATGACGACCTTAGATCACTTATTTTAAAAGGTCCTAAATATAGGGAACCCCGATCCTTTAACTGGCGTCAGAATTTCATTAATATTATGGATTCTGTTGAAAATTACGCCAGACGATGGGCCAGATATGAAAAAAACCATCTATCCTTCTGTGTTCAATAAACCAGAAGTGAAAAGGGAATTAGATAGATTACATGGTCATTACGTACTGGTCCCTGCCGACAAAGCAGGTAACAACATTGTCTTCGTTTGTAAGGCTCATTATATAAATTGTATTCTAGAAGAACTAGGATTTAATTCTACAAGTGGTAATCCTACTTATACTCATACTTCCCTTTCTGAGGAAGAAATTCTTCAAAATCATACGTCATGCAGTTTTGAATATTTTTAATATTCCAAAGAGTCAAAATGAATTTGAACCAAGCTTCTTTCGTTACTCCTCACTTAGATATTGACAGTAGTGAAGGAAAAACTTCAAGAGCACTGTGCAACTGTATATTCTAGAAGTGGTGTGAATCAGATGTGGATACTAAAAAACTCCAAAGAACTTTTGGACAATTTGAAATCACAAGATTTTACCAAAATCAACAGCTTAAAAACTTACGACTTTTCAACGTTATACACAACCATTCCCCACGATAAATTAAAATCCAGGCTTTTTGATATCAATGACAGCTGCTTCTTCAATAAAAATGGAACTCGTAAATTTACTTACCTGGCCATTGGTCATTTACAAAATTATTTTGTTAAAAAGATTCTGATTGCACACACAAGTACTCTGAAGTTGACATCAAGAAGATGCTTGAGTTTCTCATCGACAATATCTATGTTGTTTTTGGAGACCAGGTCTTTCAACAATCTATTGGAATTCCCATGGGAACCAATTGCGCTCCGTTATTAGCAGACCTATTTTTGTATTCATATGAAGCAGAATTTATGCAAAATCTTATGCGTGAAAAGAAGAAAACACTTGCTGTGGTCTTCAACTCGACCTTCAGATATATCGACGACATATTGTCAATTAGCAATGGTAATTTCCATTCCTACGTCGATACGATATATCCAGGAGAGCTCGAGATAAAAGATACCACAGAGTCTGACACATCTGTTTCATACTTGGATATTTTACTTGAAAAAGACGTTAATGGTAACCTAACAACCAAGTTTTATGATAAACGTGATGACTTTAACTTTTCAATCGTCAACTTCCCTTACTTATGCAGTAATATACCTTCATCACCTGCATACGGAGTTTATATATCTTAACCGATTCGATACGCAAGAGCATGCTCTACGTATGAACAATTTCTAAAACGAGGCAAATTATTGACAAGCAAGTTGATAAAACAAGAATATCAGCAGTCTCGTTTAAAGTCATCATTTCATAAGTTCTATGGTCGATACAATGACCTTGTCAGCAAATACAATTCATCATTGAGTGATTTGAGTCAAATGCTGATTGACGTTTTTCATACCAATTGTTAGTCCATCATTTATACACTGAATTGACGACGGATTTTTCCGTTATTTCACGATCATGACAATGAGCACACGGCGGGTGTGACCGGTCAGCAGGGGATGCACAATTTTTTTGTCAGTAATTAGTATTGGATAGATACATTTTTGGTAAAAATATAAAGTTTGTTCTAGCCTGCGCACAATATTTTCTGGAAGAAAAACTGCTTGAAAATAAACAGTTTTATACAAAATACACAAAAATTGCGGGAAAACGTCAACTTTATAATGTTATAATTTTAAATTAACGGCATTTTGATCAAATTCAAATTGATCTAAAAATGTCACATGCATAGCTGTGCAAAGTTAAGCTTTATATAAAGTAAAATTAAGAGCCCAGTGCTCACAGTACCTCTAGATTAAGTTGAAAAACGTATGCAAGTCTCAATGGCTGGTGAAAATCATCGTTTATTTTAATTTTATTTCAAACAGAATCATTTACTTTCATCAATTGCTTTAATTATCACATCAATTCTGCGCTTATTTTAACACGTAGGAGAGTTATGTAAGGGAAACATTTAAAATTACAAATTACTACTAAATATATAGTTACACAGCACTTGACGTCATGAAGTTTGTATACATGCTTTTCTCCAGGGACTCAAATCAATATCTTAAGGGGGGACCTATGTCCAAAAAGTCTTTGTTTGGAGTTTTCAAAACTTTGACATTTCCTTCCTGACCACTTGCTCTTAATTTTAAGGTATTAAAAACAATACCTTTATATGCTTATTTTAACACAGGTGCACGTGCAAAAACAGTGTGAAATGCTAAAAATAGACTATTATCAGACATTATTGTTCTACTCCAAATATGCGCTAAAAAGAACCAAAAATGTCAAATCACAATCGAAATCAACAGGTATTTAATTTATATGACTTGTATCTTCACAATGAAGGCAAATTCATTGTAATTCATCTCGCCTGAAAAATTATAAAGGAGCACAATATCAGTATCACCCCGTTTTTCTTGTCATATTTTTTACAATTCCGACATGCATAACAGGTAATATCTTGAAAAGTCTTTGTGTGAAAATGTTGTAATTCATATTTTGTGAAAGAAATGACCCTTCTCTTTATTAGAAAAAAGTATACCTTTATGATAAAATAAACGAGAAATATGACGATTTCTTTTATTTTCGTGCTCTTCTGTCATAAATATTGACCTTTCCGCACTAAAAAAAGAAGTAAGTAAGCACTGACAAACATCTGAATATAAAACTATTTTGCAAAACAATGATTATTTTGTTTTGATTAGAAAAAATTTAAGCAGATAAACTATTTTCTTCTTCATTCTATTCATTCTGCCCCCCCCCCCCCCCCCATTTCCCCGTCAACAACCAACACCTAATAGAACCTAGGAATGATATACAATAACATCTACATATACTATAAATCAATAAGAAAATATAGGTACAAGTACATTTTTTATTTTTTCTTAGTTTTATTCAGAAAATACAATTAATGGTAATCGTAAAATCAAACATATTTCCCTGATTTAAGCCGCTTTCTGTGCTGAATTTTATCTTATATTTTTTGCACTTTTATATTAGCATATCATGGAGGTCTTTCTTTACAACTGAAATTGCTATAAACTATCAACCAGAGGAAAAGAATTCTAATATTTTCAAACTCCATATATCAAATAAAACTGTTGTAAATGATGAAAAAAAATTCTTTTTGTAAAACTGTGTACGTTATTGATTAATAACAATGTTATGCCTATAATCACAGTTGCAAAAGTCAGCGGGAAAAAAACAAACGTCGCTATTGTGACGTCACATAACGCTGCTTTAACGTAGAACGACATAGGTCCCCCCTTAAAGCATATATACACTGAGGACTACATGCATGTAGCTCTCTGTTACATGTATTTGGTTCATACATATACACATGTAAGAATTGTACAACCCGAGTCCCTTCGGTTAAAAAAAGTGTATTAATTTTTAAGCCAGTACCAACATTTTGCAAAATTTTACTGATCTATGAATACTGAAGTTATGAATGGTTTGATTATACAGAGCTAAAACTCTGACTGCCAGGGAGAGGTGTGCTAGAGTCTATAGAGAGGAGTGTCACGAATGAATTATTGTGGCGATGTTTGCATCGATCCTATAAATTTGGCTCGTTGAAAAAATTCAAGATGTGTTTGTGAAACACTGGTGCTCCGTATTGCAGTTAAGTTATGAAGAGGGTTGATTGATTGATTGATTGTATACTGTTAAACGTCCCTCTCCAGAATATTTCACTGATATGGAGACGTCACCATTGCCGGTGAAGGGCTGCAAATTTAGGCCTATGCTCGGCACTCAGGGCCTTTGAGCAGGGAGGGATCTTTATCGTGCCACACCTGCTGTGACACGGGGCCTCGGTTTATACGGTCTCGTCCGAAGGACCGCCCCATTTAGTCGCCTTTTACGACAAGCAAGGGGGTACTGAGGACCTATTCTAACCCGGATCCCCACGGGGCTGAAGAGGGTTGAAGCTAGTGAAGAGGGTTAAAGCTAGTTTCTCAGATGCAAGTTAAACACTAAAGGTCAATGTCAAAATTCTTGGTATTCAAACATGTCACAGATCGAATTAAGGTCTTGTCACATGCAATGCACCTGTAAGATATGAAAGCCCTAGTGCCAACTGTTCCAAAATTATGGATAAGGATAATGTTGTTTTTTTTAAGTAGGTCAAACTCTATGGTCAAGGTCAATGGGTCAAAAATATTTAAATCATGTCCCATTGAAAGGTCCTGGCATTATTAATGAAAGTCCTAGCACCAACTGTCTGTTCGCAATTTTTATGCAAGGGTTCGGTAACTTTTTGTAAAATTAAAGTGGATCAAGGTCAAGTTCAATACTGGTAGATCAAAAATTTTTAATACCCATTGAATTAAGATCTTAATTGTCACAATTAATGAATTCAATATACAAGTCAAGTATAGAAGCCCTGGCACCAACAGCTCAAAAGTTATGCCAAGGTTAAAGTTTGATATTTTTTGTAAATGTGGGTCAAAGTCCAAAATCAAGTTCAAGAGGTCAAATTCGGTGGTACACAAAGAAAGGTCTTGTCATAAGAAATACACCTCGAAATCTGAAAGTCCCACCCCACTCAAAAGTTATTGTTCGAGTTAAAGTGTTTGCCAACACACAGACAGACAAACGGACGGACAGGGCAAAAACTATATACCCCCGAATCTTCAGTTACGGTTACATACTAATAAAAATCTTGAGCGCCTTTGTTTAGTCTGGTTAAATTGAGTTCCCTTTTCTTATGATACGAATGGCTTACCATATTTTCAAGCATATTAGCTACACAGACGAAATAGGTTAAGCGTTTTTCTGCCGCTGTACTGTCAAATGGCGGATGGTGAAATTCATAAACATAACAAACGATATTTGAAATTCAACTCGTAGAGCAGCTCTGCAGTTATATTAAACCTGTATAGCATATAAGGTTTGTTAACTCTAATATTTAGTGAATGAAATGCTGCGATTCTTTATTTGGGTAATTAAAATTATTACGTTATACTAGCAAGGTAAATGTCTTTTTGAAATGTTTTATTTTCATGTAAAACTTTCGTTTCCTACAACATGGAAAATAAGCCTTTCTTGAAGATATACACAGAATCATTCAAAAGCATTAAATAACTCTGGTGTTTAGGTTCTTTGATATCAAACTCACCTGTATTTATTTAAGAATCCATTAGGGTGAATTCACCATGCATCGGATACCCTTGTACTTCAACAAGTTCTAGCGATATCGCTACCGACGGAAAATTATCAAAATGGAGTTTAACATTTAGTTTGTGATTAAAATATCAATTTGGGACACAATTATATGCCCTTTATTTAGAAAATATCCTCAAAAATCGAGTTTTTAGGAATAACTCAAAATTCACCATGGATCGGACATTGTTTACCATGCATCGGACAGACGGTATTTTGACTGGATAAATATCATATCTTTATTAAAGTGCTTTAAAATCCTTGATATGGATATATTTTTATCTTTTATCTAAGAATTAACCCTGAATTTAAATCTAATTGACGATATCGTTGCACAAATGTAGAACGATTCAAGAGACCTCACTCTGCCTTAAAAATGCTTTAAAATGCTTATAATGCGGTAATTCGCGCCTTTTTTCATGGTTTATCATACTCTGGTTTGTAGAAATAAATTGAGTCAAATTCCAGATGTCATACATCGATAACCTGTATTTTGACTGAAAATATAGAGTTTTTATTTTCCTTTTCCGCAAAAAACAGCTATCAGCTGGGTTCTGTATGAAAATGGTAGTGCTTACCTTTGCATCGGAAAGTGTCCGATGCATGGTTAATTTGTGTCCGATGTACGGAGAAATGAACATACTAGTGAAAACCAGCTTTTAAAAGAATTATACGAACATTGAAGTGAAATTTCTTTAAAATTTATGTAAAATTATCAATCTTTGACTTTATTCACCAAAGTCTGCCTCGTTCCGTTGAAGTCGAATTTTAAGAACGATAACTCTAAAAATCGCAAAATCTTAAATTCCTGGTTGTTCCCCTTTGATGATGTAAAATATGACGTAACTTCAAGGCCATTCTCGGGGTATTTTTATCACAACATGATAATAACAATCGGTATCATTAAAAAATTTAAGTCTTCAGCTTCAAGACAGAAACAAATAAATACACAGAACTCTTAAGTTGAAAGAGAGTTTATTGTCTAAAGTTGTCCGATGCAAGGTATGTGTCCGATGCATGGTGAATTCACCCTAGGCATTACACAGATCCAGCACAATCTCTAGATTAAGCTATATAGCTTTAAAAAGCTACATAGCTTAATTAAGCTATTCAAAATATTTATATGCAATTTTTCACAAAAACTTTTTTTGCAAGAAATAAACAAAGTATTTGACTATTCATATATATACTGTAGACTATCAAAAACACAACCTAAATCATAGAAAGTTCTAACATTGTTGCTGTTGAATACTTTTAAGCAAAATATGAATTGTTTGAGTAACTGTCGACTACTTTGTGTGCTTTGGAAAGTTCTCAATATGCTGAACTCTTACCAATCAATTATCCTGTTGGCCATAACTGACCTCCTTTATAATTTCATTCAAGAAATAACTATGTGGTCACTCATCAGTAGCCCCCAAACTTTTAAAACTTTGAGTACAAAGTCTCTTAAGGTGAAGCAATTTGGTAAGTGATTTTTACATGCAGTGTATTCAGAAGAGTTCAAAGTTTAATATTTCCACTGCACCAAAGTGCGACTTTTTGCACATGTTGAAAAAATAACACATTTGAGAAAAAAGTCGACTAAAATAGCTTAATCAAGCTATTCTGAATAGCCTGATAAAGCTATGTAGCTAAATCAAGCTATATAGCTTAATCAAGAGATTGTGCCGGACCTGTTACACATTTTGTACATTGTAATTTAAGCAGGTCCAGCAGGACAATCTCTTGATCATTCTGACATGTATAGATATAGCTAAGCATTAGCTTAATTTAGTGATGATGAACTCCACTGAAAACAATGAAAAGAAATATGCTCTTAAAATCCTAGTAACTACTTCAGAGCCTTTTCAATCAGTGTTCTGAAAGTTTTGGGAATGTATAAAGCAATTGTGTTGACCTAAAAGTTACTTCTTGAACATGTTCAGCACAATCTCTTGATTAAGGTATGTAATAGGAAAGGGGGAAAAAATGTATGGCTGGAACAGGAATTGAACCCAGGTCCCCTATCACTGTTCACATGTCAGGTACTGCTCTATCGATTGAGCTACCTAAGCCAATATCAACAGCCTAAACTATTCCTTTATACACAAGTTTCAAGATTATCTGTTTGGTGCACACTTTCATTATGGAGAGGAGTAAATTGTCTCTGCATGTATAAACCGGCAATCAGGACAGTTTTTTGAAATATGAAGAAACAGAAAAAGTCTTCGAGTCCATACACCTTTGACAGAGGTTTGAATAATCAAGGAAGTGTCTTTTTCACCAAAAAAAAAAAAAAAATCTACGATGGTTCTTTTGATTTGGAATATAATTAGAATAGTAGATTTGTTATATAATTAAAGTGTAGCTCAATATATATCCTCAAAATCATCATTGCTTGACTTCATATATTTGTATATCATTAAATAAATTCTAAAGGCCCTATATTTATGGATGTTGATTTTTGTGTACATTGAAAACATCTCCCACCTCTATGCTGACATGCAAATTTTTTGTGTCTTTATTATAGGAAAGCTTTGATCTCGAAACTTGTGTATTTGTCTTTGTCCTCAAAGACACAAGTCCATTGTCACCAACTTAAGTAACAGGAAAGGAAAAAAAACTCTAGATCAGGAGTGAAATGTAGACCTTTGTAACACTTGTCAGGTCACTCCGGTGCTCTACCCCAGTGGTACAGGGGTTCCATGTTCAATTTCCTGTCCAGTCATACACATCTTGTCCTTTCCTATAACAGTTAATAGCTTTATATAGCTTGAAATAGAATATTGTGCTAGACCTGTTGAAGGAAAATATAAAGGAGGCAAAATTCTGGTCAACAAGATAATTAATTTGTAACATGTAAAATGAAGCTATCTTTATCATATTTATCCACACCTCGAAACACACTAGACAAGGTATACAGTTTTCTAAACAATTGAAATACATCTTATGCTGAAACAGTGAGGCCAAGATAAATAAATAATTTGTTTCCTATACCAGTCTGAGAAAAAATAGGGTAGGTAGGTAGGGAAAACAATTTATTTTATTTTTAAATTAACATTTTATTGGCAAGCACGCTACAATTTTTCCCCATGGAAATAACTATCAGAGTATTTCTGATTAATATGCATATGATAATCATTTTTTCAATAACTGAAGTGATCAAGATTAGAATTGCTACATGTAATAATAAAATTGGAGTAAGTTTCTGCAGGAAAGATATTTGCAAAAGAAAATTTCAGGGTTGGCTGTATATTTTAGGGTTAGTCTCAGTCTGGGAACCGGAAACACACAATTCATTTATCTAGACCTGATCTAATATGATACAATTATCTTTGATTTTCATACCCTTTTGAGTCCATTTTTTGATAGTCCATGGGACACAATTGAATAGTCACATACATGCAGCTTACTGTCTATTTCATAAAAAAATGTTGTGCATATCTGCATGCTAGTAAACAGCTTTTTGAGTTATCCTCAGTACTAGCTTTATAAAGCTTTGTACAGGTAGCTTATTCAAGCTATTCTAGCCTAGTCTAGAGATTCTGCCGGACCTATCAAGTGGTTTTACATGTCATTAAAGAGTGTTTAACTTGCTTTTTACCAGTTTGATTATTATGTAGAATCAAGGCAACTCTCTGTAAAAAAATTAGAAATGTTTTAATTGTGTTTTGCAGGCGGAGATATGGCTACTATGAATTCTGGGCATCATGGCATGAAGAGGATCTTTCGGAAAATTAGCTACTGTTTTGTTTTCCTTTCAAGAATTAATGTAAGCTTTAACATTTTCTGTGATATATGTTGTGTTTTTGTTTATATAATTTTATATAATTATTTAAAGAATTACCGGTAATTGTAAGAAAAAGCAAAATGTGGTTTAAAAATTGATGCTCTGTTGCTGTTGAATCTTTGTATATCTCACACAACAGCAACTCATGATTTCATTTGATTTGAGATTTACCGGTACAAAAAGTTACAAATATATTCATACTGGCTTAATTATTTCTTATTCACTTCTTTTTATTCATTGAACATGATCAATTTCTTATTCACTTCTTTTCATTCATTGAACTTGATCAAGATATATAAAGCAAAACTTGTTTAGTACAAATACTGATATAGTGAATTCACAGATATAGCGAAGTTATTTTGGATCCCCAGCTATATGAATTTAACGAATTCCTTATATGAATATAACAAATTTCTGATATTATTATACAAATATGGACTCAATGTAGGTCAATATGCATTTATAATTACCCAGGATGACAGATATTGACGAAGATACATGCAGTATATCGACCGAGGGCGCTAGCCCGAGGTCGATATACTTCATGTATCCTTATAACCAATAAATGCATAGACCGTGCATTGAGTCCATATTTTTTATATAATATAATAATAATTTCCCAAATTTATTAGTGCAATGCATATCATCCTATTATTTACAGAGATAGTATAACCATAAGTAAGTTGAATGTAAATGTTTCAGAATTCATTTAATATTACTCAGAGGAAATTGTGTCGGCAATAAATTTCCCATATCATAATAATGACATCTCCGAATAACACAGAGTACCCCCTCCCCCAGATTGAGAATCGCTCTCGTTTACACTTGCAGACGAAATGCACTGATTGAATATAAATACCTATGTCTTCTAAGAATAGATACAATCTTACATGGCATGCTTGTCTATATTTTCTTTATTCTCTTTAATCGCGTAAACAGCATCAAAGCTCTGCTCGCCGAGTGGAAAGGTCGAACTCAACCATGAAATTATATGTGCTAATTATTCCCGAAAATATTCACAAATATCCTAGTAATTGTTTTGTATTATCAGTCTCAGAGTTATTCACTATATGTTTTAAATTTTCCTCACCTACAACTTCCAAACTTCCATGTTTGTCTAAAGCGAAAGTGAAAATGAGGCAGCTCGTGCGAGTCATTATTCGCTTTGAGCGGTCGTTATAAAATAATAAGTACTTCGTATTGACCAATCAGATTACCGGATTTCACAAAGTTATATAATATAGCGAAATAATTTCATAGGTGCCAGTGACTTCCTTATAACCAATTTAGAGTCTATATCCTATACACTCAGTAAAATGAGTTCTTTATCACACATTCTGTACCAGCTAGTTACCCTTTTAGCACATTATTATAAGTTTAGAGCTTAATTGATATTTTCATTTGAAACATCTGTTATATTCTGCTTAACTGCCATAAATGGCAAACTTACAATAAATGTCAACTTATATGTAAATGTCATAAATAAAAGTGTAATTATTCTTGGAGATGTTTTGTATCTCATAGGGTCTCAATAAAATATTGTCAAACTGTTTTGTTTTTCTAGAGAAAAATACTGGTGAAACTATTTTAAAATATGATCTGAATTCTCTGATGCAAGGATAATTTCTCTGTAATGTTGATTGAATCCACTGGCTTGTAGCTTACTTCCCATGTCTAGTTTGCAGGCTGTAGTTGGAGCCTTATTAGTACATGTACAACATGTGATGAATATTTTTCGATGCAATATAATACTTTAATTCTTTGTTAATACAGTTGATTGATATTAATATTTTATCATTTGTTTGGATTATTTTCAGGGCACCTTGCATGTAAGGAACCACTCTCAGCAGGTGTCTTTACATCCTGCCCACAGTCCTGGCACCAAACACACTAGTAATTTCCGCGTAGCCAGCCTCTGTTTCCTGTTCCTGAGAAGATTACATGTAAGTTTTGTAACTCAGTATAAAAATATTGATATATGTATATATGAATATTAATATGCAAGCATGTTCTTAAAGTGTGCATTTCAGTATGTTCAAGTTATGACCTTGAAACGTAAGGCCATAATTTTAATAGAGTAAAAATGTCATATGTACAGTACATGTAATACATTGATTAAATTGATTAAAAAAACAACTTTTTTTTAAAAAAATCTCTCAAAACAAAGCTGTAAAACATAGTTGTAATAAAATATTCTGCAGCATTTTCAAATCAATGTTAATCTTATAATTAATAAAATGGAACAAAAATTCTATTGTACATGTATCGAGTATAAATTCAGAATGTACCTGTAGTAAAATGCTTATTAGCAAAGAAATCATCATCTTGTATTGAAACTTTTAGGCATTTGAAGGAAGATCGACCCAGATTTCCTCATCATTCCACACAAAACAGAGCAGCAGGAAAAGGAAAAGTCTTCCTAGTGCTCCCAAATGCACATGCTGCAACCTGAAGACTGGGTCCACCACAAGTGATGAGCAAACTAAAACCATACTGACACACACCTTACGGGAGCTGGTGCCCAAACTCTCCAGGATCTGTATCGGGCAGAATCCATACAGTTCCAGCCAAATTTGGACCGCAGACAAGAAACCCCCAGGGTGGCCAGCAGAAAACGGGATCAAATGGAAGGACCCTAACAACAATCCCAAAGATTCCCTAGAAGTCCTGCAGAAGAAGATGAGTGTCCTTCTAGAAATGTGCAAGACCAAAAGCATTCCCGTGGAGTACCAGAGAGAAATAAAAGCCTACCTGAATGTTTGTGAAGACCTTAAATCCAATGACACACCAGATATTTCTTCACTCCAGATCCTGAGACAGCAGAGGAAGAAATCCCATGAGCTGGCTCTGGCTTGCAGACATTTCTCTGAGATGGTGAAATGGCATGGAGCCCCAGAAAGATCCACATTCCTTGAAAATGAGTTGATTAACCTTTGTCTGGTATTGCAGAAGACTAATGCAGACAGGATGCTGAATGCTCAGTTTGAAGAGGTTTATTGTGCCATCGCACAGGCTGAGGTAATGTCAGATTTAATTTGTGAATGATTTTCAAGGAATTCAAAGGTCAAAGCTTCATTATTGTATTTATATGTTTTATAATCTTTACAGCCTTTATACATTAGGTATTATTTATGCTATATTAATATATTTATAACCCAACATATAGAAAACTTGTACAGCACCATGTATAAACAAGGCAGATAATGTGACATCCAAAGACATTTGACTATTAATTTACATTTTGATTTACTTCCAGATTAACAAGTCTGTAATATTATTCTAAGTGAGCATTATTAAGTGTACTTCTACTTAATTGTATGATATTTATCAGGGAACTCATGAATCCCCAGGAGAGTTTATGGAGCAGTTTACCTCCAGCAGTCGAGGGCCTGCAGAGAGAGTGGTCCAGATGCCACAGTTTAACTTGGGCAACTGTGGATCACTGGAGAGAGCTGCATTCCAGAGTAACCACATGGCGGCCTCCCTTCCTCCCGTGCATTCCCAGGTGACCACATGCAGATTCCCAAACTTCAACAGTATGGAGGTCAGTTCTTGCTACATATATTTGATCATAGTGTTAGTAAGATTAGTCACTGTGGTATTATTTGCTTAAAAAAGGTGAGATTAATTCCTTCCAGATGATTCTTTCAAGAAATGCTAGGTCTGGTATGTGTACAGAATTTAAGGAAGAACGTAAAATTTCTTTAAGTTATTTTGCTCATAATTATCAGTTATGTAAAACAATTTTTAGGTCACAATGACAGATACTTCAGAGTTCCACAATCCACATGACATGGAATACCAAATGGATTACATGGATTGCGACAAGAGACCAGTGAGCGCTAACAGAATGATGATAAACAAGAGAGTCCGCGGAAACAGATACTCCGAGGATATGATCCTTAATTAAGGAAACACTGAAAGACAAGATGAAGAAATGATAATAGGCAGATGATAGATTTACAAAGGGTTGATTTCAGAACTGTTGTTATGTCTTTAAAGAATTAAGCTTAAAATTTACTATTTACTATTCTTGCACTTTTGTTATGCAGGCACACATACTCATTTACGCAACACTTTCTTAAAAGACATATTTTAAAACATTTTGAGCTTACTTTTATTATATTTTTTTCTTGCAAATTGCAAAATTAAATGCATATTTGTGCTTATAACCATAATGTCTCATTTCCTCTTGTCTTGTTTTATGTTTTGATTGTTTGAGTTTTTTAACAAGGTCTCTTGTTTAATTTTTCCATACTGGAATATTTCATGATCTAGTGCTACTTTTTAGCAGCATCCTTTTGTTAAAAAAATGCTTCTCTGTACAATTGCTGTAATGAAGTGACAATGAATAATTACATAAAATGTAGATTCTTCAATATAATTCAGACAAATTTTAAGGAGATATATGTACAGGGCATTTTGTTTCATTAATTGTGTTTTATTTTGTCAAAAACTTGTATCTATTGAATATGAGTTTTAGTATAAAAAAATGTGATTAAAACTGAAAGAAATCACTGTTTTAAAAATATATGTATTAGTTTGTTAATATTAAGAGTATTTTGACTGTGATCTCTATAAACAGTGATTTTACAAATAATGGAGAGATTTTGTAATACAGAGAAAATATATTTATTTATAAATGGTTGTTATTTTGTTAATTCTGTAAATTTCATTATATATCATTTTTTAAGGATGAAGTTTGTTTTGTTTTCGTAACAGACAAAAGGTTTTCATGTTCATATATTTTTTCACATGATTCATTTGTCATTGTTATAATTAAAAAACCCTTCTCTAGTCTAGAACTTAATTACTTTCTATTCAATTATAGATTTGTTTTTAAGTGTAGCATTTTCAAAACTGTACTATAGATAAAATAGCTGTATTGCCTTCTCAAAAGATTTTTTTTTCCTGTGTAATATTTATCAGTGCATTAATTCACTGAAGCATAATGGCAACTTTTTTGTTTGGATGAACTTGTTGGATATTCTGTGATTACTTGTGCAATATTAGGGACTTATTGTTGACTAGATAAGTGAAAATTAGTTGATATTTAGATTCCATCCAATTTATAAAAATCTGCAAAGGAACCATGATTAGAAAAGCATAATTTTGGTTATGATTTAGTATACATGTATGTTGAAGAGACCTAAAAAGATAAACTTATAATTATAAAGTAGAACGTCATATTCAGCAGTCCTTTTGGATTTTTTAATTGGCTTACTTGTATTCATTTCAATTCTTGGATATACATAGTTGATTATAAATACAAGTCTTTTTAACTATGTTATTTTTTTTTTAACTTAAAGCATAAATAACACATTTCCTTCTTGTTAAGATACTATGATAAAAGTCTATTAAATTTGATATTTAAAAATCTAAAATAAGAGTAGAAATTTGGAACATTATTACATAATGTAAATTATTCTTTTGTGAAACAACTTGCAAGTGAAAAGTCAGTTTTTAGAACATATAAGGTTATGTTTAGAATCGCTCCACATCACTGCATATTTATTTCTCATTCAGCCCTCATCAGATAACTTTTTTTTATTATTCTTTTCTAGTGAACCTTGAAGACAGAAGAATTGTAGATATTTTTCTTCTTGTACAAAAAATAGTGCTACTTCTTATTTCATCACACTCTCACACTAAATGTTGTTCTATTTTATAAAATGTATTGAGTGTTGCTTGTTATTTTACACTGTGGCTATAGATATCAATGAATATTGTGGTGAGGAAAAATCCTTTAGAATGAAGAGAGGTGATAAACAAGAAGTTGTTTTGTAGGGATCAGAAATTTTATATATTTATATGAATCACCAATCTTAAATAAATAGTTTAGCGAGTTATATTTGTATTTTCCCAAGTTCTACCTAGCATTTACTAGGTGTATTTATATAGAGATGTATTTTCATTATAAATTGCTTTGTTTTGCAATGCTGTACATACATATATACTCATTTAGTGCTCTTGATACATTTTTTCACCAAATTACAATATTTTTATTTCATATATTTTGTAGTGTCTTGATCATTTTAACAAGTTTAATTTTTTGCTCACCTTTACTAAGTGCAATCTTAAAAGTTTGCAGCACAGTTCCTTTTTCCCAATTATCACAAAGAAATACTCTGAACTCGGACTTTGATCAGTATTCTATTTGACAGTATTTTCATTTTACTTGAAAAGTAAGGTTTCATTAAAGAAAAAAATATATATATTAGTGATACAGAAATAACATTTTATTGATCAAAATATTGTAAAATTTTTAATGAAAAAGAAAAAAGATATAGGGCTTTTCAGCTTCTAAGAGCATAAAAAATAGCAAGTGGTTAAAAATTTTGAGGGTTTTGTGCATCAAATCAAAATGAATTTTTTTTAATTATGAGGTTTGAATTCTGCATCAAGTACATGTATGAAACTTTTTTTTTCTGCAACTTGTACAGTGAATTAACTTTTATACATGAGGTTGACATTTCAAATATATCAAGGCTTATTGTATAATGGTTGAATGTGCTGATGTAAGATTAATAGTTGAATTTCACATTTATAATATACAACATATATATTTATTAAGTAAACTAATGTTTAATATGTAAATTGCCTTTTTCACACATTCCAATGAACTGACAGTAGTACCTACTAAAAACTTAAAGCCCAATTTTTTCCCTTTATTTCTTGAAAGAATTTCAAATTTCTAAGAAGATTCCAAAGATATTTTATTAGATTTCATTTTTCGGACAAAAGTATATTGTCATATTTTGAAATGCTCATGTGACCTGAATATACAAATTTTTAAATGCCATTGATGAAGCAAAAGATTTCAATGTATGTGCACTGTTCAGTAAAGAAATTTAAGATTTTTAAATTAAAAGATTTTTTAAAGATTGTTGCACAAAATACTAATGATCTGAATAATTCCTATATATCATACAGAAATGTACATGTGTTTATATTAACATCTTCATTGTAGAAGATGTCAGAAAACTATTCTATCAAATTACATATGCATTAATTAGTTGAACTAAGCCTTACTTTCACTATTTATTTAATGATATGTAATGTTAAAATTTGATAAATTTGACATGTCAAAGTATACACTTATCTTTTATATTATTCCTGAAAAGAGGGGGAAAAGAAACAAATGAAAACTATATTTGAAACTGGGGAATTGCTTGTAATTTCCTTAATTCATGTTTATTCTGAAGCAATTTTGACATGTCAAAGAGCTGTATGTATAAAACTCTGTGATGTAGCCCCCAGTGTTTTCTATGCTACCCCACCACAACATACCATTTTTAAACTTGATCCTGTTATAGACATTGTCCCCGTGCCGTCAGTGTTTAAATTTGTTTTATTAAAAGTATCAATAAAAGTAAATAAAAAAAATTATTTTGTTATTGAAAATACCAGCTGTATTTCATCAAGCATATGAGATAAAGAGTTACCATAAGCAATAAGCAAAACTAATGTGATAAGTCTGAGGTGTTGTGAGGTGGGGTTGGGGGATTTTGCCCCAGCTGCACTAGAAGCAGGGATATTTTAGGTCTGCTTGTAACTATAATTTCTGGAAGAAAAAATTGCTTTTAGAAGATTTTTCTCTTAAGAACTGGAAGTGACCATGACCTTTTGACCTCAAAAACCAACAAGATCTTTTTGGTTATATGCACAGGATTTGAGTTTGAATATTTTAGGTAATGTAGGGGGGAAATACTGCAATAGTCCTCACGCAGTACATGTTTCAGTTGATGAACCTGACATTGGACCTCAAAATCAATAGGGATCGATCGTTTCAGGCCATAAGGATTTGTGATATGAAATGTAATTGCTCAAAAGCTTTTTTTTTTTTATTATGGAACTTGAATCTTGGCTTATAAATATGTATGAACCTACTTTGAATTTTATGTAATATGAGTATTTTTAGCTCTACTGGTCAGAGACCAGAAGAGCTTATGCGATAGTAATGCGTGCGGCGTCCGTCCGTCTGTCCGTCTGTCTGTAAACAATTTTTCAAAATGCTACTCCTCCTACAGTTTTGGTCTAATTTCAATATAACTTGGCACACAAGTAGACTGCACTAAGATACATAATTCTGTGTATCGGTTTTTGATTTCGATGAACGGTGTTGCCATGGTTACTAAAAATAGAAATTTCTGTGAAATTCTTTCAAAATGCTACTCCTCCTACAGTTTTGGTCTGATTTCAGTATAACTTGGCACACAAGTAGAATACACTAAGATACATAATTCTGTATATTGGTTTTTGATTTCGTTGAACGGTGTTGCCGTGGTTACTAAATATAGAAATTTCTGTGAAATTCTTTCAAAATGCTACTCCTCTTACAGTTTTGGTCTGATTTCAGTATAACTTCGCACACCAGTAGACTACACTAAGATACATAATTCTGTGTATCGGTTTTTGATTTCGATGAGCGGTGTTGCCGTGGTTACTAAAAATAGAAATTTCTGTGAAATTCTTTCAAAATGCTACTCCTCCTACAGTTTTGGTCTGATATCAGTATAATTTGGCACACAAGTAGAATACACTAAGATACATAAATCTATATATCGGTTTTTGATTTAGATGAACGGTGTTGTCGTGGTTACTAAAAATAGAAATATCTGTAAAATTGTTTCAAAATGCTACTCCTCCTACAGTTTTGGTCTGATTTCAATATAACTTGGCACACAAGTAGAATACACTAAGATGCATAATTTTGTGTATCAAATTTTAATTTTGATGAACTGTGTTGCCGTGGTTACTAAAAATTGAAATGTCTGTAAAATTGTTTCAAAATGCTACTCCTCCTACAGTTTTGGTCTGATTTCAATATAACTTGGCACACAAGTAGACTACACTAAGAACATAAAGAGACTTTATCAACGATCATTATTCTATTCCCCATTTTCAAAAGGTGAGTTATTTCCCCTGAAGGGAACTCTTTTACTGTGTTTAATACGCATGCGCTATAAATAAAGTCACTTCCGCGGACGTTCTTGATGTAAACATGTTCATGGTGTATGCCTCTGTCATATGGAAAAATGTTATTGTGTTTGTGAATAAAAAGAAATCTTAACTGATTCGTATTTTTTTTAATATTTTCATAGTCTCTTTCTGGATTTGTATTAATCTGTGTAGTACTATAATAAGGTGCTGTGTGACCCCCCCCCCCCCCTTACAAAAAAAAGAAACAAATTACTATTAAAATGCTGATACATATTCGAATAGGCCTATTAAAAAAAACACACACACAAACAAAAAAGCTAATTTTCGGTAGTGGATGTTCTGCAGACGGATCATCATTATTTACAAAATGTGCGGAACAAAGTTTTAGTTATAAAGTTTTTACGAATTAATCTAGCCTGCTGCAGCCATATTTTCATTGTATCTCTAGGAATTTTTTGAAGACTGATGACATGTCCATCTACAGTTTTACCTCTGAAATTGCTGCATATACAGCAGTAGTTCGTCTTCCGCTACCGCGATACCAAGAAACTGCGTTTTTGCTCGATTGTATGTCATAACATAGAGCTTTTACTTACAAGAACACATTTGGTGACAATTAAAGGCCTATTTCATTTGAATTAACCGTGTTTCTAGAATTTTCTATTTGTAAAATAATTGATTCACTATTTAGTATTAAAACTTTGAATGGAATTCTAAATGAATAATTTAATCTCATGTGTAACGAAGAAAGACTAATTAAAATAGCATCGAACTGAATTCGTGTTACATATGTCGTATAAAGTCTGAGCTGCATTTAATCAAAGTTTTAGTGTAGGATTAAGCAACATGTATATTCCCGAGTAAAATACACATTTTGTTTTAGATCAGAGAATTGGGAGCAGAAATCGAAATTGATACAATAATTTCCTAGCGTATTTCTCGTTAATTAACTGAAAACAATCTTTTCTCAAGTGTTATTTTTTTTTTAAAATCCTTTCAGTGTAAGTACACGTATTTATTTTTATAAGTTATTCTTTTTTTTGCAAAGTGTGTAAATAAACGATATCAGAGAGACCCACCCCCCCCCCCCCCCCCCCCCCCACACACACTCAGTTTATACTACGGTAAAGTTATATAAGGGAAATGTAGTATTGTATGCCAAGGAACTGGTACTGAAATAAGTATGAGCTTTTTCAACTTTGGGCAAGGTTTTTCTTTGCTTGCCAACTTTTCCAGGTAAGAAAAAAATAGCTAACCCCCCCCCCCCCCTTTTAAAGACGATGCTACGTGTGCCTGGCTAATTCGTATAGCTTTCTAGAAAGGGGGGGGGGGCTAACAGACCCTTTATAAAATAATTTATTATCTAAAAAAATGCAAACCGTTTCCTTCTTTTAAAATTTTTAAATACAGCCTGTAAGTTGATCACTATTTTGTTGGATTATCGTAACATGTAGTCCGCGGAAGTTATGCTAGTGTTGAAGAGTTCCGATTTTGAGGGGAGATAACTCACTTTTGAAAATGGGGAATATATTGCTGTTGTAAAGTTTCAAATCCCAGCTGCTTAAGTACTCTTCTCTTCCTTTGCTATAAGTTCAAACCAGTAGAGCTTCAGTCTCGACAGAGACTTCTGGTCTTTACATATCAATCACAGGGTGCGTTCACAGTTCTACCATTAGTACCAACTTTCAATATACTATTGGTGCAATAATTTGACAGTGGTTCCAACTGTACTAATAAACCCTGAACGGATATTGGCATACAAATGTAACGATTTTACCAGTGTTACCAATGGGAGTCCAATGGAAACGTTGGTAATACTGAATAGATTTCTTTGTTTTCTAAGTTATTGGTACATGCCAGAATCTCAAGAAAATCATAGCAGACTCATAGCCGAGAAACAAACCACATCAGGATCACACTTCTTTAGTTGCCATATCTATGAGTTTTATATAATCCATTTAATGGATCATGTCTAAATCATACTTCAAAATCACGAATTTAAGTGTTTGATATGATTTTTATGTGATTTTGGTATGATTTGTTAAAAAGGCTTAGAGGAAAATTCGTTTATATCATTGTGAATCCGAGATCCAAGTCTTTCTAGCTTGGTTGCCATGTCGATAACTGGCTGTAACGTCATTTAGTGATTTACCAACATTAACCACACTCTAGATTGTCTGCAGAAAAATATACCAATGGCAAAAAACATTGGTACCAATGGCATGCCAATGGTAATTAATTTTACCAACGGCAACCCAAAGTTAGCTGCAGATCTGTAGCGTTATGGTTTTATATATTTGTCTTTGACCATATGATCTGCAGCTAACCCAAAGTATAATAATAACATCATTTTATTCTTATATTTTGGGTTAAAAAATTATTTCCGAAACAAGTGCCTGTGGACAAGACGGACAGACTAATATAAATACCCCCGCTTCCAATAAAACAAGGGACAAAAAGTGAGTGTCCATATAATTAAGATCGGGCTCGGTGTCATTTTTTCATAAATTCCGCAATCGGCAATCCTCGGCTGACTCCGCTATGCGAGGTACGAGTTACTCGAGGAGCTCCGAGTGAAATTCCGAGAAACAACTTTCATTTTCGACCCGGAGGGTCTGGTAAAGATACGTGATATCGTTTGTAACGCCAAAACGAGGCTTACCGAAATTCTGGTAAAGTTTTTGATTGGCTGAAAAGAACACACCCACAAGATTTAAACAAATACATGATAAATCAGCAGAAAAATAACTTAAAGATGTGAAAGTTATATGTCTAAAAGTTAAAACCGTTTAGAGAGGAATTGTTTACGGTAATGCCCATCAGTTATAGGTAAGTGTGTTTTATTACGTCTTGCATATATTCTGTACGGAAGCTAAAGTGAAAGTAGTGTAGCCCCACCTGCGTAATACACATTCCTTCGATTGATTTTATATTTTGTCGTTTGGTATCTCGCAGAAGAAACGTTTATAATGTTTGCTAACAAAAAGGATTTTTAAAATGAAACCAATATAGCTCCCTCTGGCGGTTACAAACGCTTACGTGATTCTTTACCAGACTCTCTGCTGGTCGGAGTTTACGGAGACAGCCGAGCGTCTGGTTGAACGAGACTACTTTCATTTTCGAATTCATTTTTCAGACCGATTTTCAGAAATCAACATGGCATATTGAAGTATTAATTGGTATACTGACCTAAATGTAGACCAATTTTAAGCTACAGTATATATGCTAAGAATGTATATAGGAACCACTTCCGCGCGCTGACAGTTATAGGGGTAGTCCGAATAAGGGGGAGGTGTCTACAATAAATCAAACTTTGGAACTTCAGACAGCGATGAAAGGTTAGTATATACTTGTTATAATAAACTTTATTACATAGGCGCTAGGTTTCAGGATATTGAGTTTTGTGTATTAATATGGGTTTTTAGCTCACATGAACTGAAAGAACAAGGCTTCAGAATAATATAATTTACACATGCAACAATATAGCTGCAGATCTGTTGCGTTATGGTTTTATATATTTGTCTTTGACCATAACGTTATGGTCAAAGACAAATATATAAAACCATAACGCTACAGATCTGCAGCTAGCAACAATAGCAATTTTGCATGTGTAAACATGAAAAAAAGTAATGTTCTAACTTCCAAGGGAAAAATACAGGCCGCAATACATGCTTGCAGTTTCTATATTGTACATTTAACTTTTTAAGTCCACAAAAAAGCTTTAGGGTCGGTATATAGCCTCATGGTTGGTACGAATGTCAGCAAGATTCATTGAAACTAAAGATTTGGTATGCCATTTCTTTGAATCTCAGACTAATTCCACAGAAAGTCAGAAATATCGGACATTGTTCCAGGCTTTTTCACGATTTTTATATTTTACTTGCCAGGAAAACATCAGAACCTGCACCATTATGAAAACTGGAAATTTCGCCGTCTCCATCCTGAGCCTATTTCCAATACTTGCGAGCTGAATTAAATGCTGAATTGACAATTTATCAATAACACAATGCCTCAGGTACTCGCCAATATCAATGAAAAGAAAATATCACTACACATTTCAATATGGATCTTTCAAGATTTTAAATTGCACAAAATGAAATCAAAACTCAACGGTATCAGAAAATATTTTCACCAGACTGTATATTTTATAAACTAAAAAAAATTAAAATGATGTTGATGGGTACTAAACATGCTACAGGCATTGTACCAATGATAAGTTGTGATTTCAGTAAATTCTGTTCGCATCTATGGAAAATGAACCCGAGAATGCCACCTCCAGGTGGAAGCAGCAATTTCCCAGTTTTTGTAATGGCACCGGTTCTGACGTTTTCCTGGCATGTAAAAGATAAAAATAGTGAAAAAGCCTGGAAGCGTCAAATATTTCGGACTACTGTAAACCAATTATTATACGCGGAACTAATCCGCGACGATTTATTTCCGCGAACAAGTGGTCAATTTCCACAAGTATTTTTTGTATCATATTAAAATTTTATATCCGCCCATAAACTAGGTAAAATGCTACCGTGATTACTGCTTACGCATTATCATTCAAGACATTCTGTGCATTGCGTCCATTTAAAATCTTATATCTGCACCGGAAGTAGGTAAAATGTTATTATGAGTATACTTCTTACGCATTATTCACGACGCTCGAATGAAAAGCGGGGTAAAAAATCGAGGAGATTAAAGTTGATTTCAAACTCTCAAGTGTAAAAGTACCTCATGCTAATTGGGTAATTAATTACAAGATCTACATAGCCAAAGGGCAATTATTATAAATGGTTGGGACGGCGCAGCACTGGGCCATAATTAGTTGTAATTAACCAGGCTATCTCTAACTCGTCTGTGACAATAATGAACAATGATAACACAAGCTGAAATAATTATTGACATTTTAATCATTTTTAGACAAATAGTTTTAGATTTGCCATTCGTTTATATATTTTTTCTGAATGTTTGTAATTAAATTTCAACTACTTCTAGAACACTAAAGTTCTTCGATCCGTCGGGATTGGTATTCAAAAAAGGGCAAATAACTCTAATCATAACATGGGAAAATGAACAAGTTCGCGACGATAAATATAGCAGAGGTTACTCGCGGAACTCGCGGATATTTATCGCACGCGTATAATACTTGGTTTACAGTATTCCACACAAAGTGATATGGCATATCTTACCTGAGCTTTGATTACTTGTTACAGTAAACATAGGTGGAAATGACCCTGCCTGCTTTAACTTTTCGCTTTGAACATCCTTGTAACTCCCTATCACTTTGTACTTAGTCTATTAGTTCACTTCGACAGGAAATCATATTTAGAACAAAGTATTGGAAGTAGACTATTGCTGGAACTCTCCAGCATTGGATATTAAAATGAATATGTTAGTGCTATGAAAAAAGCAACACCATATGTTATAATTTCAGGTACAATCTACAAGGCACAAGATGAAGCAAGCTGCATTGTTATTGTTTGTCATTCTTCACACTCAGCTTTTTACAATAAAAACAGTTGAAAGTGAAAATATTAATTTGAAAACAGTGAACGAACTTCACCTGTCGGATGGAAAGCCTGCGTTAGCATCTAAATCCTGGTACTATACAGAGTTTACTGAGCATGCTCAGCAGGGCATTAATCTACAGTGTCACCGCAATGCTGCCGCCAGATCCCAGGGAACCAACATCACATGGTACAAAGATGGATCGATAATAACAACCAATGACAGATATCCTTTGATAAATGTGCAATCAATTTTTATACAGAAGAAGTTGAAATTTTGAATTTTTTTTTGGCATCTGTGTTTTTATTTTCAAAAAAAAAAAAAAACATCATAATTTATGAAGTAATGGTCCTTGACAACAGTTTACAGTTAAACTGCGGAATAATGATGAAGAGTTCTTCATTGGAGACCCTTTACTGAGGGACAAGGGCTGGTACAATTGCTCCCTCTGGCATCAAGGGGAGATTATTGACAGCTATGCAAGGGAAATAACTGTTGATGGTAAGACTAGATGTTTTATTTTCTTTGAAAATTATCAGAATCATTATAAATTTACTAAAATTCATTGCATAAGAGGGATCACTGACCATAATTATGGGAATTATCCTTTAGAAAAAAAAATATTGAACCTGACATGTATGCTGCATTCATTTGATTGTTAAAAATTCTTTTAACAGAGCAAATTCACAAGACAGCTGCTAAAGTTGTTGATGTTGATCCTGTGGATAGAGTGAGATACATTAATCTGGGTGACAGTTTCAACATCAGCTGTACATTTTATGTTGGGATACCCAACCAAAACAACCCTCTGGGTTTTACTGTGAGTAAAAAGAAATAATTATTTAGGTCTCTTAAAATACAATCAGTAAGAGTATAAAGCGAATTCTCGTACCTTTCTAGGAAGTTTGGTAAAACACCACAGATGTACATGTTTAGAGATATCAGATATTGGAAATGGATTGGGGGCACATCCAAAAAGTACCTTCCTACAGCCATCAAATCCTTTTCACAAACAGAAAAAATAATTGCCAGTTGTCCTATGTTCGAAATGAAATAGATAAGCTAAATTAATATTTACATCTTTTTACAGTGTAATTTTCCCAATGTCAAAAAACATTTTGCTTTAATGTATAGAGGGTCTTAAATGTTACTTCTTTTGTAATTTGGTAGAAAGCAGGCCATTTGTCATCTACCTGAAAAAGACTCCAGATTTTGTTTTCCATTTTTGCCATAATCATGTAAAACACAGCAGCAATTTTTTTGGCTTTGTGTTATAGTTGGAGAGGTACTGGTATTTTAATGGTTCACAAGTTCCAGACACTCAGAAGACAACATATGGAATAGGCACCAGTGATAACGAGACAGAGACAGTGCTACTCCTCACAGTAAACAATGCTACGGTAAGGTGACGGAACTGGTTCAATTCTCTACAAGTTAAAGGAGTTGCAACTGATACTGGTTATTTGATCAAGTATTCATTGGTATCTTATTTTTCTATTACCAGGAGAAGGATTTAGGAACATACCAGTGTTTTGGAGCCAATGCTTTAGGAGGGGACCATCAGAACATCACTGTAGAGATAGCTAAGCCAGGTAATTAATGAGATAACTCAGCTGGATAAATAATGAGATAGCTCAGATAGATTGATAATGAGATAGCACAGCTTGATAAATAATGAGATAGCTAAGATAGATTGATAATGAGATAGCACAGCTTGATATATAATGAGATAACTCAGGTAAATAATGAGATAGCTAAGTCTGGTAAGTAATGAGATAGCTCAGGTGGAAAATTATGAGCTTGCTTAGTCTGTTCATTAGTGAGATAGCTCAGTTTGATAAATTATGAGACAACTCAGTCAGGTAATGAGATGGCTCAGTTGGATAAACTGTGAGATAACTCAGCTTGATAAATTATTAGATAACTCAATTAATGAGATAACTAAGCCAGGTAAATAATGAGATAGTTTAAGTCAAGTAATTAATGAGAAAGCTTAGCAGGATAAATTATGAAATTGCTCAGTGAATTCAGTTAAAAATCTACTATTTTATATAGTAGCTATGTTGTATTTGATGTCAGTATATAGTGTTTATAATGTCATTTCAAATTGAAACTGCTAGTTCTTCTGTCTGATTTTTAGCTGATGATAACCCCAACCCCATACCATTATGGGCCATTATTAGTGTGGCTGCAACGGGCTTTCTTATTCTCCTTGCCTTATCAGTCACAGGGATCGTGATAGCTATGTTGTATTTGATGTCAGTATATAGTGTTTATAATGTGATTTCAAAGGAAACGGCGTCATCGTGATCAGGAAACGGCGTCAGGAGGAGTTGGAGTGGCCCACACCTGACATGGAACATTATGATGGTAAATATAGGGGTGTAAAGAAGTGGATGTAAGAGAATAAGTGGGTATAAAGAAATCAATTTTCTTGTGTGAGAGAAATATATGTACATGTTATTGATTGGTTTTTAACCCTAATTGATAAAAAAGAAAATAAGATGTACATATATTTTAGAAATAACTGAAGGAAAGATACTTACAACTACTGCAGTTTCAATTGTATGAAGATTAGATTAATTGATATACATGTTTAAATGCTAAGATATATTTTCAAGTCGGTTTGGAAAAAATGTCATAAAAAGAAGACCAGCTGACCCTTTCAAATTCTGTTACAATTTTCTGTTCTTTAATGATTTTTGTTCATTCATCTTTCACTATATATACTGTCCTGCTTTCTGTCTGTAGTCCCGGTCTGTGAGTTGGAGTACGATGTCTTCATCTCCTACAGCAGTGAGGACGAGGATTGGGTGAAGGACGAACTACTGGGGAACCTGGAGAAGGCAGGATACAGAGTCTACATCGACTTCAAGGACTTTGTACCAGGTGACAAGAAAACCATTCAAACACTCTTAGTTAATTAACATTGTGATGTATGCATTGTAAATTAATTTCTAGATCACAAGAAAGTACTTGCACATAATGTTTTACACTTGCATATTCTTTGAAACTTGTTTTGAATCTTTGTTGCTGTAGGAATGGCAATTGCTGAAAATGTACTGGATGCAGTTTATAAAAGCAGAAAGACAATAATAGTCATGTCCAAGAACTTTTTGAAGTCTATGTGGGGGCAGTATGAATTACAGCAGGCGCACAACAAGGCCATTGTCAAGGTTTGTACATGTATTTATCTGAGATCATAAACATCATTATTACTCAAATTCATGTAAAACAGAAAAGACATACGCAGAGGAACGTGGAAAGAAACATAGGCAGATAACAACTTCTTTAAGTATTAAATGGAATTTTGTTTATCACAGAGAGATGATGTGTTGGTTTTGATCAAATATGGGAAGTGTAAGGTACCAGGTAAGCTGATGGGAAAGACATTCCTAGACTGGACAGACAGCAGTGTAAAGCCTCACTTCTGGAGTAGGCTGGCAGACTTTCTGGGAAAGCCTGGAAATTTCCGCGACAGTCTGGAGTCGTCAGAGGAGAAGACAGAGGATCATGGGAAGGACGTTATCACCAATAAACTGACAAGAATGACCTCTGACTATGACAGTGACTTTGTGGACATGGAGAGTTCTGATGATGTGTTCCTGTCGTCTGGTTCAGAGAGAATGTTGGGGATACAGAAGCAGAAGATGCTGACTGAGGACAGTGTGTCGTCTGCTGTTACGCGTAACAGAGTGAGTACAGAGACCAACTCCAGGGTCAGCTGTGATGATGAATTCCAGAGGTTGATTCCTTAATTATGCAAATTTATGCAATAAGATATCTGTGATAGCATTTCAGAGGTATTTTTTTTTGTGATAGACTAAAACTGTGGTGGAGTTCTTTTGAATTGGTAACATAGAATTGTGTAGTTTATAGATTAATTATCTAGGAGTTAAAGCTTTAATTGACAAGGAGTAAGATCAGATTAAGATTGGTCAGCTGTCAGTGACAAACTTGTTTGAAATTATGGGGAAAGGGATGTCACAAAAATATGAATAAGAAAGTTTGTGTGTGGTTTTTGCAGCAGGTTTTTACTTAAATTTTTTTTTTTAAAGAAAACATTTTCAGTTTTTAATACAAACAAGAAATCTATCTTTTAGAACCCTGGGCGTATGATTATACAGATTTGTGCTATAATTGTTTCACAAAAAGTGTGAAGACAGGTATACTTGTATTTTTTTTTTAGAAAATTGTCAAAGATCAAACCATTTTTTTTCTTTGATTTGGCATTCCCCACTTTTACAGGTAAATCATTCAACCAATGACTAAAGCATAATATTTTTTACTAATAAAAGTTAATACTCCATTTTTATGTGAGCATTTTTTTGATAGGTTCTTTTTTAGGGGGGAAGGGAATGTTTGTGTGGATTTTTGAAATGTTTAGTGAGATTTTATTTATCTTCCTATCAGATTTTCAGAATGCCATGTAAGCAGCATGAGCAAGGACTTAATTTTGGTATAAATAGGAGAGTTGAGAGTGCTAAAATTTAATATTGTCAATAACTAAATCAGCATCAGAAATAATAGTCCCCTTTCTTAACAAAATAACATGGCTATATTGCTTTTTGCTAAAATTGTGTACTTTCAGGAAAATGGCAAAAAATGTTTTTTCTCTACATTTCCATTGATGTGGTTCATAAATTTTTGAAAACCTTTTTGATAGTAAAATGTAACCTCTGTGATTGAATGTTAAAGGACATTGGTGATATTTTTTGTAACAAATATTGTCTGATTATTTTTCATTCACTTTATATACTGTATACAGGGAAATTTTCGCCCCGTTTTATTTTCGCCCCTTTCACCCTCTTCTTGATTGGGTGAATTTAAAAAGATGCGAATGCAAATTACATGGAATAATTTCTTAAACAGAACAAAGACTGGGCGAATTTAAAATGAGACAAACTTGTTTGCAAGTGCAAAATAACACGGGACGAAAATAACCCTGTATACAGTATTTTTACATATTTGATACCTAGAAACATTCCTTAACCATGACATTTTTGACAATATATGATATCATAAGAATCACTTTGTTCATTCATGAAATGTCATGCTTGTTTATTTTTGTCATGGGCATTTTATGTGTTACTGTGTTTTATAGTTTGTTAAATGGCATCACTATTTTTTATAGTGACATGTAGTTTATTTTTAAAAAAAGGCTTTATACATTTACCTTTGAGAATCAAAAAAGTATTCTTTTGTACAATTGACAATAAATGCAGTAAATGACAAAGTTGTATTTTCGTTTCTTATTACTGTACATAAATTATACTAATGTTAGCCAAAATTATTCTCTTGTCAATTCCATTGTAAATATGATACGTAGAGTAGTTGAAAAAATAGTTTTCAAAATTCAGGATTTGTGATTTTTATTAAATTTAAGGAGGCTAGTGGATCAACAAATTATTTCTTTATTAACCACCAGATATAACTTAAAATTTTGGGATATGATTACTTAAGCTGTCAACTATCATTTGGCAAAGAAAAATTTCATAAATTTTAGTTTTAAAATTCGATCATTTGATATCTTTATATGGAGCTCTTCTTCTAAAGGAGATCAAAATAGTCTAAAAATGGCCACAATCACCCAGCCCCTTTAAAACAAATGTACATGTATATCATGTTCAAAAATACTTGCCATTTGGCAATTTTGTCGAAGTCAGTGTTGTCAGGTGCAGTAACAGCAAAATGTCAATCACAGTGAACTTTACTTTCATTACACTGTGCACTAAAGTTGACTGCATCTTGCAAAGAAAGCCAAATAAGTCTATTTCATCCTCCATGTTGTCTTCAATGTTGTCACCTTCAGTGCTATTGTCTCCAGTGTTGTCATCTTCAGTGTTGTCACTTTCAGTGCTGTCATCTTCAGTGTTGTCATCTCCAATGTTGTCATCTCCAGTGTTGTCATCTCAAGTGTTGCCATCATCAGTGTTGTCATCTCCAGTGCTATTATCTCCAGTGTTGTCATCCTCAGTGTTATCATCTCCAGTGTTGTCATCTCCAGTGTTATCATCTTCAGTGTTGTCATCTCCAGTGTTGTCATCTTCAGTGTTGTCATCTCCAGTGTTGTCATTTCCAGCTTTGTCATCTTCAGTTTTGCCATCCTCAGTGTTGTCATCTTCAGTGTTGTCACCTTCAGTGCTGCCATTTTCAGTGTTGACATCCCCAGTGTTGTCATCTTCAGTGTTGTCATCCTCAGTGTTGTCACCTTCAGTGCTATCATCTCCAGTGTTGTCATCCTCAGTGTTGTCATCTTCAGTGTTGTCATTTCCAGTGTTGTCATCCTCAGTGTTGTCATCTCCAGTGTTGTCATCTCCAGTGTTGTCATCTCCAGTGTTGTCATCTTCAGTGTTGTCATCTACAGTGTTGTCATCCTCTGTGTTGTCATCTTTAGTGTTGACATTCTCCGTGTTGTCCTCAGTGTTGTCATCTCCAGTGTTGCCATCCTTAGTGTTGTAATCTTCAGTGTTGTCATCCTCAGTGTTTTCATCTTCAGTGTTGTCACCTTCAGTGCTGTCATCTTCAGTGTTGTCATCCCCAGTGTTGTCATCTCCAATGTTGTCATCTCCAGTGTTGTCGTCCTCAGTGTTGTCACCTTCAGTGCTATCATCTCCAGTGTTGTCATCCTAAGTGTTCTTCTCCAGTTCTATCATCTCCAGTGTTGTAATCATCAGTGTTCTCATCTCCAGCATTGTCATCCTCAGTGTTGTCATCTCCAGTGCTATCATCTCCAGTGTTGTCATCATCAGTGTTGTCATCTACAGTGTTGTCATCCTCTGTGTTGTCATCTTTAGTGTTGTCATCCTAATTGTGTCATCTTCAGTGCTTTTATCTCCAGTGTTGTCATCCTCAGTGTTGTCATCTCCAGTGTTGCCAACCTCCCTGTTGTCATCTTCAGTGTTGTCACCTTCAATGTTGTCATCTTCAGTGTTGTCATCTTCAGTGTTGCCATCCTCAGTGTTGTCACCTTCAGTGCTATCATCTCATCCTAAGTGTTGTCATCTTCAGGTTGTCATCTCCAATGCTTTTATCTCCAGTGTTGTCATCCTCAGTGTTGTCATCTCCAATGTTGCCACCCTCCCTGTTGTCATCTTCAGTGTAGTCACCTTCAATGTTGTCATCTTCAGTGTTGTCATCTCCAGTGTTGCCACCCTCCCTGTTGTCATCTTCAGTGTTGTCACCTTCAATGTTTTCATCTTCAGTGTTGTCATCTTCAGTGTTGCCATTCTCAGTGTAATCATCCTCAGTGTAGTTATCCAGTGTTGTCATGTTAAGTGTTGTCATCTTTAGTGTTGCCATCCTCAGTTTTGTCATCTTCAGTGTTGTTACCTTCAGTGTTGTTATCTTCAGTGTTGCCATCCTGTTGTCATTGTCATCCTTCAGTTTTGTTGTATCTTCAGTGTTGTATCTTCAGTGTTCATCCTCAGTTTTGTCATCTTTGGTGTTGTCATTTTCAGTGTTGTCACCTTCAATGTTTTCATCTTCAATGTTGTCATCTTCAGTGTTGTGACATTCAGAGTTGTCATCTTCCATGTTGTCATCTCCAGTGTTGCCATCCTACGTGTTGTCATCTTTAGTGTTGCCATCCTCAGTTTTGTCATCTTCAGTGTTGCTATCTTCAGTGTTGTTACCTTCAGTGTTGCCATCCTTAGTATTGTCATCCTCAGTTTTGTCATCTTCAGTGTTGTCATCTTCAGTGTTGTCACCTTCAATGTTTTCATCTTCAATGTTACCATCCTCAGTTTTGTCATCTTCAGTGTTGTCATCTCTAGTGTTGCCATCCTTAGTATTGTCATCCTCAGTGGGGTTGCAAAAGCAGACTCGCAAAATTTCAAGGTCTGAAAAGATTAGGCTGGCAAGATCTAGTTCCATGGCGAGTTCTCATAAAAAAAACTGCAATTTTAGAGTATAAGTCTTTGGAGAAATGGAACTCATGTGGAAGCATTCTCAGGTAGTGTATGTTCAAATCATCACCCCTGGGGGTAGGGTGGGACCACAATGAACGGCCAAAGTTTTAAATAGGAATATATAGCGAAAATCTTTAAAGTAATATAAGCCGTATGGATGCCGATTTGTATGTGAAACAAAATTATTAAATGATTTGAAACACATAAAGTGTAATGAAAAAATAATATTTCAACAAAATTTAACTATAAAACTCGTTGTAATAACAGAACAATAAAGCAATATCTGCAATCAAGAATTCAGTCTTTTCATGAATATTGATAAAGGAAGTGCGTAAACAGTAGGTCTAAATATAGACACTTATGTCCACGGGAAATTATAGACAACGAAGCACGTTGCATTTTAACAACGATTATTAATAAAAGGTTAATATGCGTCATAACAGAGTATAGATGGTTGATACTGATTACATTTAAAGATAATTTATATTAATAGTAACACGCCATCCATGTCAAAAGTGAGTTGTATCTCAAAGGGCTTACCTCGTTTTCTTGACGCCGTGTTTGTTTATCAATCTAAAAGTAGCGACGGCGTCACGTGGTGGATTTACTTAAAAATAGACATTATTCTCCTTGCAGGATAATAAATAATTATAATTTTATAACTTTATAACAAATTTTATTTAAATGGTGTAATTTACAGCATTTTCGTAACTTTTATTGGTAAACAAAATATATAAATTTCCAGCCGTATTTTGAAATGGCGCACATTATAGCGTATATTACTTTAAAAGTATTCATGTCAAGAGCAGCAAAGCCATGATTGGTCATATCTTATGTGAAAGCATCCTCCGGTGGTTAGATTCAAATTTGTTCAAATCATCTCCCCCGGGGGAAGGGTGGGGCCACCATGGACGATCAAAGTTTCACATAGGAATTTGTATGAAAAATCTTCTCAAGAATAGCAGAGCTATGATTGATCATATTTATAAGGAAGCATCCTCAAGTGGTGCAGATTCAAGTTTGTTCAAATCATGACCCCCTGGGTAGGATGGAGTCGCTCTGGTCGATCATAGTTTTACATAGGAATATAGGAAAAATTTTCTCAAGAATAGCAAAGCTATGATTGGTTATATTTATGTGAAAGCATCTGCAGTGGTGTAGGTTCAAGTTTGTTCAAATCATCACCCCCGGGGGTAGAGTAGGGCCATGATGGTCGATCAAAGTTTTACATAGGACTTCTGAGTGTATATATATGAAAAATCTTCAAAAATCTTAATATTTCTCAAGAACAGCAAAGCTATGATTGGTCATATTTATATGGAAGCATCCTAAGGTAGTGTAGTTTAAAGTTTGATGAAATCATGACCCCTGGGGTAGATTAAGGCCACAATTAAAGTTCAAACTCGTAGGAATAAAGTCAGTAAGCCAAAATAAAAAAATATGTACACATCCTTAGTGTAGATTCAATTTTGTTCAAATCATACCCCTCTCTCTTTTAGGGACATGTTGGGACCTTTTATGCATTTATACTTTTTAAAACTACTGAGTACATTGATTTTTGTTTTTTTTCCCTAGCCATTTCTCAGGTGAGCGATGTGGCCCCCGGAACTCTTGTTTAAATTTGCATTTCTAGTTCACCTGAACCAACGGCTCAAATGAGCTTTTTAGATTGAATATGTCCCTATGTAAACTTTTCATATTTTGCCAAAACCATTGACGAACTTTTTTTAAATAAAAATTCAGCAATGTGTTCATCGTCAAAGGATCCAATGAAAAATGTACATGTATATCAGAAACAGGGGCATGATTAGTCATATGAACATAATGCATGCACAGTTAATTACAATAGACATCTTAAGTTGCCAACACTAGTTCTAAACATTGAGGACCCAAGTAATTGTAACCTTATCATAAGTCCATATGTCCAGAACTTATGAACTTTTCGCACTGATGTAATCAACTGTACTTTTGTACCAGTTACTCAGTACATCAAAATCGACTGCACTTTTAAAATCGTAAATTGAGAGGTCAAACTGATTTTAAAAACCTGAGAAATAAAGGAAATTGGGATAAGATTATCGGGATTCAGCTTTTGTTGTTTTGCACTTTCTCCATTGAAGAGTTCTGATTTTATAGGCTTGTCTCAAGTTTCACGTTGGTAAAGAACTGAATAATGAAAGGCAGCGATCATATCTGTTTTCCGCCACCTTCTAGGTTTGTCCCACTTTTATTAAATCAGATCTTTTTCACATATATAACGCGATGTTCCTTGCATGTCTTTATGACTGCCCCATTTGTAGTCCCCCACGTAATGTCCAGGAAGGAAGATTAACCCAAAGTTCTGCTCTCCCGGATTGTCCGGTTCGTTGGTTCCCCAGTTTGTGTAATTGACTGGTACCCCGTCACTCCACTGCCATTGCCCCTGTACCAAGTGAGCTCCGATGTAGTACCCCCACACATAATCTGCAAAGGAAAAATAACTATAGATTGTATGGTATATAGTACAATGTATAGGGATGTCAAATTCAAAATTTGACGTTTTTAAAGTACTCGGTAAAGGTGTAAACAATTAAAAAATTGATAACTGTAAAACATTGTAAATATCGATGGGAGGTTTGTAAATGCGTTGTAACAATTATGACCAGTTTGTAACCGACGAAATTTAATCTAACATTTTTTTTAAGTTCAATTTCAGATAAATACGAGAAATAAAATCAGAAATGGCACAGTGTTTTTGTTTATAATCTGGAATTGTGTAAGGTTTGATGTCCAAGTGATAAGTTGTCTGAGCTATATGTCTAAACTTGATCAAGTTATCCTATAACAGAGATTTATAATTATGTTTGAAATTTTAGTTTAGAGCAAATGGACATAAGATTTTTAAAGCATTTGCATTAATTGGCATGTAATCAAATGCATCCAAATCAACAATCGCATGCAATATCGTCTGTCTCTTTCCGTTATCTCCATAAGTTATGAGAAGAAAAATTTGTTTAAATATAATGGACCTTATACGATGTTCAATGAAAACAAATAATTAAAGCAAACTAAATATAAGGGAAGACGACAGTCGATGGTGAGAAAAGCCCGGGTAGGTACATCAGGTGTTTGGTCACGATAAGTACTGTATAAACACTGCCACAGGCGATAACGGTCATTTAGAGGCATAGGAAACCCTTATTACTGTATGTACAAGTGCAATGAACATTTTACGTTTCAAAACCGATGTTTTAATACATTAATAAATAAGCTTAGAAATATTTTAAAAATATACATCCGAGTAACCGAGTACCGATTTTAGTATTCGATACCTACCCGGTTAACCGGGTACTCGTTGACATCCCTACTATGTATACATTCAAATTTGCTAAAGTACTCACAATTAAAAAATATTTACATATCATTTTTGTGACAACATTTTTTCTACCCTTCTGTGACGTTTAAACCAATTGCATTTCCCTGGCAATGTGTATGGAATGTGAAGGTTTCGATGCCTTCTGTCTTTGCAGTAAAGAAATTATGTTTGAAATTTTATGAAGACTGTCGATATTCTTTAGAATGATTCCACAAGTTATGGAAGAAAAACAATAAAGAAACAAAGTTATTGGCGTCTTGAGCATTACACCATGCCAGGGGGACTTGATTCTTCTTTGTACGTAATAAATAAATATAGTCTTTACTTTTAAAATAACACCTGTTTACTAAAACAATGTTAGTTGCTTTAGTTGTTACGATCATGTTATGTTTTTATGAATATACAAGCCGGGAACCTGTGGTTTTGCTGAAAGTGGATGTTTGCAATATAGCTATATTCCGTATCTCATGGAGGTTGCTTATCAACTATTAAATACATTGTATTCGTGGAGGTCCTTACTTACTTGGCATTTGATTATTATCTACAAGAGGTTGAATAGAACTCCGGATGAAATTTTCCTCTAGCTGGTCTTCAATCTTTACCAAGTAACCTCCCTTTACTTTACAGATCTGGCCGGCCTCTCTCCAGTATTTTATTTCGGTGGAGAAATAGTAGCAGTGGTTCAAGTACTGCTTGAAATCAGAGGGGCATTCTGAAATAATATCAATGCGTTTCCTCAGTCAATCAAGTGCTCTAAAAATGGATAAAGAATGCTTCAGTCTCAAAAAGCTTTCGCGGGTTATGCAGTTTTTAGTCGGCAAAGCTGCATTAACATCAGTTCCCATACTGTGACAACCAAAAAAAGCAAGTTACTTTTAAAGTTTCAATGTGTATTTTTAGATAACCGAACAATTGTACAACATTCATTTGCCAGTCTTCAAAAAAGGGTTGCTCACTAGGTGTCGCTGTAGTAGTTGACATCGTTGTTGTTGTGGTGGTGGTGGTTACTGTGCTAGTAGTTGTTGCTGATGTTGTGGAAGTGGTCGCTGATGTTGTAGGTGAAGTAGGGGTACTCGCTGTTGTAGAGGATTGTGTTGATGTGGGTGTTGTTGTTTTGGATGTTGTTGATGCTGTTGATATTATATTGGTTGTGGTTGCTGTAGAAGACGCCATTGAAGAAGATACGGATGTTGAGGTTGGTGAAGCCGTCGTTGAAGCCGCATGAGAGTGCGCCATGGAACAGTTACGGTTACACATATCGTTTGGACAGCAGGTGAAGCAGAATCCAGCACGCTTCTCCACTTCTCTGGGGGCTAAGTTGTAGTTGTGCTCGCTCATCCCTCTACCAACCACAGCGTGGCCCGATGCTTGGCATGTCTGAAGTGGTAGGAGATCCATTCTGCAGTTAATCTAGCGTAGGGATTTTTATCCCTGAGACTTTGCATGTTAGCATGCAGATTTTTCTACTTTTTCAATTCAGTAATAAACTCCAAATTAGTGCCTTATTCATCAGAGAGATACAGTACATACCGATTTGCGAACACATCCTGTAGTATAGGCCAAATCATATTGAACCCCAGGTGCCCGCATGATGTGACATTCCTACGTAAGATTTGAAAAAAAACATGAAAGTACGGTTCAAATTAGGATAATTTATTTTAATACTAAATCTACTATTGTGATAAATGAAGGACTTCTTACGTGGGGTGATTATTTAATTCTTACACAATCTTCGGGACACACGGTCACTTTGTTGCATCCATCCTCAATCTGTTGTTGGAAACAATTGTAGCAAATTGGTCCTCTTTTGCCCATTGGAGGGAGGGCTAAACTCAAAGTGAGAACAAGTGAATATTACTAACATTAATTTTGGGGGAATGGGGTTTAAGCAAAGTTAGACTTATGTAAGCTCCAGACCTGTAAGTAAAAATCTACTCACCCGGCTGTCCACAGCCTCCATAGTTACAGTGATCAGAATTGCAACATTCCTCACAGGTTTTGATCTCTCCCCCCTCCCCGACTTGTCTCCTCACCCCCGGGGCGTCACGCTTACCATTCAGTCCACAAATCTAATTTGTTAAAGTTTTATATATTAAAATAAAAAAAATATATTTCAGGCTTGATAAACTATCAAAGGAAGAAAAACTTTTTATTTTATTTATTTATTTTATTTTGTTTTTGTTGGTGTTGATAAATTCTTACAGATTTTGACCGACAACCGCTCCTGTAGAATATATGTCCATCTGGAGTTATGAACTGGTCAATGTAACAAATCTGTTCTCAGACAAAAGTTTATTTCAATTAATTAATCAACAGATTGATTAAACAAAAACAAGATTTTTATAGAAATAAATCGAAATGAGCTTATTTTTCTACCTATAGTCAATTTTCTAAATTCTCCATTTTAAAAAAAGTTTCTGGATATCAAGAAAATTACAAAACAGAGCTAGATTACTAGTTTATCATAGACTAGATACATTCAGAAAATACAGTCGAACCTCGTTATCTCGAACTCGTATTGATTATGAATTTATTGGGGAAAGAGTGATTATCAAACCTCGTGATCCCCACATTGAGTTACAAACGGACAATCCCGAGGATATGCGATTCTGTCCGGACAGGAAAAACAAGAAATAGCAGCCAAAGATCCTAATAGAAGAGAAATTCTGTATTAAATACCGGAATGTTTAGAAAACTTTTTTTCAATAATTCTGCTCCATGGATATTTTTTTTTCAAGTTATTGAAAGTCAGCTTAAAAAGTGCAGCTCCCTGTTAAATTTTTGCCCATTTTTTATTTGACCAATCTTCATTGAATTATTAAAAACCTCGAAAAGTTCATTTCCTCATTGTGTACCTTTTCCCCCTAAATATGAACCTGCTATACCGATAAACAATCGCTTGTACATTCCAGCTCAGTATTGGCGAATGTTTTAATTCCGATACATACATATACCATTGACTGGGTTAAGAATAACTTTAGCTCACATCAAATATTCTCTGATACAAAATTCATTTTTAATTTTGCAGTGTAAAATAAGTTTTTTGAAATTGTTAATTTGTGAAACAGATGCCCGAGTGAAACGAAACACAAAATATAGGGTACAAAAATCTGAAATTATTGTTTTGATTTCGAACATTTATATATATTTTTTTCAAAAGAATATTTAATTTAATTTAAAACACTAGCCATAAAAAAAAATCATTCATGACTGAAAGTTGGGATAGTCGATGAAAAATGCAACTTTGATATCAAAATTGAACAAATTTAAGAAAAACAAACATGAAAATAAATCAACATTATGGGTTGATAAATGTTTAGAATGTCGAATCTGTAACAGTAGCATTCCCACTCTTGAATTTCATTCTAATATGCATACTCCTCTGGTATATTGAGTCAACGACCGCTAAAGGACTTATTTCACTCAGTAGCTTTGAATGAAAACATTGTGGATAACAGTAAAGAAACGAAATACCTTGAAAAACCGTTGTAAAAATAAGCGTAAGGATGGAGACGTCTGTAAAATATAAAATGAATATCATAGAAATAAAGTGGAAACATTAATTTAAACAAATAATTTTAAAATGTTGAAACTTACTTTGTTTCATGCTGGTCAATTCTAGGTCACAATAAAGAGAGAAGAATTTACGTCAGTGTCTTATCTCAAATAGGAATTCATGACCTCCAAAAAGTGGAAGTACCGGTATATGATTGATATATATTGTCTTCTAAGCGATGTAGGTACAGTGTACTAATAATTTTACCTAAATACAGTATTGTGTTTCTAAATAATTCGATTTTTAATTTTTTTTTAATCAAATAAGTCACAACAACAACAGCAACAAAGTTATAGAATGCTTTTATATAACAGTGGCTTACACTTTGATAGAATTTTCTGCATTTTTCTGTAGAATTTTACAAACAGGCAAAACTATGATACAGTAATGAATGCGAAAGAAGCACTGCTGGTAAAGTGCGCATCGAGAAAATCTTGGTTTCGGACATCAGCTACTATTGGCACATGTGAATTATATAGTTTAATGCATATTTTTTGATATAACACAATAAAAATCACTTTCTAGAAAGCAAATTTTGTAAATAGTTGAGTGAATGGATTGCTTTTAACCCCCAGAAGGGTTCAATATCGAAACATTACATGTAAATGTTTACATCTTGTTTTTCATGTACTCGTATGGTGGCATATTTCTGTCCCCTACATGCAATATAAATTATGTTAACATGCGACATAGTTACCAATCTTATAAGAAAATATAATTTAAATATGGGTAAATTTACCTACTAACGCCTGTATCTGACATTTTAGATGCAACATGCAAGATAATTATGTCAACATGCGACTTATTTATGTCAACATGCAAGATACTTATGTCAACAATATAAGGATTGTTTACTGAAACACAAATACATCACTGTATAATAATATGTAAATATTTCTACATTCCACACATATTTATGTTAACATGCAAGATAATTATGTCAACATGCAACTTATTTCTGTCAACATGCAAGATAATTATGTTAACATGCAAGATATGTAAGTTGATATGCAAGTTGCATGTTGACATAAATAAGTTGCATGTAAACATAAATATCTCACATTTTAACATAAGTATCTTGCATGTTGACATAAGTTGCATGTCCATACATAATTAACTCGCATGTTGACATAAATATCTTGCATGTGTACATAATTAACTCGCATGTTGACATAAATATCTTGCATATCAACATAATTATCTTGCATGTTAACATAATTTAATCGCATCTTCTCATACTTGCATCTACGATGTCAGATACGGGCGTCAGTACGGGATTTTACCCATATTTAAATCAGATTCTCTTAAAAGATTTGTAACTTGCATGTCACATAATTATCTTGCATGTATACATAATTTTCTTGCATGTATACATAATTTTCTTGCATGTATACATAATTTTCTTGCATGTTAACATAATTTATCTTGCATGTAGGGTGCAGAAATATGCAGAATTTTTCACATTTTCGTTGGCTTGTCAATCACCTGCGACCCTCATCCTTCCTACATATACATTTAAGGAATCACTGTCTAGTTAGTATAGTATGCCAGGGCATCAACGATAGTGGGAAACATGGGATAATTTGCATAACGGGCAAAGCCCGTTATGCATAAATTATCCCATGTTTCCCACTATCGTTGATGCCCCTGACATACTGTACTAACTACCCTAACAAAAAAATACTATAGTTAATTATAGTTTACTATAGTTAACTATAGTTATAACTTTGACACTTTGAAAACTTTGATTTACTATAGTGATAACTTTGACACTTTAAAAACTTTATCGAAAACTTTGAAACTTTGATTGATTGATTGATTGATTGTATATTGTTTAATGTCCCTCTCGAGAATTTTTCACTCATATGGAGACGTCACCGTATGCCGGTGAAAGGCTTCAAATTTTGACCGTTACTCGGCACTCAGGGCCATTGAGCAGTGAGGGATCTTTATCGTGCCAACGCCTGCCGCTGACACGGGGCCTCGGTTTTTAAGGTCTCATCCGGAGGACCCGCAACTTTCACTTCAAAGTGCCGAGCGCATGGCGAAGGAACAGTTGCTACCCATTTTAACGACTAGGTCAGTCGCGGCCGAGATACGAACTCACGACCTCCCGATCAAGCGTTGACACTTTGAAAAACTTTGGCGAAAACTTCGACACTTTGAAAAACTTTGGTGAAAACTTGGACACTTTGAAAAACTTTGGTGAAAACTTTGACACTTTAAAAAAACTTTGGCGAAAACTTTGACACTTTGAAAAACTTTGGCGAAAACTTTCAACATTGAAAAAGTTTATCAAAAACTTTGAGACGTTCAAAAAGTTTATCGAAAACTTTGACACTTTGAAAAACTTTGGCGAAAACTTTCAACTTTGAAAAGGTTTATTGAAAACTTTGACACCTTCAAAATTTTATCGAAAACTTTGACACTTTCAAAAACTTTATCGAAAACTTTGACACTTTCAAAAACTTTATCGAAAACTTTGAAACTTTGATAATATTTGGTGAAGACTTTGCAACTTTAAAAACTTTATTGAAAACTTTGACACTCTGAAAAACTTTATTGAAAACTTTGATACTTTGGAAAACTTTATCGAAAACTTTGACACTTTGAAAAACTTTGGCGAAAACTTTGACACTTTGAAAAACTTTGGCGAAAACTTTGACACTTTGATTTACTATAGTTAACTATAGTAAACTAGAGTTGACTATAGCTAACTATAGTTAACTATAGTTTTTTTGTTAGGGTAGACAGCGATTCCTTATATTCATTTCATTGTGAAATAAAATTGTAGATTTAGATTTTGAAAATGTAGACATAGATTTAAACTACACGAGGACTCCCATGCCAATTTCAATAGTCCTCGGCCACTGAAGTCAAACACTATGGCAGCTGCACGAGATTTACCTGCATACTAGTATTTGGCATCTCTAGCGTCAGACACAGAGACAGATGAGCATGAGATTTGCATGCATATTAGGCCTCCTTAGCTCCTGACCTATCGACCTGCCTCATTTATATTCCGGTAGAATTATCAAGAAATCAACTCCTCTAACTTTCAAAGAGTTATCACAGAGAAAAAAAAAATTAGAAATGGAAATATTGAAAAATAATGTCACGGGTCTGCATGTGTAATAAATATTAAGGTGTCTGTATGTCATTCAAATATTGAGAATATTTTGTTGAGATATTAAAATATTCCATACAAGTTAATTATCGGAAATACTTAATACTTGTCCATGTCATCTTTCCAAGTCAAAGGTTGAAAAAACTATTCAGGGAGGGGATAAAAAATTTAAACACACTCACATGCATCAACGTCTATTCCATTCAAATACACGTAAATCTCATTAAAGAGAGGTCAATCTTTATTCCTTGGGGTTGGGGGTCCAAGGTCTTTTTTGTTTCTTCTGCATAGAAAGTTTGTAACTCTAAAGTTCTAGATAGTCAATTGAAGATGACTTACAACATTTAAATTGAACTTTGGGATTGAACCTTAATGAACAAATACTCCAGTAACATATTTTAGTGAAACAAGTTCATAATTTTTAAGAATATGCACTAATTCAATATAAACTAATTAACCATAAAAAATTTTGCATTTTAAATCCTTTATTTTTTTCTTATTAAGGAACAAATTATGTTGGGAGGTGTATATATATATATATATATATATATATATATATATATATATATATATATATATATATATATATATATATATATATATATATATATATGCAATACATTTTGAATATTCGATAGAAGCAACCAATCCTCGACTTGGGTGTATATGTTTTTGGGATTTACTCAAGGACGTTGCACTATCTGATGTGTCGATATTAAATTTAAATGTATTTCACGGAAAACAATACATTTATGATACAGCATTACAACGTCGCACCTCATGAAGCAGAACAGAAGCCAATCATAGCCAATTAAGAGTCGCATATACAGCAGCCATACTCGCGCTGTTATCAGAAAACTTTATATTGCATCAAAAGTGTGAAACATTAAAGACATGGGGAATCATAAATGATTCATACAGTATACTCATATCATTTTTAACACAAGTAATGTAGTGTAAATCTTGTTGAACACGTAAAAATCAAAATATGAATAGATCCAGTAAAAACATTGAACGGATGTGACCTAAAGCATTTACTGGATTGCTCCTTATATGTATTCAACCAACAAAAAATTCTACTAGATTAAACCATACTGAACATTAAATAATTACGTCTTAATCAAACGTCCTCTATCATTTCTGATCGTTTAGTTGACATAGACTGCGTCATTGAGTAACCCAATAGTAGCTGGTGTCCGAAATCAAGATTTTCTCGATTCGCACTTTACCAGCAGTGAGAAGGTAGAAGGTGTTGTTTTGCCTCCTACCTCCAAACGAATTTTCAAAAATATCATTTTCATTTTTATGCAAGTATTTATAAATATTTTTTTAATAAGATTTTTTTAAAAATGTTTTCAAAAAAGAGCGATAACCTTATTTTTTGAAACACTCAAAAACGTCACTTCTTTCACTAAATAAAACACAATCTTTAAATAGCTTTGCCAAACGTGAAAAATGTAGACAGGAAATGAGAGATAGCGTTTGGAGTTCTTCATTAGAATGCCTTAAAATTCATTCATCGTGTAATACATGTTTTGTTTTACGTTTTTTCCTCATTGCTGACTACTAGTGTTCTACAAAACCTGTATATAGTATACCGCCACAATGATGAACTTTGGCTGATTTTATAAAACACTCTACTTGACATTAGACTCATGACTCGTAAAACAAAGTTACAGAAAATAGTAAACAGTTACATTTTGTTTAGAGAACATTTGAGGTTGGATTAAAAATGTTAACTTCCATGTAACGAAAGTTCAAAAATATAAATATGCATTCCATTGAGATAATAAAAAAAATACTTTGTTGAGGTGTGAAATTTTGTTGTGAACCTTTGTGGAAAATAGATTATTTGATCAAGTAACATAGCATAAACAACAACAAAAATGGTTTACATTATGTCATTTATTCAATTTACATGTACATGATAAAATGATGTGTTTGTGAAACACTGATGCCCCTGTATGACAAGGGTTGAATTTTTTTCAAATGCAAGTCAGAATCAAAGATCGTGGTCAAAAGATCAAAATTGTTGGTATTCAAAGAAAGGTCTTTCATAAGTTACTGAGTATATGAAAACCAAAGTACAAGCTATTCAAAAGTTGTGACCGATGACATTTTTTTTTAAAGTGGGTCAAATTCTTAAAGTCAAGGTTAAAAGTTCAAATTTATCTGTACCCAATGAGAGGTCTTGTCACAAGGAATACACTTGTGAAATATTAAAACCCTAGAAGTAGCTATTCAAGAGTTATAACCAAGGTTAAAAACTGGCATTTTTTTGTAAAAGTGGATCAAACCAAAAGGCCAAGATTTCAGATTTAATGGTACCCAAAAGAAGGTCTTGTCACAAGGATTTCGAATACACCTGTTCAATAAGAAAGCCGTATCTCCACCCACTCAAAAGTTATAGGCAAGGTTAAAGTGTTTTTTGCGGACAGACAGATTAACGAACAGGCAGACGGACTGACAAACAGGACAAAAACTATATGTCCCCGAATCTTCTATTACAGGGCAAAAAATCCCATTCTTATAAAAACGTCTTCAATTGCATTCATTGAATTTGAATTACAGCAGTCAAACGATTAAATACGTGCATCCACAATGCATGTATACGCAATGAAAATAAAATTCTTGATAATTGCAAATACTAGTACTTGTGATATGTTATATTATATTGAGCTTAGACTTTTTCTTAACTTGTAAATTGTACAGTTCATTGAAATTTTTGATACTCTAATGTGAAAGTTGTTTAACATTAAGTCTTGTACAACAAGAATAACAGAACACATAGAGATGCACATACATTCGTTCTGGAGCAATTTTTATTCCTTTAGGATAATTTTCAACATTATTCTGGACACAAATGTACAGGTTTTTATTTAAAATGATTATAACGTTTTTAAACAAAATATCAATTCCCGTAAAATTAACAATTACAGCATATCTTACTATGCAGATTGAACTTGACAAAAACACCTGTTTACTTGACAATCAGAATGGTTATTGGAAGTACTGGTCATTAGTCCCAGTACTAGTTATCTCCCTTAGTAGGAGGTCAATGAACCTGAATAGTTCTTGTCAAAGAGCTTCGCCAAGAGCGAAAAATAAGTGATGTACGTCACTGTTGTTTACAACTTTAGTCTAAAGAAGAGTTGTGGAGTTTGTGGTGAGGTTTATCTTACTATGCAGATTGAACTTGACAAAAACACCTGTTTACTTGACAATCAGAATGGTTATTGGAAGTACTGGTCATTAGTCCCAGTACTAGTTATCTCCCTTAGTAGGAGGTCAATGAACCTGAATAGTTCTTGTCAAAGAGCTTCGCCAAGAGCGAAAAATAAGTGATGTACGTCGATCACTGTTGTTTACAACTTTAGTCTAAAGAAGAGTTGTGGAGTTTGTGGTGAGGTTTTCATTTGTCGCCGACATCATTGTGCCCAAATGGGCCCATAAAAATACAATTACTCCTCGTGCTTTTCTCCTTACCCCCCCCCCCCCCAAAAAAAGAGAAATCAGATGAAAGATTGCAGTTCACACATTTCGGTGCGTGTAGAAGTCATTGTTCAAAGTGAAACAAAGCATGGTAATCGGTGTTTAATACCGGAGAGTCGCGGAAAAGCAAGTAATAAATTCGCGTATTATCATGTTGTAAATTTTGAATTTACTAGGGGGAGGTTAGTTAGAATAATCTAACTGTGTCTCGGTACAGGCCCTCACCACAGTTAGAATACGTCCCATATACTTGTAATGTAGCAAATCGGAGCGGATCCGCTCCGAAACGATTTTGAAGAATATAAAATGATTTGCACTGGGAATAACTACCAAAATAATCAAAACAAACCTTCTTGAGATTGCTTATGCCTTTTATCCCAAAAAATAATCCATATAAATACGAAAATCCAATTAATTTTCTCAACGTTTTTCTCTCGATTCAAATTACTGACCATGTTTACATTCGGAACTCTCTAGATTGTTCCAAGTAAATGCACTATGCGAGTTATCGTACATTACGAATACACGGAACGAATTCTATCGTTAAACCGGGTCCGTAGGACAATATCATTTTAACGATAGAACATTCTATCTAGGGGGAGGTAAATGCTACATTTACAGCATGATAACTTTGTTGTAAATTTTGCATTTACCTCCCCCTAGTAAATTCAAAATTTGTAAATTTTGAATTTACTAGGGGGAGGTAAATGCTAAATTTACAGCATGATAACTTTGTTGTAAATTTTGCATTTACCTTCCCCTAGTAAATTCAAAATTTACAACATGATAGTATGATTTGTCACAGGAAAAACAGTTTCGAATCTCGGAAAGTGAAACTGTGCATTTAAGATAAATATCTCCCTTTGAAAGGACATGATTTCAGAATAGATTTCAAAACTCCTTAATGAAAGCACATATTCTTCAAATGTTAACAAGACTGCTTTACAGCTGATCATTTTCTATACTCTCTTCAACAAGGTGTCTCTCTGTTTCTTCTTTTCCATTGATTTCTTCCACAACTACCTTTCGGACTCTGTCAATGTCAAAAATATATTAATACTGAGATCAGAAACGCACTGAGGTAGGTACATGATATGTATTTGAGATAGAAAAGAAAACAGCAGAAAGGTTCCATTATTAAATCATCCACGCATGCGCACTTCCTTGCAGTATTATGTTACCTTCCAAAATTGATTCCATCCTCAATTGTCTCTGGTAATTTCTGGTTCAATGTTTCTGGTAAATAAAGGCACATGATACCGGCAGCTACAGAGGCAGCCCCAAAAATAACCAGAGGTAACGCCTCCCCGAGGGAGCCCTCTATAGACATGCCCTGTAAAAAACGATTTTAAATTAGTAGGCAGGTACTGGGTATATGAAAAGAAGATATATCAGGATCTTTAAGAAATAAATAAAAAAAAGTATGTGCAAAGGAACTAAATTGACAATTCTTAATCGCTGAAACAATAAACTTACGAGGGTGACAAAATATGGTGCAATCATGCTTCCAATTCTGGCAAAACAAGAGCCTGTTCCAAGAGCGATGTTCCTGATTACGGTGGGGAACAGTTCCACGGTGAAAATGAAAACCACCACAAAGGCAGTAGCGGCGGCGAACTTACCAATCACAGCCAGAGCAACGGTCAATGGTTGTAAAGCTGAAATGGATTTTAGTTTTAATTTTTAATGAAAAGATATATACGAGAGAAATAGTTTTTAAAAAATAAACTTACAAGAAAATCAACAAACTTGCCATCAAATTCTCATCAGTATTTAAAGAATCACCTTCTTAGTCTTTCTAGTATATTGGATATGATATAGCTGCAGAACTGTATCTCTCCGAAAAAAAATATATATATATTGACAGACCGGCCTGTAATATACTGTTTTTTTTTTTCGGAGAACTACAGTTCTGCAGCTAGATATAGTAGGGCATAAATGGATTTATTAAAGAGGTTTTTGTTTTTTGAAGAACTTACTTTCCCTGGCAAACGTCACTGTAAATATGGTACAAAGACAAGCCACGCCTCCTCCGACCATAAAAATTAAATGTAGTTTTTTACGTCCTATTCTGTCTAGTAAGAATATAGCGCACAGAATGCCGGGAAATTCCACAAGGCCCATGAGGAAAAAGTTCAGATAAAAGTTTCCGATGTTTCCTGCATTTAGTGTCACTCCATAATATGTCATACAAACTGCCAGCCTTCAAAAGACAAGAGGCCCACGGGCCTTATAGGTCACCTGAGTATTGTGTAACAACTTTCAAACAATTAAATTTGTGTTTTAAACCAGAGGCCATGAATTTCACAATTCACAATTTTGAAAGAGGCATCATTGCTTATCATAATTATAAACTTAGCATGCTTACTCTATTTTAATACTTGATACCAAGAGGTTGATCAGAGTAACAAAGAGAAAATGCACTTCTACTTTATAACCAGTTGTGAACCTCACCCAAAGGAACCACTGACCCTGGGGACACATATTTCAAAATTTTGCAAATTTTATCATAAAATGGCTGATTAATACCAAATAGCAAATTTCAAAGCATTAATTTATTTTCAGACTATGTACCCCCCCCCCCCCCGACCCAGGGGGGCATAAAAAATAACCATTTTGCTAGATGCACCTCTCTTCATCATAAATATATATACTTGGATCATTGGCATAAAACCCAGGAGCAAAGGAAAAGATTTTCAAAGAATTAATGTATTTTCACTATATAATCAATAGAGCCCCGCCCTAACAATGAATAGACAATTTTGGGGCCATAAAATTCACAATTTTGGAATAGGCACTCTTGCTCATCATAAATATGTACTTAGTTTATTTAATACCCAGAAGCAGAGAAGAAGATTTTCAAAGAATAAATGCATTTTCACTATATAATCACTAGAGCCCTGCCCTAGCATCAGAACTTCTGACCCTGGGGCCATAAAATTCACAATTTTGTAAGAGGCATTCTTGCTCATCATAACTATGTGCTTAGTAAATTTATTCAATCCCCAGAAGCAGAGAAGAAGATTTTCAAAGAATAAATTCATTTTCACTACATAATCAATATAGCCCCACCCTAACACCAGAACCCCTGACCCTGGAGCCATAAAATTTACAATTTTGAAAGAGGCACTCTTGCTCATCATAAGTATGTACTTGTTTAGTTTACTTAAAACCCAGGAGGAGCGAAAAAGATTTTTAAAGAATAAATGCATTTTCACTATATAATCTATATAGCCCCACCCTAGCACTAGAACCCCTGACCCTGGGGCCATGAATTTCACAATTTTGGTAGAGGACTCAATGCTCATTACATTCATGTCAACAGTTTGACTGCTTGATGTCCAGGAGTAAAGAAGAAGATTTTTAAAGATTGCATTAATTTTAGTGGTTTAGGCCCCACCCCTCAGGCCCAAGGGGGCGGGGACCATAAAATTCACAATTTTTGTTCCCCTTTACCCATTGATGCTGTATACCAAATTTGGTTGAAATTGGATCAGTGGTTTCAGAGAAGAAGTTGAAAATGTTCAAATGTTAACACACGACACACGACGCACACCCGCACGACGACGGACGAAAACGGATAGCAATAGGTCACCTGAGTTACTCAGGTGACCTAAAAATCCTAATACATATATAAATATACCCTTTAATGCTAAGTCCACCATATGACATGCCCAAAAAATTTCAATCGTTTGCAATGTGTATAGTTGATGGTTGCACTTCTTCGGAACGGGGGTATGAAAAAGTATATCGCGTTCAATTTGAGCAATAGGGTTACCAAATGCCGAAAGAAACTAAAACTTGTAGATGAATAGCAGCACTTCTTTTCTCATTACATTTAAGTACATGTATGTATTCTGTTGAGAAACTTGCATATAAATTTCAAATGTTGGCATTTAATTTAAGGTATTCATTAGTTGAAATAAAATTTGAAGTAGAAAAATATGAGTTACTGAGAATCTTTTTGAGATTTTACACATTGAAAATATGGCTTGGGATTTTTCATAGACAATGAATAGACAATGTTTTTCTGAAACATATGATGCGAATTAATCTACAAACATATATAAAGGAAACTAACTGGGAATAGAGGTATAGTGGTGGAATTATGCATATTTTGATAGACAAAACCAAAGGAGGTCCGTAAAATGACTGACACGTCAGCTAAATTGGAAGAATACATCCTTCAAAGAGGACGTCACGAAAACATGTCTCATGTACAAGACCTTAATCATATTAAAACACACTGATTATCCACATTTAGCAACTAACCAATTGAAACTCAGTATAGCTGCTCTAAGACACATCGTCTTGCTTTTGAGAAGGTCCATCAGACTTCCCGTCTTTTCTTCCTTTATAATGAGATTCTTGACAATCCCTGGCGACAACTTGGTTCCGTTCACCTTGGCTATCTTCTGTAGGATGGCATTGGCTTCTTCGTGGCGACCTTGGCTTATCAGCCATCGTGGAGACTCAGGAACCAACCTTAAACAACAAAAGAATTAAAATTACAAACTATAATATGGAATCCTGAAAAAGTATACCAGTTACCTCTAAAATGCAAGAGGTGGTTTGATTGATTGAACCGTATGTTGTTCAATACATCCCGTTCGAGAAGTTTTCAAACATATAGAGAAGTCACCAATTCCAGTGAAAGACTTACTTCGACCTTCACTCGGCACTCGGGGCCATTGAGCAGTGAAGGATCTTTATCATGTCAATGCCTGCTATGACAAGGGTCTTGGTTTATAAGGTCTCATCCGAAGGACCCGCAACTTTCACTTCAAATGCCGAGGCTTGTCGAACAAGAGAAGAGAGAGAAAGAAAGGAGAATAAAAGAGCTGTCAATGTTTGTCTTACCACCAATGTGGAATGATAATGAGACAGGATGCTGCGAGTACAACACATGAAATCTGCCAGTCACGTGATAAATAATACACAAGTGTTTGATACACCAGTCCAAAAGAGAAAAACATGTGCTGGATGGTTCCAGTGTACTTCCTTTTAGATGGTCCAACCAGTTCTTGGCCTATAAAAGATAACATTTCGAGACTATGCTGTGGCTATCAGTGATTATACGTGTAATTGACAAAATTTCTATTTAATGCCAATTTGTAAAAGGTCTAGCATTTTAGAAACGTCTTACCAAGAACATTGGTGCACAGAAAAGCGCCATGGTTTGTTGCTCCGATGATGAATTCTAAGATTGTAAAACTGATTATTTCCGGTGCCCAGCTGACTGCAAACGCGCTGACAATAAGCAGCAGGAACCCAATGTACATGCTGATTTTCCTCCCTACCCTTAAATTTGTTTGGAATGTATACAACATTATGAATAGTTTGTAAACAAGGCAAATTATCCGATTTTAATCAATACAGTCAAGTGTCGGTCAACTAGACACCAATAGTCCAAACACCTTACATTCTGGACGAAATGTATGGGGAACAGATTTTTTATGTACGTGTTTATCTGGCGATTATAAAAAATACGATTTAGTACGTGTTGATATTGATGATTTGCTCTCTAACAAGAGCGTCCGGATAAACGAAGCTGGACTGTATATGTGTTAAGGTTCACTACCTTCTACATATTCATATAAAATTTTGACTTTATTACTGAATTTTCCAAAATAATTTAATTTCGAGACAGATGCCCGCCATTTCAGTATTCCTTGCGATCCATAAATTGAGATTGATTGATTGATTGTATATTGTTTAACGTCCCTCTCGAGAATTTTTCACTCGTATGGAGACGCCATCACTTGCCGGTGGACAGCCATATATTTTGTCCCATGCTCTGCACTTTGGGCCATTGAGCAGAGAGGGATCTTTTTCGTGCCAGCACCTACTGCGACATGAGACCTCGGTGTATACGATCTCATCCGCAGGACCGGTCTCCATGTCCCACAGTCATCCTCTATCCAGAGTTGTCGTTCCCGCTACGCTCCCATACACACCTCTGTTAGCGCTTGTTTTACAAGATTCTTAGAATAATTGTAAAAGATTAAAAGTTGTATTGATAGTTGTTTTTAATCATATTTCTTATCAGAAAACATTATTTATTTAAATTTATTACACCATAAAGGTATTTTTTAATTAAGATTTTAATTTTAACTCCGCAAAATAGTTCCCTTAAAACTTTGAAAATAAGTCGTTTTGAGGGATTATAGATTTAAAATAAATGATGAATTATCATCTTCATCGATAATTACAATAATTCTAATTATTATATAAACTTCAAATTTCCACCGTTTAAAATTTGTACAAAAATCTTGTACAACGAGCGTTGACAGAGGTGTATGTGGGAGCGTAACGGGAACGACAACTCTGGATAGAGAATGGTCCCACAGTGGGATTCGATTCTGCGACGTGAGGATTGATTCATTACTTCACGACTCTAGAGCAGACGCTCTAAACACTGCGCCACGCGCGGGCGACCATAAATTAAATGAAATGACCTTTAAACTTGAAATTAGGAAGTTATAGTCATTTACCCCCTGAGAGTTAGCTCTCTTTTCAGAGGGCTGGTGTGCTAAATATTGAATTCAAATTTTATTTATATCTATACCTGAGTACAATTCAAGAGAAAAAAAACAGCAAGGAAATGCGATTTACCTGTCCGACGACCATCCAAACACGACATCACCAACCAAAACACCGAAGTAAAACACCATCCTGGAATGGGACACTAAAATCGCATCGTCACAGACGAGGTTATGCTATTTTTAAAAAAAAGATTTTTGAAAAAAGTATGCTTTAGTAGTTTGTTCCTTTATGTTTGATGCTTTGTTGTCCATAATGTAACAATATACCATTAAAGAGATCACGTACTAATATATATGTATTATATGTTAAATAGGTATTTACATTTGCTGTCCAATTCCTTATTGTTTTGAAAAATGAATATTCTTCAAAACAACTAATAAACTATGCATATTAAACCTTTATGATCAGATGGACTAAAGACACAAAAGGAATAGGCCACTGTTTTTATTTCAACATAAACCGTAATGAATGGAGATACCTCTGAGGTGAACGTTTCTTTGAAAATAGATTTGTCATAGACCCATTCGGAACATGGCTGAAGTGTTGCATTTGCACCAATAGTCAAATTTTGTGGCTCTGTCCCGTTATAAATGTATAACAACGCCGACACATTGAAGTTTGAAGCATGTGAATAGAAGTCACATTTGCTGTAACTTCCTTCGGAGTCTCTTGGGATAGACAGATCAACCAATCGCTGATGCTCATTGTTCTGGATGTCGTATGTATCATCTGGGTAGTCGGCGAGTTTACATCTGGAATTATTTCAATATAGAAAACATTTGAAGTTTTATGATTATAAAGTGAAGATTCTAAGAAATGGGACAACTTGTTTTTTTTTTACCTGTCCATTCGTCTGTTTAGCTGTTCGCAAAAACGCTTATCTTGCCAATAACCTTTGATTGGTTGGAACTATAGCGTTTACAGGTTTATTCTTTTTATTAAGGCATTTCTTTTGGGTATCAACATTCTGACCGTGCATTCTGACCCATTCCAGCTAAATGTTTGAACGATGGTGCTAGGGCTTTCATAGATCTAATCACTTGTAAATTTCTTAATGATAAGACCATTCATTGGGTTTAAATATTTTTACCTTGACCCTAGAGTTTGACATACTTTTAACAAACTTAAACCTTGACCGTAACATTTGAACAGTTAATTTCAGGGCTTTTACATGTATATTTCACAGATGTATTCCTTTTGACAAGATCATCCCTTGGGTACCAAAAATTTTGACCTTGTGACCTTGGAGATTGACCCACTTTAAAATTTTTTTAACTTTTAACTTTCGCCAAACTTTTCACGGTTGATGCTAGGATTTTCTTATTTCACAGCTGTTTATTTTAATTTGCGACAATATCTCTTTTTTGGTACAGTTTGGGTTTCATTGTCTTGTTATCTCTTTACCTTGAAGTTTGACTTGCATTTGAGAAACTTTAATCTTTGCCACGCTACCATACGGGTGTATCAATTCTTCGCAAAAACGTCTTTTTGTAGCTGTTCTGGCACATTAAGTAGAAATTCATGATTTGGATACTACTAGTATGTGTTAGATAAATCTCGTTACATGCATGCATAAATTCTTTGTGTTGATTTTATCATGGAATAAATCATTATGTACATGTAGTTTCTTCTGACATGCTTAAATTCCCTGATTAACATGTATACATGATGTCATTTGATAAAGTGATTTTAAGACTAATCAATCAAAGGACGGCAAATATTGTGGAAATCTTTGAAGCACGAAATATTGTTGTCCACGAATACATAAATCACATGTATAAACACGATATGTCGCGGCCCGCAACTTTGATTTATTTTTAAAGCAATGAGAACGAATATCATTAAAGTACAAAGCTGATATTGACACAGTGAGTTTTTTGGGAAAGAAAATGTCCAATTTTAGGTCACCTGAGTAAACTCAGGTGACCTATTGCTATCTGTTTTTGTCCGTCGTCGTCCGTCGTCCGTCGTGCGTTAACATTTAAACATTTTCAGCTTCTTCTCTGAAACCACTGAACCAATTTCAACCAATTTTGGCATATAGCATCTATGGGTGAAGGGGAACAAATTTGTGAATTTCATCAAAAACCACTAAAATTAGTGCATTCTTTAAAAATCTTCTTCTTTACTCTGGACATCAAGCAGTCAAACTGTTGGTATGATTGTAATCAGCATTGAGTCCTCTACCAAAATTGTGAAATTCATGGCCCCAGGGTCAGGGGTTCTAGTACTAGGGCGGGGCGCTATTGATTATATAGTGAAAATGCATTAATTCTTTGAAAATCTTTTTCTCCGCTCCTGGGTATTAAATAAACTAATTAAGTTCATAGTAATGATGAGCAAGAGTGTCTCTACCAAAATTGTGAATTTTATGGCCCCAGGGTCAGGGGTTATGGTGTGCTTTATTTATTATATAGTGAAAATGCATTATTTCTTTGAAAATCTTCTTCTCTGTTCCTGAGTATTAAATAAACTAATTAAGTACATAGTTATGATGAGCAAGAGTGTCTCTACAAAAATTGTGAATTTTATGGCCCCTGGGTCAGGGATTCTGGTGTTAGGGCGGGGCTCTATTAATTATATAGTGAAAATGCATTAAATAAATATTAAATTAACTAAGTACATAGTTATGATGAGCAAGAGTGCCTCTACCAAAATTGTGAATTTTATGGCCCCGGGGTCAGGGGTTCTGGTGTTAGGGCGGGCACTATTGATTATATAGTTAAAATGCATTTATTCTTTGAAAAGCTTCTTCTCTGCTTCTGGGTATGAAATAAACCAATTAAGGACATAGGTATGATGAGCAAGAATGCTTCTACCAGAATTATAAATTTTATAGCCCCGGGGTCAGGGGTTATGGTGTTAGGGCGGGGCTCTATTGATTATATAATGAAAATGCATTACTTCTTTGAAAATCTTCTTCTCTGTTCCTGAGTATTAAATAAACTAATTAAGTACATAGTTATGATGAGCAAGAGTGTCTCTACAAAAATTGTGAATTTTATGGCCCCTGGGTCAGGGGTTCTGGTTTTCTATTGATTATACAGTGAAATTGCATTTATTCTTTGAAAAGCTTCTTCTCTGCTTCTGGGTATGAAATAAACCAATTAAGGACATAGTTATGAAGCAAGAATGCTTCTACCAAAATTGTGAATTTTATAGCCCCAGGGTCCGGGGTTATGTTGTTAGGGTGTGGCTCTATAATGATTATAAAGTGAAAATACATAACATCTATAAAAATCTTTTTCTCTACTCCTGGGTAATAAGCAGATGATCTATTTATATGGTTACATGTATGAGGTGCAAGGGCTTTTCTTCCTGAATTGTGAATTTCAAGGCCCCTGGGTCAGGGATACCAAAGAGGGGGGGGGGGGTCTCTACTTATATACTAAAAATGAATTGTTTGAAATTTGCTCCTTGGTATTAATCAAACATTTTTGATAAGCAAGTGTGCATTTTCAAAAATTGTGAATGTGAATATCATTAAAGATTACTGAATATTACTGATTAATAGTTGACACAGTGAGTTTTTTTTAAGTGTATAATGAAAATGTCCAAATTTGTTTTTGCTAAAACATGAAGCAAATTCAATCCTTTGAAAGTTGTTGCATGATGCTCAGGTGACGCCATGGTCCTTTTTTTGAAATATTGAGTTTATTTACTGTCGCCTTGGTAACCTAGCAGAAGGCATCATTATCTAAATATTGAATGTAGTTGAGGGTAACATTGAAAATCTCCACTCCAAGAAAACTAAATGTATTCAACTTAGGCAATGATTTTCGAGCGTTGAAATTTTTCAATGTTACTAAAAGTATGCAGTATGTATACTATAGCGCTACAATAATGTTTGTGTTTTTACTTTTTGACCTTTACCTTCTTTTGAAAAACTTTAACTTTGTCCTAAATTTAGGTCTATGCTTTGACCTTATATTTTGACGTACATTTGGAAAATATTTTAAGCTTCAATGCCTATAACTTTTAATGGTTGCTGCTCGGTTTTCACTTTTCACTTATCCATTTCCTCTAATAAGACTTTTTTCTTTGGTACCATTAATTGATTTGCCTCTTTACAATTACCTTGGAATATGACGTACACTGTTTGAAAAACTTTAACTTTGACCATATTTTCTGAATTGTTGGTACGTTGGCATTTTTATATACCATGTTTAATGTTCCTTATGACATGATCTTTCTAAGGGTATCAACACTTCTGACATTGGAGTTTGACCTACGGAAAGCTTTAACCTTGACATTGTGCTTTAATATGATGTTTCACAAACACATCTTGTTTGGAGTATCACCCGTCGGCAAGTATTATTAAGTGTTTTTATGTCCCATCACTCTGGGAGGCGGTGTTTCATTATTCAGAGGGTAATAGTGATTGATTGATCGTATATTGTTTAACGAGAATTTTTCACTCATATGGAGACTTGCCAGTGGAGAGCTGTAAATTTTTTCCTATACTCGGCACTTAGGGCCATTGAGCAGGGAGGTATCTTTTTCGTGCCTGCACCTACGGCGACAATTGATCTCGGGTTTTTACGGTCTCATCCGAAGGACCAGTCTCCACGCCCCACATTGGGATTCGAACCCGTGACGTAAGGATCAACTCCTTACTTCGCGACTCTATAGCAGACGCTCTAACCACTGCGCCACGCGGGCGACGAGGGTAAGTGTTTTTCGACGATTCAACTAATTGACTTGAAAGTATGATATTGATATATTGTTCTCATTGTCAATGTCCTCTGTTTTTTTCTAAAAACTCTCTTCACTTTGTAACATTACTTAATTAATAAACATCTTGCTGTCCTCAGCCCGCGGTATTCTATACATCTGGCGATAAATCAATAAACTTCGTACAATGCCAGTGACATTATTCACCGAAAATCAGATAATATATAGAATATTCATTGTCTTCCTAGAATTTATGTCGGAAATATTTAGCTGGTACGTTATTTTCATTTCTGCAATTTTAGATAAAGACTTGAAACCGTGCTCAGCCATTATACATGTACAAAGTAAATGTTGCATACATGTATCAAGATTTCTCTATACTTATATGAAACTATGGATTCAGCACAATTTGATTTATTTAATTAAGTCCATTTCAGTAGAATATAAATGACAAATAAAAAATTATTTCAAAGCTCTTTTGATAAATGGCTGTCTTTCGACCAAAAGAAACAGACATGTTGACCTAAAATGATTAGGATTTATTTTATAAAAAGCGCATTGACCCCTTAAAGGTGATTGAAGGAAGCCGATATTGACTAGGAAAAGGGACGTCATCCTTACCCTAGAAAGATTTATTCAAATTTATAAATACATGTGCCGTTTTCTGACACGGTCAATAACATTACCGTGTTTACACTAACAAATTCAAGTGTTTTTTGGTTGAAATGCCTGTGAGAGAATCATCTAAGGGGATCCAAACTCTTCAACAACAAGTCCACCGTGGCTCAAATCTAAAAACCTGAAGACGTTGGCCGGGGCTAGTAACTATATTTACAGAGTATACAAACAAAACTCCGTCCGAAGTCTGCCTACAACAAACAGTACTATATACATTCTCCGTGCCGTACCACCAGAAAAGATTTGTGAATTGCTTGATCTGATGCTCTCTTCGATCATCATTGGATATGTATATACTAAATAGAGTACGTGTGCCTGATTATACCCCCCGCTTGAAAAGTGGGAGGGTATACTGAAATCGGTATGTCCGTCCGTCCGTCTGTCTGTCTGTTACGCTTTGGGGTACCCATCTCTTATCCGCAACTCCTCTTATACCACTGAGTGAAATTTAATGAAGCTTTCACAGAATCTATATTACATATTGCCATTATGCGCCTCCTATTTTACTTTTTGATCCGACACATATTTTGGGTTTCCCGGCCACAGCAAAACATGGACTTTGCCATTATAACCATATGGGAGGCGGGGGGTATCATTTAGTGAGCTCATTGCTCACAGTACCTCTAGTTTGTCTGCTAGTATAAAGTTTACGAATTCTTTACCGTATGAAATAATCGTTTTGACGCTGCGTTTGATTTTCTCTGTGAGTCGCTGAAAGATGTCAGACGAAATATAGATATTAGACTATAAATCTTTGTCTTTTTACCTCTACATTTATTTTTAAAATTCTGAATCATAAATTTCTAAACATTCATTGCAAGACTGCTATGCCTATGTCACAATGAATTACGTCAAAAACGTATTATTACGCTTGACGTTATTTTTTAAAATATGCTCAATTTGAAGCCTTATTCTGGAGGAAAAATTGTCTCATTATCTACACTGAAATTAAATTATAAGAAATGAAGCTTATTCAACTTATGTTATACGATATCAGCTCAGAACCATAAAATATTAACCCCCTTCTTTTCATCGTCTCAAGCCACGGTCCGGAGTCCGCATATAGCTCTCTCCTACAGAATGGGAGAGGATCGTACATTATGGACGTGGTTTGCCACGATGCATTCTTTTAGAAGTTCGTAAAACTGAGGGATCAAAAATTATAGAACAGATGCAAAGTGGTCGACGATTATGGCTATACGTTATCTGAGTCCTGCGATCTGTCAGATTAAACAGATCTCTACTCATATATAATTTAATTCTGGTTGTAATGCTGTATTTGATTGGATAAAAAATTTACTTTATATCGTATAAAATGGGTTGCCTACGTCACAATATGACTTTCGTCAAAAACGTATCAATCCGCCTGACGTTACATTCAAATGTTGTATAAATTGAGAACAATCATCTTTTTTTCTTACATCAAATGAATGAAAATTAAATTATAAGCAATGAATTTAATAGCTACCCATTTTATACGGTATAAACTGGGTTAGAACAGTTTACGCTTTTTTATAAACCGCTTCGCGGTTTATAAAGCGTAAACTGCCCCAACCCAGTTTATACCGTATAAAATGGGTAGCTATTAAATTCATTCCTTAAATAATATGTTTCGTATTCACTTTTACCTGACCTTTTTTTTAATTTTTGAATAATTTTCAATGCTCAGAAATTGAGAATAATCCATAAATTATCAATCGCAGTCTAGTGGCCGAAAAGCGCCTAGTCGTGTTTTATCTTATTCATGTACACAATGTATTTATTTTGGCATAAAAATTTAAAATCTAAAATTTTTTTTAAAAAAAGTGTTAATTAAGATTAATTTACTGTCTAGAAAAAAGATACTGTCCATTGACCGTTTTGCTCTTCAATGAATAAACCAATTTAATCAGTTGTAAAATGATAGTTCCAACTTAGTCTATAGAAAAAAAAATTTAATTGATACCTGTAATTCGGTGTTTCCATAACAAAAACCAAATGCATCATGAATAATCCGCAGGCAAAGGAGGGGATGCATAAAAGAAAATACACAAACTTTTGATATTTTCCAAATTCTCCAACATCTTTGAGAATATCGTCGAACTTCATGTCGATACCAGACTCGGATTTAATTTACGCGATCTTCGAGGGTACTACAGACTTTATGTCAAAATGAGGTCACATGATTACGAATGAATGAATGCTTGCATACGCGCGTAGTAGCGTAGAATTGTTCTAGGCTTCTAGCTATTATTGTATTGTGGCGAAAGGTGAAGGTATTTGTACTACAAACATACATAAGCGCACTTTCATATGCCTCGAGTAATGTATGACCACTGGGTACAATTTATTTCAACGCTCTAGAAAAATTTTATCCCAAAATTGCCTAACAGATGTGAAAAGTAAATATGACAGTAGTACGTATTGAGTGTGTCTGGTTTCAATGAATATTTTACATTTCTTGTAAAGTCGTAATTAAATTAATAAACATTTTGATCCTAATTGGGAGTTTTGTACAGTATTTAAGTGAATCTTTGGGTTTTTTCATCGTGTTGTCTTTGTAAAAAGGCTAATTATAATTTCTTTCCCTCTTTCCCTTTTCATTGCATATATTGTATTGCATCTTTCAAAGTCGTTTTAGGTCGGTAACAAGAATACATGTATTGGGGTTTTCTTGACCTACAAAACAACTCTGTTGCACATTTGGAGTCAGTAGCTCGATCTTATCATAAACAAATTTTAACTGACACGTGTTATCTTGTGAGTTGAGTGGGTCAGTCGTTAGTGCCCAGTATCAAGTGCGCTTGAGAGTTTTAGTAGGTTTGAACACATGAAGTGCTATTGACTGAAACATACCGGTATACCATATGCTGCATTCTAATTTTACACATATTTTATCGGGTGGTATCTTTAGTCTCTCCACCCCCAATTAAATTCAAAATCTCCGCTTGTTCTTAAACAAGGAAAATATTGAAATCCTATTTCGGGGAGGAATTAGTACGTGGTGGTGGTGGTGGGGGGGGGGGTAGATTTCAACTTCTTTCAGTTCCAGAATTTATTTAACACTCGTTTACTCTACTACAAACGGCCTTTTAATAAATATATTCGATAGTAGTAACAGGTATGTTTGGATTAAAAGTTCCGGGGAAACCCCCCCCCCTCCCATACCACGTCCCTGAAGACATGTAATGATATGGCACTTATTAAATGTATGAAAATAAAGCATGTGTGATATATATTATATAAATTACGATTATAAATCTGTGGTGGAATGGTCAAGGAGATCTAGTGTACTGTTTAAACTGTTTACTTAATTGTTCTGTTAGACTTAGTCCCGCAAATGAAGTTAGCCTGATGTAAGGACAGACAAAAAATTACGCAGTTGGCAAGTAAATTATGCTGGTGCATACTCTAGTGACTCTTCTAGCGGTATTTTGCAGTAAATAGTACATATTGTTATTTTATTTCTGTACGCATCAACAAAGATAACCGAATGTCTCTAACAAATACTAGTAACCCTTTATTCACAGGGAAACAAATGTCATGACATCGAACCTCATTACCGATTTTCAGTATACAAGGAATTTCGCTTGTTGTGTACATGTATCCTAGGTCATTGTTCTCCGTAAAGTCTATCAAGAAAACAGAACTGAGCTAATTAAATTTTTAAACATCTTCATTATTCTAACATACATGTGACTATTTATTAAGCTGTGTTAAAGTTATTTGCAACAGGTATAGGACGCTAACATCGAACACCATCGGCTTTTGCCGTTTTCTTTTTTCTGTAGGAGTAAGAAATCAACACTGCATGTTGTTTTCGAATAAAGAGAAAATACGGACGCAAATACATGTAAATACTTACTAATTAATTCCAGTGTAATTTTGTCAAAAATATGCATTGTGGAATTAAATACAGTCCACTAAAGACACGATTAGGCAGGAATTGTATGTCATTAAAAAATATAGTCTCAAATCCAACGGTAAATCGTAAAAATTATAAAACATTGATGTGAAAATTGATGGTTTTTCAGATATACGAGGGTCATTCAAAAAGATCGAAGACTTTTGTCCTAACTTTTTTATTTAACGTCATATTATATCCAAATCTGGTACAAATATTTTAAAAACAGATTCAAATAATTTGAGTAAAAAAATTGGAATGTATCTTCATATTTATTAAAATTACCAAGGATTTAGAACAGCAAAAATGGGGTCACGGAGCACCGTCAAAATTGAGTAATTTACTAATTTCCACTCTATAGTATTTACAGCCATATCTCTAACAAATGGAGCTGAAACGAAATAAAATTTACATGTTTAAATAAAGTATTTCTGTATTAATTAAAATGAAATCAGGTTATGTAATATGTCGCTCCATTTAAAAGATATCAGTTTCTAAATACATATGGACCTGATTAAAAAAGCAAAAAAAACATGACGTTGGAGGACGTCACGGAGCAGCAAGTTGCAATAAAATTGTACTTTACATTCGGGAAACTTCTTCTACAAGCTTAAAAAATCCGTATAAACCAGGATCTGTATGAAAAATAATCTGTGTATTTGTATTAAATGGAAAATACAATTTTTGAGTGGTAGCGAGTTTGAATCGAACGATGGATTGTCTGCAAAGTACGGAAGCGTATTAGTGCCACTTGCACACTTTACTTTTTTTTAATTTCGACACTTTAATCTGTAAATTTTACACTTTAAAGTGTAAATTTTACACTTTAATCTGTAAAATTTACACTTTAATCTGTAAAATTTACACTTTAAAGTGTAAATTTTACACATTAATCTTTAAATTTTACACTTTAATCTGTAAAATTTACACTTTATTTGTTTATTCACATAGTCAATTTAGCATCTTCACACATCCTCAGTAACACATTTTTAAGCCAACAAACCATGTTTCGTGCATGATAAAATTTAATTCTGATGTTTTATATTAAAGTAAAACTTTTCTTTGAATATAAAGTGAAGAGCATATCAAACATACATGCGCATATTCCCGATCACAGGTGCTTGAGGACCCCTCCCCCCTTAATATAGATTCAAGGGCCTGTTAGACTTTTTTCACATAAATAATATATGGATGACACAATTGTGATATAATCTATAAATCCTATCAATTCAGAAAATTTGCTTAAACTAACATTTTATTGGCTTACAAATGTGTTACTGAGGATGTGTGAAGATGCTAAATTGACTATGTGAATAAACAAATAAAGTGTAAATTTTACAGATTAAAGTGTAAAATTTACAGATTAAAGTGTAAATTTTACAGATTAATGTGTAAAATTTACAGATTAATGTGTAAAATTTACAGATTAATGTGTAAAATTTACACTTTAATCTGTAAAATTTACAGATTAATGTGTAAAATTTACACTTTAAAGTGTAAAATTTACACTTTAAAGTGTAAAATTTACAGATTAAAGTGTAAATTTTACAGATTAATGTGTAAAATTTACAAATTAATGTGTAAAATTTACAGATTAATGTGTAAAATTTACAGATTAAAGTGTAAAATTTACAGATTAATGTGTAAAATTTACGGATTAATGTGTAAAATTTACAGATTAAAGTGTAAAATTTACAGGTTAATGTGTAAAATTTACAGATTAAAGTGTAAAATTTACAGATTAAAGTGTAAAATTTACACTTTAAAGTGTAAATTTTACAGATTAATGTGTAAAATGTACAGATTAAAGTGTAAAATTTACAGATTAATGTGTAAAATTTACAGATTAAAGTGTAAAATTTACAGATTAAAGTGTAAAATTTACAGATTAAAGTGTAAAATTTACACTTTAAAGTGTAAATTTTATAGATTAATGTGTAAAATTTACACTTTAAAGTGTAAAATTTACAGATTAAAGTGTAAAATTTACAGATTAAAGTGTCGAAATTAAAAAAAAGTAAAATGTGCAAGTGGCACTAATACGCTTCCGTAGCAAAGACACAGGTTAAAGTTAAAAATATTATCGGAAGAGTTAGGAACGTCATTGAACGTGATGTGTGCTTCACTGTTGCAGAATTAATAGGGTTACATGGTAAACTGAAGAATTTGAAAACAATGACATTCTTATTTAAGCTATATTTGTACAATTGTTCGCAAACTAGGTGTTAAGTGTTTTGGATATGTTTTTTTGAATGGAGAAGACGCTAAAAACAGTGTTTGAAATTAAGAAAATTAGTATAATTTTGACAAACTTTCTCTACGTTGTCTTTGACGTTACAATGTTGGTTAACCGTGCTCCGTGGTAACAAAACATGTTGCTTTAAATTTTGGCTAACATGAGTTCTATTTAATCAAATGGAATGAAACTTCACACTTCGACAAAATAAATGTTTATGTTTACGAATATGTGTTGATCTATAATCTTATAATAATTATATGACGATGAGAAGCATTGTCTACGTATTTTTTGAATGACCCTCGTATAATTCAGAAAATATATACTTATTACATTTCGCTATTTAAAGTGCGTGCGGAAGGGTAGGCCGAGAAGATTCTTCTTCTCTTCTAATTACTGACCGATATCTGATGAGGAAACGTCAGGTTGTACTCATCAGTAAACCACTGGACACTGGCCATACAATATCCAATCCCACAGGGGAAAGAATTTGTTATCATAATTAAGGACAAAGTAAAGTAATGAATCGTTCTGACCAATAACATTAAACTATACGGGTCACTACAGCCAAGTGAGTTCGGTGCGTTGGGATGGACAAGTACAGAGTACATCACTAGTGAACCATAATCGTATCATCTTGTTTATTTTTGTAAGGTTTGCATCTCTCTCTCTCTCTCTCTCTCTCTCTCTCTCTCTCTCTCTCTCTCTCTCTCTCTCTGGAGGTGGGTGGGGGGTGACCGTGGATCATAAATTAGATTCCAGAAGAATTTCTAATACATATGTCGATGCCTTATCCTCAGACACCCGTAACAAAACGTATCGTTTTTGCTACATATGTTTTAAGGGTAAATCTTATCATGTGGATTTAGGAAAAAAAGGGTTTTCACATCTCATTTTACATTCACGTAGTGTGCTTTATCTCAGAATTTTTCCGGAATATGATGACAATATGCATTAATAAATGTACTTGATCTTTCACCTCAACATGCGTAACATCAGAAATAGCGTAGATAAAGAAAATGTGTTCCAGTAAAACTTGTTCAAAGCGGCTTGATCGAATTCATTCTTGTTTTAAAAAAATGAAGATCCCAACTTATTTTTGTTTATTCGAACAATTTACTATGGTCCTTGCTTTTAATTTTAGAATATGGTAGGTACACTTGTATGTGAAAAGTCCAATAAGAAATATTAAACGAAGTTTAATAATCACATTCAATAATGTTCCACCTGATTAAGCAAACGTCTGTTTTTGTATATTTCTATGCTTTTTTTTTTTTTTTTTTTTTTTTTTACATTTACAACATATACTAGCCATACTTCTGTAAATATTGCATGGCTATTAAGATTTTATGTATCGGACAGGACTGTCTAAGTTTTTGGAATTTGTGTCCAATCCCTTTGACATATTGTCAATAAAGTATGTTCAAAACAAGTTTTCAAATGTTTTCATCTAAAATATTTGTATATAAGCCACAAATTGTGATATCAGCAAATCAGAAGATCGATTTCCAACCGGAAAAAAATCGATCTCTGGGAACTTGCACAAATACCCCGGGTATGGTACCTAAATTATTATGAGGATTTTTGTTAAAGAAGCAACACTTTAGTCACAAATAAATCATTGTCTTTAATATTGAGGCACACGTTGTCCTTAAGGTTTAAAATCCTACTGATCGAATAGGTTCATTAATTTTCCAGTGGACCATTACACGTACTCCTCTCATAAGAGGAATACCTTCCTAAAACATCTTTTAAACCATTTCTTTTATTAACTATAATATGTCTCTTTGATTATTATACCTTTTGTTTAAAAGTAAATTTGTTTCTAACATTGACTTGTAGTTTCTTGTGCTTATATATTTGATAATTATTATACCCCCCGCTTGAAAAGCAGAAGGATATATAGTAATCAGTATGTCCGTCCGTCCGTCCGTCCGTCTGTTACGCTTTGGGGTACCCATCTCTTATCCGCAACTCCTCTCATACCACTTATGGAAATTTAATGACACTTTCAGATTCTTAATTACATATTGCCATTGTGCACCTCCTATTTTACTTTTTGATCTGACATATATTTTTGATTTTTCAGAGCAAAACATGGACACTGCCATTATATTCATATGGGAGGCGGGGGTATCATTTAGTGAGCTCATTGCTCACAGTACCTCTAGTTTACATATAGTTTTCTGTTCTCTAAGCACCTGTGACCGGTTTATTTTCTTGCAACAATTGAAATATTTCTTTTTCTTAAAATATGAATAATGAAACGTACATGTATAGTTCCTTCTAATCAAAAGATATGAGCAAGGCTAAAGATCATATTATTATTTTATACAAAGACTAATTCTATAAGTACACCATGTACACGACGTTTATTTAATTAGTCTATTTTTTCCTTTTGAAAATGAGAGAAAAAATTAAAGAAAGGTTAATCTTACTGGTAAATTTAAGTAAAAAGTAAACCTAGCTTCATACTTGGAAACTTATTCTATTTGAATCTACTACTTTTGTGATAAAAATCATCGATTTTTTTTTTCGGAATTGACATTTCCATACCAAAACGTTTCTGTCTAATATAATGCATAATCTGATTCAATTGAGCGATTAAAATTATTGGCTATTAGATATATAAATGAAGTGTGTCATTGATTTGGATAGCGTATCCAATACAAACTTGAACTCATTGGTATCGGCAAAATTATGATTTTAAAATTAATTTTCGTTGCATTTTGTATATTTCTCGTGTTTAATCAAAGAGTATCTGGTGAGTTGCGTGTTTGTTGTAACAGATTTACCAAATTTAAAGTACAAATATGTACTTAGGGTGACACGTTTTATTAATCAACGATATTTATTTACTTTGCACTTCGTTTGCATTATTACTATAAAAAGGTTGTATTGTTTTATTTAATATTTGCAGTTTATTCTTCCTAAACCAAACCTTTAAGTATATACATGTACAATATCGATTCAAAACAAACTTTATGAAATTCAGCAAGGCATGCATATGGCACGCCAAATTCACAAAAATGAGTAAATATAGTTTCACAGTTGATAAACTAGGTTTATCGACTATAGTTAACAATTCGTAAACTAAAGTGAACAATTCGTAAACTATAGTTTTCATCGGTAAAATTATATTTAGTTGTTAACTATAGTTTACGAATGCTAATCTAAGTTTATCTGTCTGTAATAAAATGTTAATAGATTTTGTTGATAAACATAGATTCACATCTGTAAACTATAATTTACAATTGTAAACTATAGTTAAGAGTTGTTAATCATAGTTTCACAAATCGTGAAACTACTAGTATATTTATCAGATCGTTAACTATAGTTAAGAGTTGTAACCATAGTTTACAAATCGTGAAACTGTATTTATCAGATAATCTATGTTTTGCAATTGCAAATGATTGTTTTCAGTGTTAAATATAGTTAACGGTTCTGAAACATAGATTATTGCATTAACTGTGGTTTACAGATGTAAAATATAGATTAACATTGTTAACTATAGTTTACAGTCTGAAACTATAGTTTACAATCGATAAACCTGTGATTAGCTCATTTTTGTGAATTTGGCGTGCCATACATGCATTTGACGATGATTAGTTCAAAATATCGGTACGTTTTCAAGTTTTTTTTTTTAAAAATGATTTATCATTAGATATTTTACACCCGCACCTCAGATCTCCAGATTTCCGCATTATTCTGCATTTTTTCCTCATTTTAATATGGAAAAAATGTGGAAAAAAATACGGAGAAAATTAACAATATGGAAAAGCCGAAAATATACGGAAATAATCCGGAAAATAAACGGAAATAATACGGAGAATTGGACTTAGTCTATTTTTCATCTGGAAAAACATTGAACTCTTAACTTTGAATATTTTTCATCTGGAAAAAATACGGAGCTCTGGACTTAGAATTTTTTCATCAAGAACAAGATGTGTTTGTGAGACACAGTAGCACCTGGCAGCAACATTAAGTTCTAAAAAACAATTTTTAGCAAATGGGTCTCAGTCAAGGTCACACAATCATTGTTCTTGGTGTCATTTGAAAGCACTTTATTAGTATAGTATGCATACCAAATATTAAGTCTCTATTATCTATGGTTCAAAAGTTATGGCGAAAATTCGAAAAAAGCTATATTTAGCACATAGGTCACAGCCAAGGTCACAAGGTCATTGACCTTGGTGTCAGTTGAAGGTGCCTAATTAGTGGAGTATGCATACCAAATATGAAGTCTCCATCTCTCACCGTTCAGAAGTTATGGCGAAAGTTCGAAAAAGCTATTTTTAGCATAAAGGTCACAGTCAAGGTCACTGACCTTGGTGTCAGTTGAAAGTGCCTAATTAGTGGAGTAAGCATACCAAGTATGAAGTCTCTATCTCTCACCGTTCAGAAGTTATGGCGAAAGTTCGAAAAAGCTATTTTTAGCATAAAGGTCACAGTCATGGTCACAAGGTCATTGACCTTACTGTCAGTTGAAAGTGCCTAATTAGTGGAGTATGCATACCAAATATGAAGTCTCTATCTCTCACGGTTCAGAAGTTATGGCGAAAGTTCGAAAAAGCTATTTTTAGCATAAAGGTCACAATCAAGGTCATAAGGTCATTGACCTTGGTGTCAGTTGAAAGTGTTTTTGTAGTGGAGTATCCATACCAAATATGAAGTCTCTAAGTCTCACGGTTCAAAAGTTATGGCGAAGGTTAAAGTTGACAACAGACAGACAAACAGACAGACAGACAGCTAAACAGACAGGACAAAAACAATATGCGCCCCGAAAAAATTTGGATGCATAAAAACTGTCTTGGAGTTAACAGCAGTTCTCTGTTTCTCCTGAATGTTATGTACAATTTGATCGGGATCGGAAGAATGTTTCAAAAAGTCGGGCTCAGTGATCAATTAATTTAAACAACAGACCGCCAAAATTTAACCTTGGCCTCCATGTTGCAACGTCTGCTCTGTCTAAAGGAAGAAGTTTGTTGACCAGACAGCCTGAGATCGTATTGCTGTATCAACCAAAAGATGCAGATACACGTATTTCATTTGCGGTAGGTCAGTCATATTTTTTTAACATGTGTGTCACTGTGATGATGAAAATAAATACTCTAGGCCTAGGACTGAGCCACCAGGCTACGTACGTTTCAGCCAATATGCCCATGATTCAAATCTTTCAATCAGCTCATAGAATTTTATTATGGTTAACCACAATTAAAGGTGTTAATTTTGGGGAGCCATGGGCTGTAATCTCTAGCAATGATTTACCATACATTTTTTTTTTTTGGTAGCGTCTGTGCATGAGGAGGAGATTTCTGAAAAAGAATAAGTGCTTATTCAACTTACTACGATTTTAAGGGGCTTAAAGCTTGGTCCATGGATGGTTATGTTTGAGGTATATATATTCTTTTTTTTCTTTTTTTATTGCTTGTTTAATTAAAAACAGTCAACTATGATTGTCATTATTATAAATAATATTTTAAACAAATTGATATAAAATTGAAGAACCCAAACTTGTGTTTATAAAAAGATTTCAAAAGGAATAAAAGCAATGAATTTAAATTTTATTAATATTGCACCATTATAATTTACAGTACCTGGCCATAAGTGAGTCATAATTTTATTTTTACACTATATATTTCATTGAAAAACATATTTTCATAAAAACTTGTTGTGAAGTCAATTTTAGCTCAATTTTCATGATTTTTTCACTGAAACATGCAGAATTATTCAAATTTTCTTATCTTAAATGATAAACAAAATGATACTTAAACTATTGAGAATAAATCATAAAATATTGTCATGACAAAATTTTCTAACCTCAAATTACTATGATTTCTTAACAAATTGAAGTCTTAAAATTTTTGTTTTGCACCTGACCTGTGATTTCACGGTAATGCATAAAGATAAAACTATTTTGAAATAATTGGAAGAAACTACAACAAATTCTGCATTTTATGGTGTTTTAGAAATTAAAAAGAAACAATAAATGACACTGCAAGAATATTTTAGAAAAATGTGTTTCCTAATGAAATATATAGTGGAAAAATAAAATTATGACTCACTTATGGCCAAGTACTGTAAGTACTTTTTTTTAATTGATAGGATTTGCCAATTCGACCGCAAGTGCTGCTGCAAGAAATTAAACATGCAGAGACCTTACAAATTACAAAGAAGTCTGAAGAAATTTTTATTGGACAGATGGGTGTAAAGCACAGACCTGAGATATAAATTGAATTGTGAGAAATATGAATCAGGGATGCAGGTAGAAAATGGCAAATGTGATCCAGATTGATAAAAAATGTCTAAATTTTTTTCTTGTTTTGTAAATATTCAATGCTATGTCAATTGTTATTTTTTCCCCAATACCTAATAGTGTTGAACATTTCACTCCCACTTTTGCTTAAATAGAATGAATAAATTTCCATTTATTTAATATGAATATTAAAAAATGCCACATTTTTTTCATGATGAACTTGTGGCTTAAATAAGAGTTCCAGTTTTTTTTCCATACATGCTCCAATTTGTTTGTCAAAGATATAAGATCCAATACATTGCTCATGAACATAATGTGTAATTTTGTTCATTCATCTGTATGTTTTTTTCTCATAATGATATAATAAATTGTATATAATTTTGCACATTGTTGATGGTTTTGTAAATATTTATGTATGTATGCATCATGTAGCGGTTTTATTAGCCATTTTATAACCATGTGATTAACTCCGTATTTTCTCCAGATTTCCGTATTTCCGCATTTTATCAACCAAGTAAATACCTCCATATTTTGTATATATGGAAATGCGGAAATCTGGAGAGAATACGGAAAAAGAGTCCAAATACTCCCATCCACATTTTCTCCATATTTTGAATACGGAGAAAATCTGGAAATTTGAATACGGAGAAAATCTGGAATGAATGCGGAAAATTAGTCCAAATACTCCCGTCCGCATTTTTTCCTTATTTTGAATAAGGAAAAAATGTGGAGATCTGAGGTGCGGGCATGCCAGGAAAATGCCAGAACCGACGCTTTTTACAAAAATTTGAAATTTCGCCGTTTCCAACCTGAGCTGATTTTTGATACTTTCAAACCAAGTAAAATTTTATCAATCGTACAATACTTTGAGTACTCACCAATATCAATGAAAAGAAAACATTACTTTTTTTTAATTATTAAAAAAAAATATTCAGACTCTACCACTTGCAGTGGTTTTAAATGCTTCATCTTATGAAATGAAATTTGCATATTTACCTCGTTTTTTAATTATAGGGGATTTGAGTCGTAAGCTGCGTGAATATGATATTGTTAGCGATTTTGAAGTACACAGTAGATCAGAGAGAGATGTCACTGGGATGTCAGTATCAAGAAAGAGGGTAAAATTTACTGGACTTGGCAGGTTAGTTAAAAGGGAAAAAACAACAAGTACATACTGGCAATATATTCCAACAATAATGTATGATTGATAATTGTGTATCATGCTACACTGATGTATTTCAACATCATCATATCCATAAATCATTTTTTTTACTGTAATAGCCAGAGCAGTTATAAAGAATACTTAAGAAACAAGGCTAATTCAGATCTTCATTCTAACCAAATTATCAATCATACAGTTACCAACTTTGAATGAAACTTTTAGGCACTTGTGTTAGTGTCCAAAAATTTGTCTCATTTAAGTGGTTTATGTACACAAATTCATAGATTTAGTATCACTATAATTTTCAGAAGTTGAGATTGATTTCTCTTTGGATCTACACATGAAAGTTAAAGTTATCATAAACTTTTTATCTCCATTATAAGAAAATATGCCCTGGCTTGTAATTAGTGAATAACTAAACATTCAGCCAATGTCAGTAATTATAAACATTTAGCCAATGTCAGTGTTTAATTGTCATTGAATATGTCCTTTGATTGGTATAGTATCAATATTTATTTTTTTAGCTCACCTCTACGAAGTCGAGATGAGCTTATGCTATACCTCTGGCGTTGGCGTCAGCATTAGCATCGGTGTCCCAGGTTAAAGTTTTAGGAGCAAGTCCATTCCTAAGTTACTATAAGCCGTACCTGGACCAAACTTGCATGGATGATGCATCTAGGGATGGACACTACCAGAATTGCTGCGGATGCTGGATCTGACCTACATTTTCCAGATGAGTGACCAGGTTAAAGTTTTTAGAGCAGGTCCATTCCCAAGTATTATAAGCCCTACCAGAACCAAACTTGCATGGATGATGCCTCTAAGGATGGACACTACCAGACTTGCTTTAGATGCTGGATCTGACCTACATTTTCCAGATGAGTGACCAAGTTAATATTCCCAAAAACCTATAAGCTCTATCTGGACCAAACTTGCATTGATGATGCATCTAAGGATGGACACTACCAGACTTGCTTCAGATGCTGGATCTGACCTACATTTTCCAGATGAGTGACTCCCAAGAAAATATAAGCCCTACCTGCGCCAAACTTGCACAGATGATGCATCTGAGGATGTACAATCGAGACTTGCTTCGGATGTTAGATCTGATCTACATTTTCCAAATGTGTGACCAGGCTAAAGTTTTTGGAACAGGTCAATCCCTAATGAACTTTAAGATCTATTTAAACAGAACTTGCACAAATATTGTTGTCAGGATAAATACTAACTATCAAAAAAATATGTTGTGAGATTTGCATAACAATCGTCGAGGTGAGCTTCGTAATCTTTGATTACCTATGTTTTGTATTTTATTTTTTGCTGTAACTTAGTATATTTAAAAACAATGCATTTCTATCTTGCTAAGTTTCTTTCAGAAACTTTTCTATAAGCTTGACTCCGGTTGTGGGATTATTTAGCAGTGATTTTAAGGCAGTAATTGATGATGGAAATGGAAGAAGAACACCATTCATCTTCAACAAAAATAACTTTTTTGAAGGCCTACTTGAAGGTAATCATGAAATAAACTTTAAAACAATATCTGTATGTTATAAGTGTTGCATATACTGTAAATCACTTTTGTTCCAAAGAACTTTGTTTTTGCATAATAAATGAGGTCATCTGCTCACTTAAGATTTTATTCTTGCTTTATATAAAAGTATTTTAAAAATTTTTTTAATGATAACTAGGAATGGCAATCTAATGCAGAATTGCCAATCGGTTAACTGAAAGATCTTCGTACTGATAATGCATGGTTAAATTTTCAAATGTGGAGAACCCTGTGATTAGTTGGTTAATTGTATAAAAAATTCTGGACATTGATTATCATTGTAAGCTTCACTAAAATGAGCAAGACTTAAAAGATGTTACTTGTAGTAACATTTATTATTATTATGTATTTTGAAAACTTACCAATTACCCCTACCATGTCAATCTGTTCAGCCATAAAATTATCTCCAAATCAGCTCAAATAGATAGGTGAAATAACATTTTATTTATTTTCATTTGTATTTGTGGACTTTTCAGGAATTTTTATAAAAATTACACATTTCATTTTTTTTATTAATAGCTGATTACAGATTCTCTAACTGATTACCATAGTTCCAACTGAGCAACCAGTCAATTAATTGATCAAAAATTGCCATCCCTAGCAATAACAGAAATTTAAAAAAATGTCTCACTTAATAGACAATATTAATGTCTTGTGAAAATGAGAAGTCATGAAAAATCAATGATATAGACTAATTGACTATTTACAAACAAGTATTCTTAAGGTTGTTTTTTTGTAAAATGAACACATTTTAATTGTAGGGGACAAGAAGAGTAAAGTTCATGCTTATTTTGATGAAGAGGATAATACAATGACTGCCTCCATTTCATCAGAGGGAGAAGATGTGGTGGTAGAGGTAGGGAATTATTTATCATCAGAGGGGAAAAATGTGGTGGTAGAGGTAGGGGATTATTTATCATCAAAGGGGGAAGATGTGGTGGTAGAGGTAGGGAATTATTTATCATCAAAGGGGGAAGATGTGGTGGTAGAGGTAGGGGATTATTTATCATCAAAGGGGGAAGATGTGGTGGTAGAGGTAGGGGATTATTTATCATCAATGGGGAAGATGTGGTGGTAGAGGTAGGGGATTATTTATCATCAGAGGGAGGGGGAGATGTGGTGGTAGAGGTAGGGAAATACTTATTATCAGAGGGGGGAGATGTGGTGGTAAAGGTAGGGAAAGGTAGGGAATTATTAATTAACAGAGGGGGAGATGTGGTGGTAGAGGTAGGGAAATACTTATTATCAGAGGGGGAGATGTGGTGGTAGAGGTAGGGAAAGGTAGGGCATTATTTATTAACAGAGGGGGAGATGTGTTGGTAGAGGTAGGGAAATACTTATTATCAGAGGGGAAGATGTGGTGGTAAAGGTAGGGAAAGGTAGGGAATTATTTATTAACAGAGGGGGAGATGTGGTGGTAAAGGTAGGGAAATACTTATTATCAGAGGGGGAGATGTGGTGGTAAAGGTAAGGAAAGGTAGGGAATTATTTATTAACAGAGGGGGAGATGTGGTGGTAGAGGTAGGGAAATACTTATTATCAGAGGGGGAGATGTGGTGGTAAAGGTAGGGAAAGGTAGGGAATTATTTATTAACAGAGGGGGAGATGTGGTGGTAGAGGTAGGGAAATAGTTATTATCAGAGGGGGGAGATGTGGTGGTAAAGGTAGGGAAAGGTAGGGAATTATTTATTAACAGAGGGGGAGATGTGGTGGTAGAGGTAGGGAAATAGTTATTATCAGAGGGGGGAGATGTGGTGGTAAAGGTAGGGAAAGGTAGGGAATTATTTATTAACAGAGGGGGAGATGTGGTGGTAGAGGTAGGGAAATACTTATTATCAGAGGGGGAGATGTAGTGGTAAAGGTAGTGAATTATTTATTAACGGAGGGGGAGATGTGGTAGAGCTAGGGAATTATTTATTAGCAAATGGAAAAGATATGGTGGTAGAGGTAGGAAATTATTTTTCAGAGGGTGGGTACTGTGGTAGTCTTAATTTGGGTTTATAAATTATATCAAATGGTTGGCTTTACCTTAAGGATTACTGTAAAATCACAAATTTTCATGGTGGTTTTATTTTTTTGTTGCTTTTGAGGTTTGAAGAGAGAATTCATGTCCACCACAAAATGTTTAATGTGACATACATAACTACTCAACAATTCTACATCCACGAAATAAAATCCCCAATAATCAAGAGTTTTTATTCAAACCACGAAAATTTGACACCACGAAAATATGTGATTTTACAGTAATAGTTAGATATGCAATGCTTAGTTAGTTCTATTTATATAATAGTGTTGCATTATGCTTGTACTATGCCTAAATAGTAGGCAGGGTTTGACACATGGTGCACGAGCCGGAGGCGAGTGCACTATGTGTCAAACCCTGCCTACTATTTAGGCATAGTACATGCATAATGCAACACTATTGTTATTATTATGCTGACTGTTGTTATTATTTATGCGGCAATCCATTTGATTTTTTTCCTGAAAATAATGGTGGTAACACAGCGCACTTGCAAAAACTCATTCAAAATCTTCATGCTAAAATTAGTTGCATGCTTAGTTATTTTGGTTACTAGCATTTTCTCTAAATAAGTCAGGATTTTCTGTCCCAAAGATACTCATCTTTATTTTCTGTTGTGTTAGTAAGACAGTAGACTGATTTGTTTACAGACGTGGATTATCTTTTACATCCTTCAATCAAGCGCTATATAAAAAAGCGTTTTAATGACCCCATGATATCAATTCATCTAACGATCTGTATGTAATTAGTTTGAAACTTTGTTGTACACATTTATCTAAGATTCCTTAGAATAATATAACTGTTTTCAAATAATATTTGTCTATTTTCTCCTTCTTTTGTCAATTGTATAAATTAAGTTTATATATTTAATAAAATTCTCCCTATCAGTGATCGTCTCTGTGGCATAATCGATAAGGCATCGGACTGGCAACCTCAAGGTCGTGAGTTCGATTCCCGGTGTGTGCATGGAAGAATTTTATTCAGAAATGAAGGCCGTGCACTATTTCGGCATAGTATACTTACGCTATATAAATCCTTAGACCACTATGCGAGAGTAGTAGGGTATGGGTTATATAGAGACAAACTGACAGGAAGCATAATAATTGTTGTTAGACAGTAAGGAATTCAGTAAAAGTTTATGTACTTACTATTAATGTCCTCTATTAGCAGTATACATATTTCATACTTGTAGAATACTTCAGCAGACAGTGAAAAGTTTATTCCAATTTGTTTTTAACAGCCTGAATGGAGACATGCAAGGACCAGAAAGAAAGGATCCAATATGATTATTTACGCTGTCAAAGATATGAAGTGGCCAAATAGTGGAACAAATTCCAGTGGGTCAGTATATAGAGTTATTGTAATTCCAAGAAAACTTAATCTATAGTTTTTGATTTGCTGGGAAAAAACTAACTCCAGTACCCAGTTTTCAAAATGTACAAAATCATTCCAGTGTTAGTAATATAAGAAGTTTTTCCTAGAGATATATAAATCTGTATAATAGACTTGGCTTTTCTGAAATAACTGCATGAAAAAGTAAATACAGTATAATTTTGTGAAAATCATTTTTTTTTCACACATGACAATTGTAAGCTTATAAATATTTGCTGCTCAGATTGATAAGTAATTTACCAATAAATGGACATCTTTTTTACGGCTGTGATTTTTTGACAGGTTTGACTATTGTGGAGCTGTGCATGGACAAGAACTACACAATCCTCAGGAAATAATGTTCTCTAAACACATGGAAGGTTAGTTTTTCTTTAAAAATATGTAACTAATCATGTAAAATCAAACAGGATTTTAAGTGCATTTAACCATGTTGGACTTGGTAACAAAATCTGTCTTTTTTTGTGTGACAGACAATGAACATCACAGAAGCAAGCGAGCAGCCAATGTTAACTGTCGTCTGATCACAGTAGCAGACTACAAATTCTTCCAGAATATGGGAAACAGCAATAAGTATACCACAGCTAATTACATGGTAATTTATCATTTATACAAGGATGTCACAGCTCTAACTTTATGCAAATTTAATCTTAAAACACTTAAAAATTATCAAAAATCTAAACAATTAATATACCTGCCATTTTTCATCAGAATATAAATTCTGCATGTATATTGATACAAAGTTAAATCAGTGCTTTGTAAATTGATCGTTACATTTCTCCCTTTTATTTGCTGTTAGGCCAGTGTTATTGACAAGGCCAATCTGATCTACAGAGAGACTAACTTTGGTGGATATACTGGACTGGGCTTTGTCATTGCAGAAGTAAGTCAATGATATTTTTGAAATATGAACTGGTGAACATATCTCACTATCTAAGCATAGCTAGACTTGTGATCTGAATCTATGGTGGCAAAAATATCTGTAAATCATTACTGTAAATATATTTTTATATTAGTTATATAAGGATTTTATTTATGTTGTATGGATGTATTATGAAGAGTTATTTCCCTTGAACACACACTTACTGCTGTTTCAGATGATTATACTGGAAGCACCAACAGTAGTTAGTAATGGAGCACTACATTACAACATGCAGAATGGTCCATGGAGAAGCAACACAAAAGGCCTCCTAGATGTAAGTAATTATATGTGTTCAGAACTATTTCTTCTATTTTTAGCTCTAAATATGAATTAATACACCTATAAAAAGTTTCCTGTTTTATTGAAAGTGTTAAATTGCTTGCTTTTCATTTTAAATTAAATTATTAAATCTTTTTTTTTTAAATTGAATTATTATGAATTGTGTTCATGACAGAGTTTCAGCACCCAAGCCAATAAATGGAGTGATTTTTGTTTGGCCCATCTTTTCACTCACCAGCCATTTGATAACAATGTGTTAGGGCTGGCCTATATAGCTGGCTCCAGATCAACAGACATTGGTGGACTCTGCTCTCCCAGTAGGTGTTGTTTTTTTTTTTTTTAGCATTTATGCACTCAGATCATTGCAAGAAAAATCAAATACATTGTAATTAACAAAATCACACCAGTCATATGATCACTATTTTTGAGGTCAATTCAGTGATTTATTAGCATGATCAGGGAAGTACAATTGTGTACATAAAGATAACTTAATTTTTGTTTTGACGAATAAAAACAAGAATAATGGTTTTGTTTTATGAATCAATGATTAAATTATACAAAATTGATCAGCAAAACTTGCCATTTTTCTTGATTGTTAAAATTTGATGGAATTAATCCTAGCCCAATTATGCATAGAGAAAAGTGATACTAAGATTAAGAATTTCTTGAACTAATTTTGATGTGATATTATGTTCACTAAGATGATCAGGTGCAAGTGAAATAAATTTTTTTAACTTCTTGAACTATTTTTTAGCCTTATGTAGATAAAAAATAATGTTGTGTTCACTTGGTAGGTCTCGTGAATGTGAACATATCTTAATAATTACTAGTATGATTTCTGCAATTTTGGGTCTCATCCAGTTTGAGATCATGTTTAATAAATAGGTTGTCTTCAAATAATACATGTATTTTTAAAAGTGCTGGCATCTTATTTAAAAGATATTTCATTTTCTTTACTTTACAGGGGTAGATAAAACAATTAGTGAACATCCAGCCATATGTTTTAATATAGTATAAGTTTTTTCTTTGCACTTTTCATGTCCTTCGTTATATTCCAGTAACATACTTGGGTGGCGTGCAAGTTTCACTCAACACTGGATTTACCAGTACAATGTATTCATCTGGTTCAACTGTCCTGTCACGGCAAGCAGAGCTGGTCACTGCTCATGGTGAGTGTACAACTGAAGCTTATAGTTACAACTTATAACCTCTCATTTCTGAACAAATCTACTTACCACTTTAGCTTATTATTTTCTAGCTTAGTGTTTGTGTGTATATATATGAAGCAGTCATATATATCCAGCTAAGCTACTTATATCTATAGCTTGTCATTTTCTAGCTAAGCTTCTTAAAGCTATGACTTATGATTTTCTAGCTAAGCTTCTTAAAGCTATGACTTATGATTTTCTGTCTAAGCTACTTGCAGCTATAATCTTATATTTCCTAGCTAAGTTTCTTATAGTTATAGCTTTTCTTTTCTTAATAATTTTCTTCAACACAATCATTAGTACCTCCCTAAATTGAATTTCTTGATACATTGTTTACTGGATTTATTTAATTCCTTTTTGTGCAATGTATCAAGTTTTTATAGCACCAATGTTATTTCATTATAAGATAAAATCAAATTAACACATTGAAATTTACTTTCTTTATTACGATTACATGCAATCATGATTAACAATTCTTTTATATTTTTTTTATCTTCCGTACCTGAATTTTGGAATTGAATTGGAATCTGAGCAGAACTTGGTGAGTATAATAATTATCCCTCTTCAGATCTAGAATGAAGTACTGATTTACAGTAAGAATAAGAACACTGTTTCATTTTTTGCTTTATTTGATTTACAGGACACAATTGGGGAAGTGAACATGACCCCACCTCAGGGGATTGTGCCCCGTTCTCTATATTTGGAGGGAAGTACCTGATGTACCCCTACTCCGTGTCAGGGGATGATGATCACAATGATGTAAGGTTTTATCTGAATTTTAGACATTTTTCAGTTTGAGTGTTTTTACATCAAAAGGTACAGTTGAACTTTGGTATCTTGAACTCCAATATCTCAAATACCATGGATATACCAAAGTGATGTGGAAGTCCCAACCACTTATTCTTTAAGTAATTTCCTTTGCCTTGAATCCTCTAATAACTTGAAGTGTTTTCTCTGTCCCATCAGGTTTCAGATAATGAAGTTTGACTGTAGTTTTATTTTGTCATATTTGTATCTTTTCAGGAATTTTCCAGTTGCAGTAGGAACTATATTGGTCGAGTTATGGGTTCTAAGATTGGATGTCTCACTGGTAATTGTTTTATTTACAGTGTTGTAAATGTGAAATACATTGTGACAGTGACATTTATTGGTAACATCACCACTATCTATGACATGAATATTTTAATTGTCTCATGGACTTAAAATATAATTGCTCTTATCAAAGAGCTCAATTGATCACCCTGGTATTAATATTTGTATAAAGTCTTTGAAGATACTGACAGGCACAATAATGAATTCAAAGATATACCCACATGCAGTTCCTCAAGTAAAGTGAAATCAACAGTATCAAAATTTATGGAAAAAATGATTTTGGACCTTGTAATCCCAAATGATTTTATTGATTTTGAATGATTGATATTGATTTTTTATGTCTTTGGCAGAATCTGTGGGGGTCAGTTTGTGTGGTAATGGGAGGATAGATGCGGGGGAGGAGTGTGATGGAGGGTACCTGGGGAAGTTTGGTCTGGATGACTGCTGCCTACAGGACTGTACACTCAACACAGGGAGAAGTGCTGTCTGCACGTAAGTATTACAAGCTATAAACTCAACACAGGAAAAAAATGCTGTCTGCACGTAAGTATTACAAGCTACATGTATAAACAAACTCAACAGGGGCAAAAGTGCTGTCTGCACGTAAGTATTACAAGCTATAAACTCAACACAGAAAAATATGCTGTGTGCTCATAAGTATTCCAAGCTGTAAACTCAACACAGGAAAAAAATACTGTCCTCTAATATAAGTTTTAAGAGCTGTAAACTGAACACATTCAAAAATGATGCCTGCTCATAAGTTTTCTATACTAATTTAAAATTATACAATGATTGACCAAAGAACAGACTTTACAATATATTGCTTTTTTGTTTACAGTCCATCTAACTACGACTGCTGCAACTCCAACTGTCAGGTTCAAAGTTCAGGGACTCTTTGTAATGCTGCACAACAGTGTAAACAAAATGCCTTTTGTGAATATCCTTTATTTGCTTCTGTTTTGACTCACACATTATAAATGTAGATAGACACTTTTTAGACATTAAGACTTGTGTGTCTTTGCTTGCTATTCTTAAAACTTAACCTTCATGCAGTTATTTGTACCTTTGATTTTTCAGTTCTGTCTGATTGAATAAATTTGAGTTACCTGTTACTTTCTAATTTTTGGATTGGGTACCTTCTCAGTTTTTTGGGGAATTCTTTTAGGCCTTCTGTTAAAATATTTAACTGTTTTTGGCAAAGGTTTTAAGTAATAGGTAATTTTAAATTATTTTAAAAAAATAAATATATGTATAAAATAGCAGTTCTTCACCACTTTTATCTTTACATCAGAGTAATTATGTAACAGTTTACTAACCATTAATCACATCATTTGCTGATAAATTGGTTTACAAGACACTTGTTGACAAAGTTATTGTTATGCATACATTTTTTGGTACAAAATCATGCATGGTGACAGATTTTTCCTTGACCTTTGAACTGGGACTGGTTTAAATTGCCCAACTGGTGCTAATAAATCGCCTGGAACAGTCTGCACAGGGTAAGTTGAATAAATTAACTTCACAGTAGGTCAGTAGCAAAACCAACCAATCAAATGCAGTTTTAGTTCAGCTGAGTTCTTCTGATCATAGTTTGCCCATTGCTATGTCCGTACTCTATTGGTTTTTAATAATTCCAAAATATCTGACTTCTGTGAGATTATATACAGTTAGTATCCCCATGAGGCATAGAATCCCTTTGTAAACATCCCTTTCCTCCCCCTCACATAGGCTTGGCTGAGAAAAAAAATATGAAGGTGTAGTGAAAGTAGGGTAGATTTTCTATGGTAAAATATAGGAGATATATTAAAATCTTCTTAAAAACAGCAGGCTACACAATGTATCCAAGTATCTCATACAGCTGTAGTCTCATTATTGATTTCTTTGTCTTGAATGGGTAGGGCAAAGTAGGAAAGCGAGGTTTTACATAGGGTGTGAAGTATCTAGAAAAAGACTGCAAAATCTCAAGGTTAGATACTTGTACATGAATACTCAAGCATCCCTATAAAATCAAGTCACGGAAACTAGCCATACAGGCAGAGATGGCCATGGAAAGAAATATGCGAGTAAACTCAGTTAAAAATTTTAGATGTTGACCAATGGCCTTAGATAAAGGTTCAACCCCTATCATATACCATTTCATTGAATTGAGCTTGTAATCTTTGATTAACCTATATTTTTTTGATAAAAAAAATTACATTTATGTTTATCATATTTCAGTGGATTTTGCAATATGACTGGAAATTGTCAACCTTTCTGTGAATATATTGGTATGAAGTCTTGTGTTTGTGCAGAAGGTGAGTCTCATTAATCAAGCCTATTTCAGTTATAAGTTAACATTGTATAGACCCAGCTCTAGTTTGGCAATGCCACCAGATAGTTTTATTTATTTGTACTTGGAACAATACACATGAAGATATTTGCTGGTAGTATTTTTACCCTTTCTTTATAAACATAAGTGGACATGGATGACTGATTATTGAGTTTTTGCATTAGTCTGCTTCATTGCGACTTTTGTCGTATGAGTGGTGAATGAACCTGTTACAGTATGTATTTACCTGTTTTTAGAGGCCAACTCCTGTCGGCGGTGCTGTATGTCCTCTGGCCCCTCCCCTACCTGTGCCCCCTATAACAACACAGTTTACCTGATGGACGGATCACCCTGTGTCAAAGGATACTGCTCGGGGGTAGGTTAGGTTGTATACTATAAACATGGTTATTCATGATCACAAATGATAAATATGTGATACAGTAACCTGTTCATTATGTGTTTGGATGGTTATAGTATATACATGCAGCTGTAATTCCAGGGTTTTGTTAATGTGTATAAAGGAGTTGGTACAAAGTGATATTTATGTAAAATCTTTTTTACTGCATATTTAGTAATCTACATTACTTTTAAAATTTTACTTTTATTTCTGTATATTTTCTCTTTTAGGGAATTTGTATAGAGACAAAGCCATCATTATCTGAGAGATTCTTTGCCATACTGGACAAGATCAGCTTTGACTATTTAGGTAGAATTTTTCACTATATATGTATCAAATAATTCTCAGTTGCAACAAACAAACATGTCATTCATCCCTCTATGTAACTTATATCATATATAATGTGTATTGAATAATTATGTTGTTGTTTTCACCCCAGCGGAGACCTTCAAAACCAATATGGTGGCCATCACTCAGGCTTTCTCTCTGATCCTGTTTATCCCTATCTGCTGTGTCGTATTTTATAGGGTTGGTTAACTTTCACTCATTCAATATCAAACAAGGCATTCATCAAACTTATTTTTATTTTCTGTAAATCTATTTTCTTTCATAAAAGCTTTTTAAAAATAAATAATGAAATTTTTAAAAGCTCATTTGAGATACTTTTAAGTGGAGCAATCAGCATAATACAATAAAAAAGATACATTTAAAAAAAAAAATGAAAGCAAAGAATACCGGTAAAAGAGCTTTAGAAAACCAGGGACCTATATACTAACGGGATAGGCAACTCCTTCATCGCCATGTTTATTTACCCAAAACATCACGCACAACACTACAAGTTTTTCAAACTACGTTTATTCCAAGTAAACAGGGTGTTTTCTGATTAATATCATTTATTCCTTTTATGTATTGGAATTCATTTATTAATAAATCTTAAAGCATAATAATAATTTAATTGAAATATAAAGAAAATAAACACTGAAATCGGCGATTTCTCGGAAATATGGCCAATCGGGGCATGTGCTGATTTTGCATAAAAAAAAATTACTACTACGATAAGGAGAATAACTAGAGCAAAGCTAGTTGCAAAGCAACGAGTAGGTCTTCCATCATGTTTGACCGGAAGTGGCTTTCATTTTTAACAGAAATGAGAAATAATGTCCAAAAATGGTTTGATTCCTCTAAATCCATGTTAATTATTGCAAAAATAAGCTATTTTCTGTTACTTCCGGTTTGACCGGAAGTGACGACGATGGACGGAAAATTAATTATAATGCTCCCAGAGACATATGTTACCAGAAAACTTGTCAAGAACGGCAAAAATATGCGTTTTCCGACTACTTCCGGTTTGACCGGAAGTGACGACGCCGGACGTATTTTGACGACTTCAATAGATTAAGCTTGACATTTTAAACAATTTTGCTTCTTTGACGTTTCACAAATTCTCAATACTTTTTGAGATATAAAGGAAAAACTTTCAGCCCATCCAGGCCCCTGATTTAAGGGGCCAGCACTTTTTTCTAGATGTCATTTGAAAGATCTTGAAATTGTACACCTTTTTTGTTCTACATGCTTTAACAAAATATTTCTAGGTAAAAAGTTATCGTTGAAAAAGTGCTTAAAATTTTGAAATTCTTGATAGGACTGTTTTCGGGCCATAGCGAGCGTCGGCGCTTCGTACTTCCGGTAGTTGTGATATACTTAGTGCACTTCTCCAAAAGTTGCTCTAGCATCACTGAAAATTTCAAGCTTCTGTGTTAAGTGCTTTTTGAGAAAACTGCCAGACAAAGTGACCCTCTAAAAATCACTAAATCGCAGAAAACTCCGAACCGGAAGTGACGTCATCAAATTAAAAAAATATATATCTAGATTTTTTTATGTTCTATCAGACCTGAAAGTTTCATGAAAATCGATCTAGCCGTTCTCGAGAAATCGCGCGTACAAAATCGGTAAGAAAAAAAAACAATAATAATAAAAATAGTGGAAAAGAAACCTAAGAAAAACAATAAGGTCTTCCGCTGAAGACGGAAGACCTTAATAAGTGCTAAAAACAAATCTTGAATGATTTTTTGGCAGATAATTAAAGGATTTGATCTCAAATATGTGATAGCTTTAGAGGTATAATTAATTAAACTTGACTTACGAAATCCCTTGACTTACGAGATATCGCGAGACTTGCAGTACTTGCCTATCCCGTTAGTATATAGGTCCCTGAGAAAACCTGTTGAAATTGAAAAGATCTCTCTAAAATATATAAGAAATTTTAGCAAATTTTGCAAATTGTCTTTAAACTGCCAAATTAGTGAATTTTTCTCTGCTAAGTAGTAACTGTGTCTTACATTTCAGGATAGAAAGAAAACAAAGAAACAAAGATTAGAGATGTCTGCAGAATGCAGAACTGTGAGTTAATTTTAATGCTAGTGTTTAGTATTATACCAGTATCTACTACAGGCCGTTAGATCACTTTAACCTGATTGGTAAAACGGGTGGGTTTTTTTTATACCCCTTGTTTTGTCAGTCTAATTAAAGTGATCTGTAAATTACCTGTGGTATGTATATACACAAAGTGAAGATCAGTCATATGAAATCAGCTTGTTTTATTAACCTGCATTATATAACTATGTAAATATTTCACTTGATATATTTACTTATATATAACAGGACAGGACCTTGACCTTTGATGAGGACAGGAGACAGGTCAAGAAGAAGAAGAAGATTCCTCCCAAGTTTATCCCTGCCCCTCCCGAGGCCGTCATCCACAGGTCAGGGTCACGTAGTGGCTCCAGAAAGAATCAGATTGCCCCCCTACCCCCCAGGCGATACTAGTCTCTACGCAAATGACAATCTTTAAGTCTAAGTTATTTATTATCCATTGACTGTCTGTGATAAATTGTAAAAAGTATGTGGTCTATTTATATACAATGTGAAGGTCACAACGAATTTATGTACAATTGTATATGAGCATGAATTGTTTGCATTTTTGTTTTATGCAAAGAATTGGAAGAGTAACTGCCCCTTACCTCCCATTCAAATTGAGTGATTGATGGCCTCACTATCTGTTATACAGAAATTTGTCTGTGTTTGAATCTTTGTTTTTTTTCAACATTTTTTTTCTTTTTTTATTTTGATACGTTTTCTGATATTATATGAGTACAGAAATTTGAGTATCTTTCATCACCAGTAATGTACAGTGTATTTGATATTATAATTTTTTAAGCTTCCCTTTAACAAAAATATATGTATAGAATTTTTTTATTACAGTACAAATATTATCTATCAGTTAGTAAGACAATTCAATTTTTCCTTCATAATTCAGCAAAATAGATGAATAAACATGCTAATGTGTCATTGTTCAAAGCATTTAATGAACTAAAGAGGAAATCAAATACATGTATGTTTTCATATGATGCTTCAGTAAAGAACCATTTAAAGATTTTTGTGAAGTAAGACACTTGTTTGCAAAATTAAAATATCTCCTATGGGTCCTGTGTTGTAGTCTCGGATACCTATAATTAGGAATGAATACTAATTTAGGTGAAATAACATCCTAGCATTTTAAATCGATCGAGTCCTTTCGGGCACTTTACAATGCATTAGTACATATTAGTACACAGTTTGTATATTAACTTTTTACAATGTATGAGTACACTGTTTTATATATATGTATTTAATCAGATTTTATTTTGTTGTGTAAATTAACATTACCAGTAGTCACTTTTGACAAACCTTTTCTTAACTCATCTTCATAGTTTCATTGTTTAGGGTAGCTAGTGTATTTCTTGCATGATTATGATGAAAACAGTGAGTATGAGAGTAGATAGAGTGCAAATTTAATGAACGTATGGAAATGATTTACTTTTTCAATAAATTATTAATCATTGAATGTGCTTTTAATACCATATAATTGTACATGTATTTTTTTTAGAAGAACATTGTTTTTTACATTTTGCTGTTTATTTGTTCTTTTTTACAGTATGTTTAAAATCCCTTTTTGTTTACAAGTTAAAATTATATTGCTTTTCAATGATTTATTCATTCTGTGGGTAATCAAATATATTTTATTTTGTCAAACATAAATTGCTTCCTTTAGCAATATTAACATGGAAGAGATAGTGGTATTTTACCAGTCTATAGCTCAACTGCTATTCTTTATTTTTTGTTGAAGTTACAAAGATAAAATGTCACATTTGATATTAGCTAAGCTTTTATATTCCAGTTTTACTTTTAATGCATAATAGATTGATTTTATGAAATGCATAATATATTTTTGTAACTTAGACTTTTATTTCAATGAATTAGAATAATAAATATTTCACACAAGTAGTTAATTCATTTTTTCTTTGGTAAAACTAGATTTGTTTTTCAGTAAATTACCCAGTTATAACCCTCCCTGGGTTTGAATACTAAACTCAAGAGAAATTAATTTTATAATTTTGGTAGCAGACTCATTGCTCATTATAATCATGATTCAGGTTCAGATTCTTTGCTTAAGATTGATGAATTGATGAATGTCTACAAGAGTTTTCCTGATTAACAAGCCAAAGAGTATGTTACATACAGCAGTAGTTATATAGTCTACTCTGAGGAAAATGGAAACAACAGGAGAGGGTGTAATTTGATATAAAACTAAATGTATAATAGTTTAGTTATGGAAAATGCAGAAAAATTAGATCCTGCAGCTGAATTTTGACTTCATGTACAGTTTTTGCTCTCATATGGCTGCAATAGATGTTATGTTCAGTACAGATATCAAATTTGAAAAGTTCATGGTTTTTATGTCATCCTTCACACAAGATCAGATGCCAGTGCTGCCTGGAATCCTTATCTAAAGTCAGATATTAACAAATTCGAAAGATTCAGCGCAGAGCAGCTCGGTATGTCCACAATAGATACCACAACACCTCGTCTGTAACCGAGATGCTAAATCAGCTGGAATGGCCATCATTAGAAGAGAGACGAAGGATAGCCAGTCTCAGTGTCTTTGAGAATTGTGTTCGGCTAACATCAGCAATTATTAAAGGATTTTTACCATATTACTTTCATGCCAGAATTTTTCTGGAACGCCCCCCCCCCCTCCTTCCTTCCCGATCAATATACACCCCTCACCCTTTTCGCGGAATGTCCTTTCTTGGTTCGACCATTATCTATTCCGGAAATGGGCATTAATTTTGCAATATGGCGGACATCGATGTAAACAATCACTTGACAACATCATTAACATGACAATTTTTAAGGAACTGTTGATTCTTATGAATCATACATGAAGAATTTCTTTTCAATATGTCCAGAGCACAATCGCGAATGTCAGCCCGTACAGGGGGCGGTTCGCGGGCAACGTCAGCAAAGAGTACCAAAAGTGCGAGACACCCTGTGGTCATCCATTCCACGATACTTCCTATGTCAAAAGTCTATCTCGGAAAGGAATATGAACAGAGATTAGCAAATGCCGCAGGTGCAGGAGAACTTATCACTGTAATAAAGATATTGAAATTCAACGTCAGTCCGGATTCTAGAGATGAGCATGGCCAACCAGCTTTAGTCAGAGCTTGCATGGGTATGTAGTCCAAGAATTGGATGCGTAATGAATTTTATCCTGCAACTACCCCTTGCAATGACCTAATAAAGGTAACCTAATAAACCAAAGCTTTATCCGGTCACTGCCCTAATAAAGCCTAGTGCATGTTCTAAAAGCATTGTGACGTCATGCATATTGCAATGTTTACGCCATGGCGTCATAGTTTCAACTGCAAGGATGTGCCTAAATCTGTCAGAAATAGCTTGTTTTGGATGTTCAAATGTCAGAAATATGTTGCAGGATAAGCAAAATTTAATACATGAAAACTGTCTTGAAATATAAGCGATATTTGAGCTCGGGTCGAAAACATAAGAGGGCTCGGCAAGCCTTGCCCTCTATCACGTTTTCTTACCCTTGCCCAAATATCGCTTATATATCAAGACAGTAACCATGAATTTTATATTTATATTGATTACTTGTTTTCTTCGACTACAAAATTAGCAAGTTGTTTTAAAATTTAGTATAAATTATATCCACACGCTGTCATAATTTTTAAATACATAAAATGCATTTAACTTTCCATTTCAGGAGGTCATGCTGAAATTGTCTCTGCATTGATTGAAGCAAAAGCAAACATAAATATCCAAGGAGTCTATAATGTAACGCCACTCCATGCTGCAGTTAAAGGTTAGGATTTCATATTTTATAAATTTAAATTAGTTTATTTTCAAAAAGCAGATATAAATTTCACAGGAATAAAAATGGGGGGAGGGGCATTGTGCTCTGGAAGATAAAAATTAAGTTTTGAGTCAGATCATTTTAGCCAGTTGGTCTGAAAATCATACAAGTAATTTTTTTTTAAGGTGATCTGAATTTTTCTTTTTAATTTACAGGTCAAAATGTGAATTGTGTGAAACATGTGATATTAGGAGGAGCACAGTTAATTCCCCTTACAACAGCTGGACTGACCCCACAAGACATGGCAAAATACGGGTCTGAAGTCTGGGAGGTCATCAATGATGCAAGAAAAGGGGACATGCCTGAAATTGAAGAAATCAGTGAGGTGCCAGAAATTCCCGACTACGCTCTCCCAGATGGTGCTGCCAAGAAAAAGAAAGGGAAAAAGGGAAAGAAAAGTGGGAAGAAAAAAGGTGGGAAGAAAGGGAAGAAAAAGGGTGGCAAAAAGAAAAAGAAAAAATGACACTCAAAGCTTTAAAATTGTTCATTCCTATCAATTGATCTTTAAAATAGATTAATGATGTGAAACATGTTTTACATGTACCTGTACATGAAAAATGATTAAAAGTTTGATTTATCTATTAATATGTTGGAAACCAACACTACTGGCTTATCAGATAAAATTACTGCTTTTCCAGTTCGTCCCTTAATATTTCAAATTACAGATTACTGTTATAGAAGCATTGTTAATTTTTTTGGTTTGAAAATGATATTGTTTATACATGTATATGTTAGGAAATTTTAATAAAATGTAACTACATGTATTTTTATGCGACTTGTACTTTCTCAAGGATACTGAAATCACCCTTATTACATACCGTCGAACAATTATTTACGGAGTTACAAGAAGGGCTTCAAAGATTTTTATATTTAATCTTAAAAATAACAAGTATAGAAATAATTGTACAGATGAAAATCTGAGCAGCTGATATACAAAACTAAAACACTAAATTATCACATGAAATGAGACTAGTTTTACACATTTTAAATATATATATATAATTGACAGTAAAATTAATTTTAAGAAGTAACAGGAAATATGTACATGTACATGTATTTTTTTTTTCATATAGATAATTATGAAAAGATGTTCATTCATCACAAAAAACATGGTTAGACTTGGAGAATACATTTAAATTGTAGGTATTCATTCCTTGATGCTTGTACATTGAAATAATTACCTCATGTAATATAAATTTCTTTGCAAATAAACCAAGAATGGGAGAAGAGTTGTAGCCCATGAGCCTTTTTGTTCCAGCATTACAGTCATGTACCACTGGCACATAAGATCCCCCCCCCTAAAATAATAATGCTTGGCAATCTTGGAATTCAGACAATAAAATGTAAATTGACATTACCATTTCATGGAAGGATAAATAAGTACTGACTGCAAATATTTCAGAGCATGTGAATTAGTCACTCAAAAACCCCAAAAATCTTCATCACAGTCACTGTCTTCAAAGAATATAAATTTCTGATTATGAATAAATAATCAAAGTCCCTTTAATTAATACATGTATTATAAAATTATTATATGTCTAAAAGTACAAAATTGAAAAAAATGTTTTATATTAACATGCATTGTGTTGCTATGTTTTAAACTTCCTTCCTTTAGAAATATTAATACAGAGTTATTTCCCTTCATAACATTCTTCCTAACATGTAGAAGTTTCTTCTCATTAAAAAAAATACGTCATGCAAAGGCTTGATCTTAAAAGTTAATTTGCAAAACAAATCCTTAATTTTTTTTTTTTTCATTTTTAAATGTATTCAGTCCTATTTTGACAAACCAAAGTTCAGTGTGAACATTTTATGTAAAATAGTTAGAATTTTAGCACCTTTGGCATTAACATGAATATGCTACTGTAAATCATGAATACTATAGATCACCAAATTTTAGTGACTTCTTGTTTTTGCTAGATAGTTATTCTGTATTTATAAATGAGACATAATTTTCACCAATTTTGAACAGGTTGTCTTCTTCCTCTGATTTGCAAACCACCTTCTGGTGTATTATCACAAATAATAATGCAAAAAGAAAGTTTTAGCAAATATAAGGTGATTTACAGTACCATTAATAAATATAATGCACAGCGTAGCACTAATTCATGACAATGCCAATCACTTAATGCACAGAGACTGAGCGGAATTTTGAATGCATCAATGTAACAGTATGTAACAGTATCTGACTTAAAATATCTTTTGGTTGTTTTTTTTTTTTATTTAGTTCCTTGTGATAAGAAAATGTAAGTACAAATATGATTTCATTTAGGTCAAAGGGGAGATCATCTTTATCCAACAGTTAAAAATACATTCAAGTAAATATGAAATAATATCTGCACATAAAATTTATTATAATGCCCACTTGCTCAAATATTATTATTAACAGATGTGTATCACATGTTTGTTATAACTGAAATGAACTAAAATTGTACCATAATAATACAGTACACAAAAATTTAACAATAGTACTTAATACAGTACACAAAAACAGCATTTAATACTATACATGTTATCACATTGTTAAAACAGCATTGATTCTTCAATGAATCAATATTATGCTAATTAAAATCTGAGGAAGAAAAATATGACTACATTAGTGTAAAAAAGTAGAAAGTTATTTGCTTGTAAGTCATAACAGAGAGTGCTTATAATCACTTCATAAAAGAGGACAAAATATCAACAGGGAGGGGGAATATAATGGTGGAATTCTTCTCGTAGGCTATGGTATTGAGAGTCTGTAGGTACCGTAGCTGAAGTGCAGCAGGAGAGGTGTTGATTATATCCGCTGCTTCCTTCAGAGCTTTGGAAGCATTATGCTCTCCCTCTGCTGCAAGCACCTGCAAATTATAAGAGCTAAAACTGTATACTGCATGATACATGTATATTGGGTATGTGCTGAATACATTGCAATCAACAAGTCTCTGGATGTTTCAATAAATGATTCATATTATGTGAATAGCTCTTGGTCTTGACCCCTGACCTTTGCTCTAGCCTCCCTTGATGCCTCTGCTTCTGCAGCCATTGCTTTCTGTAACTGTTTGGGAAGTCTGACATCTTTGCTGTAAATTCAAAAAACTTCATTCAAATCATAGATTTCTGAGAATATTAAACCCAGGTAATTATAATTGCATATATGCACACTTTTTTCATTTTACTTACAGCTTTGTGTACAGTGTACTTACATTTCTACCCTCTCAACCTTGATGCCCCAATCACCTGTAGCCTCATCCAACATGCTCTAGAAACACAAAAAATAAAATAATCAAGCACATTCATCACCCTGACAGGGATATGCCAATACAGAAATGAATATTCCATGCCTTCCATCATTTCTTGTATTTTCTGAGTTATATCTGTAAGGATTTATTATGCAACATCTAAAAACGAATGCAGAGGTGACTCATGACAATTGGAAAATGAATGTGTTTGAGAAGTGATATGACAATGGAATCATTCATTCTTCTATACCTGCATAGCTTTACTGATTGCCTCCCGATCCGCCAGGATTTCTGACATACTCTTGGTCCCCAGAATGTTTCGGAGCGTGGTCTGTGCCAGAAGCCGTGTGGCGTGGTGGGCATTTTCTACATTGGCCACGGAAATGGTGGGATTACACACTCGATAGTACACCACCGCATCCACAGATACTGTAACACTGTCATTTGTCAGAATCTGAAGAAAAGTTATGAAACTTCAAGCAACATGGTGATAATTTCATCTGAAATCAAGGAAATGATCAGGTACCCATTATGGATGCATGATTTATTCTTTTTCTAGCTACACCAAAATATTTCAAAAGAGAAAAAAGTTATTATTCAGGGGTCTCCATGACCTATTCATCATATACTTAAGGCACTGGAATTTGAATGTAGCCAGCATTTTATAAAATCAACACAGTAGACTACATTTCATAAAATAGCATGGGCACAAGGAGAGGGGGCATCCCCCCTTAAATAATTTTGCTCATTACAAAAAGTTTTAATTTTTAAAAGAGACCAAATATCTCCTAATACAGACTGACGTAATTGCTTCATTTTGCAATCCTGAATCATTTTATAGCTGTTGCTTTAAGATGAATCCTCTTACAAAGTTTTGGAAAAACCAAATGTTTTTTTCAGCTAGACTAAGTACATGTATAAATCAAACTCCATAAAAGCCTTAAAAGCATTATCTCCTAGGGTCCAATAACCAATCAAATTCCAAAGAAAAACTGCTCTTCTGTAAGAGAGATACAGTAAGCCCATTAATGATTTTTATTACTTTTGTCACAAATAATTTTCACCAACATGGGTCTACACACTTGAGGGATTATTTTTTTCTTGTTAAACACCATTTAGATGGCTTACAGAGATGACTTTTCGAGACGATCAATGTTACAAGGGTGACTTATGTGTGTCTTGTGATCCAACAATAAAAGAATCAATCTTAATGCTCCGTGAATGTACCATACATAATTGTATAGATTAGCACACCAGGGATTTCATCTCATGAAATACTAGTATTTATTGTTGTAAATTCACCAAAAATAATATTCACAAGGTGTTTATTCAGTTCATTAAAAAAATTATTCTGCATACAACAAATTATCTGCATACTTTGTACAATAATGTAAATTTGATATAAAATACTATCTTTTATTGAGCATTAAAAGAAATCATTTCCTAAAATTTGAAAATCTACGTTTTCCTTTGCAGTCATAGGATTCATGGAGCAACCACTTGGAGATTGAAATTCGTGAATTTTGTAACAATGTGTTTGACAATCCAGTTCAAAATCTGTTAATCTTCCACCGTTTTATAAGTTTATATATATCTTTCAGTTCCACTGAATTTTCATGTCTAAAATCTATTTCTCCATAACTGACAATCTTCTTATTTGACCATTGATATGAAATTCACAGTGTTTTAATTTTTTTTTTTAATCAATAAAACAGAAATATAAAAAATTGAATTTTTTGGGGTGAGAACTTTTTTTGTGTGTAATTACACAAGACATTGTGCTCAGTGACACGAAAATTTGATTCTGGCATATACTTGTACTCCTTAAGATTATAAGGAATAATGACCGCATTTAATGAAAAATTTGACTCGGAAATAAACGAGCTAATGACTGACTCGTAAAAATAAGGTGTCTCAAAAATTTAGTGATCTACAGAATTTATTAATCCAGTGTAAAACTTCATGCACAGGTAATTGTTGATCCACTTAATAGATGCACAATCATTAAATTATAATTCCAGGATGAAAAAGAGGTCAATGCCCAATGAGATATTGGTTTAACAATTTTAAGCACTAGAGCTGTGAGAATAATTATCACAGTCTCTGAAATAGTTAGTGGTATCCCATCATTATATGAGTTTTACTACAGATTTTTTATAAATATGGCTTCTTACCTCTTGTGGAGGGACATCAAACGAGACGGTCCGGAGATCCACCTTCGTGTAACCCTCAATACATGGCAACACAAAAAATATACCTGAAATGAAATCAAACTTCAACATTATGGACTAAGGTGGGAAACAGGTTTAGAGAATTTTATGAAATATCAAATTGATGTTTCATGACTTTAATGATTTGTCAGATAAGGTTGCAAATCGTATAATTTACTAAATGAAGATTGATCTGTATACTTTTATCCCATTTTCTTCACCATAACCCAGGTATCTCAGATATTAGTGTTCAACTTTAAGTTCAAATGTATCAGTATTCAGGCACTCTAAGAAGACATGCATTTTTACTTCACGATAAGCAGTATATTCCTACTATTCAACTGTGTGTTCATATGATATTAAGGAATCATTTCTCTACATAAAAGAGTATAAAAAACTAATAGTTCCTATGGAGTAATAATTGTAGTTGATGCTGAGTATAATACCTGGTCCTTTTGATCCTCCAGATAAAAGTCTTCCTAAGCGGAATATCACAGCTCTTTCATATTCTTGTACAACCTAAGGAAAAAGATAGAACTCCTCTTGTAAAGAAACCTATCAAACCCTTCATCTCAAAACCTTCATCTCAGTTTGACATATGTCTACTCAACAGAATCATTCATTTGTCATATTAATAGTTATTAGATACAGAACATATTATTTCATGTAATGGAGAATATCCAATATGCATTATACAATGGATTGTAATCTTCAGAAATTTTGGTGCCTCGGTCCAGGATCATGCAGATATGAAATTAAAGGAATGACATTTTTGGATGCCTGTGAATGGAAGTACATAAACCCACCCCACCACCACTATAGAAGTAAACCAAAACTTAATAATTACCTTGATGCAGAAAAATAATGAAAATGGAAAGGTCACTATAACCAGAAAGAAAGACATAATCATAAGAATGCTTCCACAACATCCAATGTTTCCACTACTCCCATCCGGGTCAGCTGAAAGATAAAACAATAACATACTGTAAATTATGTATTTTAATAATAAACGTGTGTGTCCATTCTGTATGGAATAAGGGTATAGAAATTATCTTGTCAAAACAGAGAACATCAGCACCTGTAGCCCCTTCAAAGTCTCCAGAGTCCCCACCCTCTCTGCTGCACCCCTCCATTTTATGACCTTGGGATTTTAATGATATATATATTAAATTATATACCTCCCAAATTCAAGTTTATAGAGACTTAATGATATTATCTCAAGGAACATATGGAATTCAATAATCATTACTTATGGGATGATTATTTAATAATAGATAAATAATCAAATAAGAAAGACTTTTAATGGTTTTCTATCGTGGAAGAATCATGGAATTTCTTATACACAGTATAAAATATAGAATTTTGTTCTCATCAGTTTACCATTATTTACACCATAAATGTAACAAGAGGCCCATGGGCCACATCGCTCACCTGAGAAGCTTTGACCATTCTGTTCTTTACCAGATTTCACCCTTGTTATACATAATGCATCCCCACCCTACCCCACTGATCATAATTTAGACATTTTGAAATCTACACTACCCCATGATCCTTCCATGGGCACATATGTTTCAGCTTTTTTGGCCCAGTGGTTCCTGAGAAGAAGATTTTCAAAGATTTTTCCTATATATTTCTATGTAAAACTTTGATTCCCTATAATGGCCCCGCCCTTCCCCCGGGGGTCATGATTCCTACAATTTAGAATTTACACTACCCCAGAATGCTTCCACATAAGCTTCCCTTTTTCTGGCCCAGTGGTTCTTGAGAAGAAAATTTTCAAAGAATTTTCCTATACATTTCTATATAAAACTTTGATTCCCCATTGTGGCCCCGCCCTTCCCCCGGGGGTCATTATTTGAACAATTTAGAATCTACATTATACCAGGATGCTTCCACATAAGTTTCAGCTTTTCTGGCCAATTGGTTCTTGAGAAGAAGATTTTCAAAGATTTTTCCTATATATTTCTATGTAAAACTTTGATACCCCATTGTGGCCCCGCCCTTCCCCTGGGGGTCATGATTCCTACAATTTAGAATTTACTCTATACCAGGATGATTCCATATAAGTTTCAGCTTTTCTGGCCCAGTGGTTCTTGAGAAGAAAATTTTCAAAGATTTTTCCTATATATTTCTATATAAAACTTTGATTCCCCATTATGTCCCCACCCATCCCCCGGTGGTCATTTTTTGAACAATTTAGAATGTACATTATATCAGGATGCTTCCACATAAGTTTCAGCTTTTCTGGCCCAGTGGTTCTTGAGAAGAAGATTTTCAAAGATTTTTCCTATATATTTCTATATAAAACTTTGATTCCCCATTGTGGCCCCGCCCTTCCCCCGGGGGTCATTATTTGAACAATTTAGAATCTACACTATACCAGGATGCTTCCATATAAGTTTCAGCTTTTCTGGCCCAGTGGTTCTTGAGAAGAAGATTTTCAAAGATTTTTCCTATATATTTCTATATAAAACTTTGATTCCCCATTGTGGCCCCGCCCTTCCCCCGGGGGTCATGATTTGAACAATTTAGAATCTACACTACCCCAGGATGCTTCCACATAAGTTTCAGCTTTACTGGCCCAGTGATTCTTGAGAAGAAGATTTTTTAATGACCCCACCCTATTTTTGTCTTTTCTTGATTATCTCCCCTTGCGAGGGGATATGTCCCTTCATTTTTATAATTTAAATCCCCCTTTACCCAAGGATGCTTTGTACCAAGTTTGGTCAAAATTGGCCAAGTGGTTCTTGAGAAGAAGTCGAAAATGTGAAAAGTTTACAGACGGACAGACAGACGGACAGACGGACGGACGGACGGACGGACAGACAGACGGAGGGACGACGGACAAAATGTGATCAGAAAAGCTCACTTGAGCCTTCGGCTCAGGTGAGCTAAAAACCAGAAGTCTCTATCGAGACTGTAGCTATACGTTTATACTTATAACAAAGGAAGAGAAAAGTGGCGGTTGTGACTTGAAACTTTACAACAGCAATAAGGCCAAACAAAAAAATAGGTGGGGTTCCGGTTACACCTCCAAAAAAATTAGGATAGGTAGGTAGGGATTTTTTTTTTTACAAAATGATATATGAAATTTTTCTTTGTAATACCTATCACTGGTTTGCAGGTGGCATTTAGATATAGCATGATTATATACAAGTCAACATTGGTGGGTGCATAGTAATGAAAATCAACCCCCCTCTCACTTAGTCATTATTCTATGAGGGTTATTATTCATCTTTATTCCAGCTGAAACAAAAACTAATTCAGGAACCAATGACATAAAGAGAGAAAGTTTTAAAAAATATGGAAATTGTCAAAAAAAAGTTTTGGGTCTGGGTGAAAAATAGGGAAGGTAGAGTAACCGGAACCACACATATTTTTTTTATTTTGCCTATAGTAAATAGAATAATGATCTTAATTGCTTTTTTGTGGCAAGCTTGCAAAGAGACCATAACTGTAGAAGTAGCTTTTAATAAAATTTTACAGAATTTTCAATTTTAGTTACCATGGCAACATCAATCAACAAAATAAGACAATTATGTATATATATGCGTAGTCTACAAACTGCACTTGCATGCCCAATTATACTATTATCAGATTAAAATGATTTTTATAGTACTTCAGAGAAATTTCTATTTTTAGTAGCCAAATCAACACTATTTATCGAATTCAAAAACTGATATACAATATTCAATTGTATCATATTGAATCAACTATTGAAATCAAACATAAACTGTAGGAGGTGTTGCATTTTGAAAAATTGTGCCAAGGGATTATGAGGTGAGTACCCCATTGGAAACCCTTGGGTAGCAAATATGCATTCGAATGTATAATGTATATTGTTTTACGTCCCTTTGAGAATTTTTCACTCATATAGAGACGCCACCACTTGCAGGTGGAGAGCTGCAAATTTTGTCCTATAGTATTCTTGGCACTCAGGGCCATTGAGCAGGGAGGAAACTTTTTCTTTCCAGAACCTACTGCAACATGGGACCTCGGTTTACATGGTCTCATCTGAAAAACCGGTCCAGGTCCCACAGTGGGATTAGAACTCCTTACTTTGTGACTCTAGAGCAGACACACAACTGCGTGACATGGGTGACTAAATACACATTTGAGAAATGAATTCAAACATTCAGTGCAATCTTCCTCATTAAATTATTGTTAACCATGGGCTGTTTGATAAAAATAATTCCTTTCAACACTGAATTTTGTGTACACATTCCTCTGAAAAATATTGCCAGTTATATACAATATCATAATAAAGAAACAATTCAACACAACAACACTTAGAGAGTCTTTTAATTTATTGTTCAACAGAAGTCTACGGTAAATTATTTCAACTAGACTGATTTCCAAAAGGATAAAGCTAGCTGCAATCCTACAATACATTAATCATGTTTTTCTTCTTTTCCCCATTACATTTTCTTCTTTGAATCCTGTATATTTCGATTATTATTCATCGATATAGATATAGAGCCAATCTAATTTTCGGGGGAAAAAAGAAGGAAAAAAACGGTGAAAAAAAAGAAGAAAAAAATCTTGTAACATTAGCATTTCGTAATACAAATTTACCATGCGAATTTCCGTTGTGCACCATACGTTAAAACAACTTCCTGATTATCTAGGCATCTCTAGGCATCTGCACACGCATGACGTTAATATGTTTAAATATGTTTATAAAATCGTCTGACTTTATTCGGCGATAATACCAACTTCATGCAGATTGACTGCTGAACAGTGTTTTCTGACTGTTGAGACCCCTATCACTTTAGCCGAAAAGATAACATCTCAATCATTGATTTCGATGTTTATAGCAAGTTGAAAATATTACCTCTACAAATGAATTGACAAAAAGGTATCTTATCAAAAACAAGAGCAAAACTGGATGTGTTCTCTTCCAAACCGTCTGTCTTTTCTACGCAACGTGGTTGTAGAACAAAGAACCTCGTTTTGATTTCGGACTTCCTGTTGTGATATTCGGAATACCAAACCCGATGGGACAAAAGTAAAAATTCCCCCCCCCCACACACACACAACAGTGTGAATCGAAATATAAAACGGTCTTAAAAATCAACATTTATTCAATTCAAACGTTTAAACAGATAAAAACAGCCACAATACGATTGTCATCCCCCTAACAAATATATTGGACCCCAAAAAAAAGGGGGGGGGGTGTTCCAGGAATGCACAAACTCCACTTGGTGCCCAAGTGTTTGTTTGGCAATAAGACATTAAAATACACGTAACTTAAATGCAACAATCCAATTTACTATGATTTGTTACCCATATGATGATCATTTTAATGCTGTAATTTTTTAATAATTACAATCCCAAGAATAAACTTGATCCCCCATTGCCGTTACCCCACCCTAAATCTGGGGGTCCTGATTTGAACAATTTAAAATCTACACTACCTCAGGAATCTCATGCATAAGTTTCAGCTTTTCTGGCCCAATGGTTCTTGAGAAGATTTTTAAAGTTTTTTCCTATATATTTCTATGTAAAACTTGGATTCCCTATTGTGGCCCCGCCCTACCCCCGGGGGTCATGATTTGAACAATTTAGAATCTACACTACCCCAGGATGCTTCCACATAAGTTTCAACATTTCTGGCCCAGTGGTTCTTGAGAAGAAGATTTTTAAACTTTTTTCCTATATATTTCTATGTAAAACTTGGATTCCCTATTGTGGCCCCGTCCTACCCCCGGGGGTCATGATTTGAACAATTTAGAATCTAAACTACCCCAGGATGCTTCCACATAAGTTTCAGCATTTCTGGCCCAGTGGTTCTTGAGAAGAAGATTTTTAAAGTTTTTTTCCTATATATTTCTATGTAAAAATAGGATTCCCTATTGTGGCCCCGCCCTACCCCTGGGGGTCATGATTTGAACAATTTAGAATCTACACTACCCCAGGATACTTCCACATAAGTTTCAGCATTTCTGGCCCAGTGGTTC